GGTCGAAGTTGATACTGAGGAGAACTCCGAAGATGAGCTAGTAGAAGATACCGAGGAGATTGACGATAAGGTGGAAGATAGCTCCGAAGTCGAGGCAGTAGAAGATGCCGAGGAGATTGACGACAAGGCCGATGAAGAGAGCGCCGAGCTCGAGATTAATGAGGAGAGTTCTGAACTCGTGGTTGATGAAGACAGTACCAAACTCGTAATAGAGGAAAGTTCCAAGCTTGTGGTCGACGAAGATAGCGCCGAGCTCGAGACTGCTGAGATTTCCGAGCTCGTGGTTGACGAAAGCCCTAAACTCGTAGTTAAGGAGAGCGTCGAACTCGAGGTTAAGGAAGAGAGCTCCGAGTTAGAAGTCGAAGTACCTGATGCTCCAGATGATAACGACGACAACGAGGACGTACTAGTCGGGTTGCCAATCGAGGTTGAAAAGGAGAGCACCGACGTTGAGATACTAGATGTCAGTGACGATAACGAGAACGAAAAGGTACTAGATGTGGAGGCCCCGGTTGGACCACCCGTTGAGGTCGAGGAAGACAGCTCTGAAGTAGAGATGCTCGATGTCAACGAGGATGAAGAAGCACCAACTGGACCACCCGTTGAGGTCGAGGAAGAGAGCTCTGAAGTAGAGATGCTCGATGTCAATGATGAAGAAGCACCAACTGGTCCACCGCTTGAGGTCGAAGATGAAAATTCTGAAGTTGATGAACTAGGCGTCAACGAGGTGCTGGCTAGACTGATGGACGAGCCAGAGGCAGAGGACGATGTTGCGCTCAGGTTAGGAGATGTTGAGGTGCCAATCGGCCCGCCACTTCCTGAATATGTGCTCGAAGATGTCGTAGAACCGCCAATTGGTTGATCAGTTGCTGAGGATGTGACTGAGGACGTGCCAGAGGAGGATGTCGAACCGCCAACTGGCCCGCTAGTTCCCGAAGAGCTCGAAGATGTCGATGTCGATGTAGAACCGCCAATTGGTTGATCACTTGCTGAGGATGTGACTAAGGACGTGGCCGAGGAGGTGCCAGAGGAAGATGTCGAACCGCCAACTGGCCCGCTGGTTCCTGAAGAGGCACCAAATGAAGATGTCGATGTCGAACCGCCAATTGGTTGATCACTTGCCGAGGACATGCCAGAGGAAGATGTCGAACCGCCAACTGGCCCGCTAGTTCCTGAGGAACTCGAAGATGTCGATGTCGATGTCGAACCGCCAATTGGTTCATCACTTACGGAGGACGTGACCGAGGACGTGACCGAGGACGTGCTAAAGGAAGACGTCGAACCGCCAATTGGCCCGCTGGTTCCTGAAGAGGCACGAAATGAAGATGTCGATGTCGAACCGCCAATTGGTTCATCACTTACGGAGGACGTGGTTGAGGACGTAACCGAGGATGTGCTAGAGGAAGATGTCGAGCCACCAAATGGTCCGTTTCCCGAAGAAGTGCTAAATGAAGATGTCGATGTCGAGCCGCCAATTGGTTCATCACTTGCGGAGGACGTGCCTGAGGATGTGCCAGAGGAAGATGTCGAGCCGCCAATTGGCCCACTGGTTCTTGAAGAAGTGCTCGCAGTCCAAGTTTTAGGATGCCAGTCAACCCAAGTTTGACCGGTAGCGTAATAAGGATTCCAATTACGACCTTGATCTGGTAGTGGCCACCAGTCAGTTCCCTTGTTTTCTCCATCTTGCTTTGGGAGCCCTGTTGGAAGTGGAATATTGCGTGTGTGCGGTCCCGGTCGAGTGGCAAAAGGGACTTCGAAAATAATAACCTTTGTGACGTAAACATTGAAGCTGAAAGTCGTGGGCCCAGAGAAAGACTTGGTGATGTAGGCATTCCATGGCTGACCAGAGAGTGTCTGCACATTTGGACGAACTAAGATGGATGGTCGGCCGTCGACTGTGACCGTCACAGTCACCGTTTCTGGAGAGCCGGTAACGGTGACAGGAGGAGCAACTTGAGGGAAAGTCCAGGTATATGCACCAGCATGAGGGATCTTACCCCGGCTTGAGCAGAGAGCTTGAGCAGTGACTGCGGTAGATGGCTGTTCGACCAAAGTCTCGTACCATTCAACACATTTTTCGAAGTTATGCCCCAACTCATCGACACCAGATCGACATTCGACGACATCCAGGAGCTGGGAGCGTCCATCGCCTTGATCTTCGCACTCTTTGCACAGTCCACTACCATTCCAGCCTGGTACGGGTAGAGGCCCGATCTCGTTGAATGGTGCTATTGCTCGCCTGGTCACAGTTTCGTACAAGGTAGTATCTCGTCGAATAGTTGGTCGCTTGTTCTGGAACCAGTCAACCCAGTCGCGTTTGGTCGATGGGACAGCCGTGACCTTGGTAATGGTCTCGAGATGTTCAGAGGCTCGGAAAGGTTGTGTAACATCAGTCACTGTGGTTGTTTGAGTTGTCGTACCGTTCCACGCGCAAGGAACCACTGTCGAAACATATGGATAAGTCGTGAAGGGGTAGATGGTCGAGCACTTGCCCTTGATACAGGCAGTGGTAGGATCACAGGTCGATACAGGCTGGTATTGAGTGGACACCGTAATAGGGACAAGACTCAGGCTCGTAGCACTGGGGCAAGGCTCGATGGTAGCAAGATGTATTCCGAAGACTCCATCGGTTGCGAGGAGAGCCAACGCAGTCTTGACGACCACAGACTCTGACAACTTCATGACGTGGAAAGAATGAAAAGGAGCGAACAAAGCAAACAAGGGCGGATGGAAAGGAGGATAGAGAGGAGGATAGATCCAGGTGTCGAGGCATCTTTTATACATGTCATGACCTCCTGAGACAACGTTGATATCTTGAAAGCCACTCATCAAACATCGAACGGAAATGAGGTTCTACTGACAATCCATCAGTCCCAAGCAAGCTCGAGCGTGATGGATGTCCTGAGAGAACATCGACCACTTGAAGGTCATTCATCAATCGTATAACAGGAATTGGTGGACCGATGACAATCTATCAGTCCCATCCAAGCTCGAGCGTGGCGCAGATGGCTTAATTGCATCCAGGAGAGGCTGTCCTCTCTTGTACGGAGTTCAGTAGAATCACGTCACGAGAATAGGAGGTCAAAGACAGTGCACTCACCAGAGAGATTGGAACAGTCTCGCTGAGCGATGGTTTCCGTCACTTACCAAGGTTGGCACCAATAGTCAGGGTCGCAACCACCGTCCAAGGAGGACGTCAAGGATGCAAAGGCCCGTGAGAATAATAAGGAGGGCGTTAAAGCACCTATCCAGACAGCTCGCGGCATGACTAGCACTCTCGGGCCACTTTACTGGCATAGAGTTATGCGACGTCCATCAAATAGACAAGTCTCGGGACGGGTGGAGGAATCGAGGAGGGTATTCCATCGACCGTTGCAGCAGGTCCCGCATCCAGAAGCCTCTTCATTTCCTGTCATTACGCAGAATCAGCAGAAGCAGTGCAAGCAGTAGAAGCAGCCGGTTATGGGGCATGAAGACTCCAGAGGGCCGAACAGCCATGCTGTGGTGTTCGAACTCATTTGGGGTCGCCTAGGACGAACTGGCCAGACGAGAACGTAAATTCAGTCCAATCCCTCTTGTCCAAGCGTGGTCCTTGTTAGCTTTCTTTCCTCATTTCCCTCTTTTTGCAGCGGTGGAGCTTTGCATGTCAGAAGTGAAGCCCGGGGGTGACAGGGAAAGAGGTCTCGACAATTCGATGAGGGATGGGGCGGAGACGCATGGTAGATTAGCTCTCGTCCCAATAAGAGAATCGTAGTCATTAGGTTGTAGCGTAGCAGGAGGTGGCTAAGAACGACTGGAGAGACGTCAGAAGAGGATGTCCAGCTGGCACATGGGACGCATGCGCGAGTGAAGGTTTGGCGAATGTACGTGGAAATGAAACCCATGCAGTGTCAGTCCGGAAGGCCTAGCCCGGAGTGACACTGGCAGCGGCAGGGAAGCGAGAGGCAGAGGCTTAGGGGCCTACTGTATGTCCTGTAAGCCTGGGGGATGACAGACGCAGAGTACAGATACGGAGTACGGAGTATGGACTAGTGCACCGTGCGCCTAAGCCCGTCGCGCCCAAGCCTGGCCTGGCACGTCTGTGACCACTGACAGCTGCCTGCGCCCTTGTCGCTTTACTCCGTCGTCATGTGACCTGGCGGCCCACACAGACCTTTGGTTTTTGGTTGAGTTGACTCATTGGAAATTCTCGACTTTCCAAGCACAACAGCCTCACAACAACCAACCACCACCACCACCACCACCACCCACAACAACAACAATGCCCCAGTCCGCCCTCCTCCTCGGCTCCGGCTTCGTCGCCACCCCGACTGTCGACTTGCTCGCTAACGCTGGCGTACACGTCACTGTTGCTTGCCGTACCCTGGCCGCGGCCCAGAAGCTCGCCGGCAACTTCCCCAACACCAAGGCTGTCAGCCTCGACGTCAATGATACGTCCGCTCTAGAAGCCGCCGTAGCCCAGCACGATGTCACGATCTCACTGATCCCCTATACATTCCATGTTGCTGTGGTGAAGGCGGCCATCAAAGCGAAGAAACATGTAGTCACTACCTCGTACGTGTCGCCGGCCATGCAGGCTCTGGATGCGGAGGCCAAGGCTGCAGGAATTACGGTTATGAATGAAATTGGGGTAAGTCAAAATGATCTGATCTCGCTCCCAGTTTGCTGACCATTCCAGCTTGATCCCGGGTATGCCTTCTGGCCACATTGCTCCATCCTATCCCCCCACTAACATAGTTCTCCCAAGTATCGACCATCTTTACGCTATAGACGTGATTGATCGCGTTCACAAGGAAGGAGGCTTTGTCCGCGGCTTTAAGAGCTTTTGTGGCGGCTTGCCCGCTCCAGAGAGTATGGCCCATTATGATGATGATGATGACTAAAGACCATTGAAGCTAATCGCCCTCTTAGACTCGGACAACCCTCTAGGTAAAGACTCATTGCAACACCGAATGCCATAGTCCCACGGCTGCTAATGAGATTCAGGGTACAAGTTTAGCTGGAGTAGCCGTGGAGTGCTATTGGCATTGAAGAACACCGCCAAGTTCTTGGAGGACGGTAAAGAGGTGACTGTGACCGGCGAAGACCTGATGGGGACAGCGGCACCGTACCACACGGGCTTTCTGGGCTTCAATTTCGTCGCCTACGGAAACCGAGATAGCACCGGCTATCTAGAACGGTAGGAATACGGGCTGGTACGTTCCAGAATGATAATGGCTAATTCTAATTGTCCAGGTACAACATCCCTGAGGCGCAAACAGTGAAGCGTGGCACCATTCGTTACGCTGGCTTCCCAGAGTTTGTCAAAGTCCTCGTTGACATCGGCTTTCTCCGTGACGAGGAGCAGGATTTCCTGAAAGAGCCAATCACTTGGAAAGAAGCCACCAAGAAGATCCTCGGCGCCACTTCATCGAGCGAGAATGATCTATTGTGGGCAATTTCATCCAAGACGACGTTTAAAAATACCGCCGAAAAGAAACAATTGGTGGCAGGTCTCAAGTGGCGTAAGTAGCTGTGATCTCGCACGACCCTAGTTGGACATATTCTGACCCTGCAACGCAGTCGGTATCTTTTCGGACGCGAAGATTACGCCAAAAGGGAACGCATTGGACACGCTATGTGCTACCCTTGAGGAAAAGATGGCTTACGAGGAAGGCGAACGTGACTTGGTGGTATGTATAGTATCATCTTTGTGCACTGACGTCTCCATTCTAACACCCGGTGTCAAGTTCCTTCAACATCGTTTTGACATCGAGAACAAGGACGGTAGCAAGGACACCATAACTTCTACCCTCTGCGAATACGGCGCTCCCATTGGATCTGGCGGTTATTCGGCAATGGCGAAGCTCGTCGGCATCCCGTGTGGCGTAGGCAAGTCTTCCCGTGTTGCGACCGTGTTTGGTGATTCGAATGGCTCTTGATATGGCAGAAGTACCTTAGCAAGAGACCACCTTAGTACCGCACGGAGACTTGGTTCCCCACCATGCTTCTAACAATCAGAGATACTAACGTCTTCTATCAAACAGCTGTCAAACAAGTCCTTGATGGCACAATTTCAGAGAAAGGTATCCTCGCGCCAATGCATCCAAGCATCAACAAGCCATTGATGCAGGAACTCAAGGAGAAACATGGGTCAGTCTCCCCGGCCAGACTCCATAGACATTCCTACTGACAGAGGGCAGGATCGAATGTATAGAGAAAATCGTCGACTAGTCCGAGAGCACGCGTGTTGATGGAGAAGTGACTGCTGCCAGCCAAAGTAAAAGGTCTCACAGCCCGAACTCGCTTCCTTGGTCAGGGCTGGGATAGACTAGCAGGCGTTCAGTTCTTGATTGTGGAAATAGACTTGGTCGAGCTGGCAGGCCGCCTGCCTATGAAGACAGACTCGACCTCTCTCTAGAGAAACATGGAGCGAATTGGACAATACTCTGTACGGATACCCCCCCTTCAGCGTACTTGGTGCATCAACCTCGGGGCTCAATCGAGGTCTCGTCTCGGATTCGAGGTTGCCCAACGCCCTTGGCTCCGTGGCTGCGCTGGTGGTGCTCTCCCACGCACACAGTATGTACGTAAATTCCACGACGTTGATTCGCCATCCGCCATGTCCGAGCTACGGGAACAAGCCGAGAGGGCTCAGGCCGCCGGGCGCCTCTGAGAAGCATTCTCGCCCTTGAGGAAAGACGTCCGTCACTGTGCATGCCTGGATATTGACTTTGGCACTATTTCTCTGTCGCATTATTGTGACAGGTACGTGTAGTCCAGTCCTACAGTTAGCCTGGCTCTCTCCACGGGGAGATGGTGGTGCCGCCGAATTTACGCGAACTACCATGCGCAAATTGCATCCACACCCTGGTCGACATTGTGGTGACAGTTGTAATCTGGGTTGAAGGATGGCTTCAGACCTGGTCGAACATCCCCCAATCCAGCCTGGCCCAGCCCAGGGGCAGACAGGTTCAGGGTGGTGGTCATGACCATGCACCATGCCAGGATATGATGCTGCAGTTTCAGGCTCAGGCTCGGACTCAGGCTCAAGAAGAACCAAACACCCGCCTCGAGCCTCAAGTCCGGGCTGACCCTCCCACCTTCTTAAACCTTCTTGAACCAAGTTGATCTGTATTATCCTGAACTTTTCACCCCGTCAAGGCCGTTCACCTGATATAAACTCTCTACAGGGCCCGAGCTACTCGACAATCGGCCCCACGATGGATCTATCTTTGATCCTTTGCTCAGATCAAGGTCCGGCAGAGAAACACTCGCCAGAAGAGGGGGCGGCTACTGCTGGCCCACCTGAAGGATATATTCTGACTGAAGAGGTCCAAGACCAAGATGGTCCGCCTGATGCCACTGCGGAGCGAACAAGAAGGACAGTCAGGTGGACATACGACGAACTTTGCAAGTTGATTGAGCTCCGCCAGGGTGGCATGGGATGGGAAGCCATGAGGAAACACTTCCCCGGTCGGACGGCACTAAGTTGCAGATCGCGCTACCACCATCTTCTCAAGCAACCCAGGCGGTTGGCAATGCCGGAGGCGAGGTACGTGTGCCCCAAACATGCTGCAAGACCACCCCGAGCTGGAGCTGGTCCTTGGTTTCCAAGATGTCTGGCAGATCTAGCCCTTACCTGGACCTCACCTGCCCCCTTTTCTTTTCCCAATGTCCATTCGAACTTCCACCCTTCTTTGATATTGTGCTTTTCACCCTCTAGAAACTAACGGCTTGTAACATTAGGATATGGTCAAGCACAGAGAAGGCAACCTTCCATACGTGCGACTCACTCTTCATGCGCCAGGTGCATCAAGAGCACCATGCGACGGTGAGACCTGCTGTCTCACCTTTATGCGGGTCCCAAGTTGGATGGCGACCATATCACGATATCAAGCTTACCCGCAGTCCGGAAGAGTTGTTTTTGGGCAAACCGCTGTCGCTGACCACTGGGAGCCCTTCACCATCACCGTGAGCCCCGACGAGTGTGAGGTCAACTTTCATGGCCAGGGTATCGGTGGCTGTTTTGTCTATATGATACATTGACCTCTATGAAACTCTGGCAGGCTACCTGCTGGAATCTGCTCATACTGTAAAGCTGGTTCGGATTGTTATGAACTGAGGCAATGACTAGGAGATACCATCACGTGTGTCTCCTAAGCACGTACGTCAGAGCTCCTTCATTTTGGTCCAATCAATGCACTTCTATAGCAGTCCCTCGGTCCTCTTCCCAGGTCAGGTCAGATCAGGTCGTGTCCAGAAAATAGCCTGCCCAACTTCTGCAGGAGCTAGGGGTTAGCCTCAGACTTGCTTTTGTTTCTGGATTGGAGCGATCATTCACATACCGTCGGTTTGTCTCCAAGGCAGAAAGACCCTCTCTTCCCCCCTTCATCCCAAGGTGGACGAGTGGTGGCGGGCGCATACAGGGCAAGCAGTGCGTGGTCGAAGGCACCAAGAATGAAATAGCGCATAACAGCCTGTATGAGGCGAGAGGTTGTGGGGTGGGCGACACTCCTGGCCGCACTGGCCACAGAGGAGAGAGATGGACTGCCGGTGGTTGGTCCTGTCAAGAATTTTAGCCCGGGTCTGTTACAGTGGGTGTTATGGTCGCCCGAGGGCAACATGGGACTGTACTCTGTACTGTACATACACTTGATTCATTTCCGAGGATGTTTTGTTGTCCTGGGCCTGGCTGGATTTGAAGGACATGTCTTCTTATGTCTCCTCTGCAGGATTCAGGCGGGACTGCTTAAATCTATGTGGTATGTACCAGGCGATGCATGACCGTGAATGTCCCCCACGGCGCACACGGATCCGACAAGACCAACTACAAGATCCCATCACCCCCCTGACGCGATCGCAATCGCAATCTGGATAAGACCAGAAAGAGTCGGCTGGAATTCCTGGACAAAGTTCTGCATCGGCGCGCTTGCCCAGGGCCGGGCCCGGGCGGGCCTCATCCCAGAAAGGATCCCCTTTTTGGAGCCTTTGGCCTTTGGTCCATGTCGAATCCGATGAGGACGATGACGAGGCCTGCGACAGTCAACACTGATCCAGTCAGCCGCCGGTTGCCTATCAGTCACACGTCAACAATAGCTGACTCGGGGCCTAGATGGAGACTCACGGTGAGACTGGTTCGTCTCCGCCGCTAGGAGAGTCGCCACCGCCCGACCGACGGCAACCCCTTTGAAAGCAGTGCAACTGAGCTGGAAGCCACGCGTGTGCCCCGCGAAGAGGACAAGCTCTCTACGCTGTACTCCATATACTACGAGGAGACTGTACGGATGGTCCTTAGAGGCCTCCCCGTCTCCAGCCAGGCAGATCCACAGCAGTAGGCGTCCAGATCTACTCCGAACTAGCAGACCCATTGGGACCTTAGCCTTGGTGTTGCCGAATGACTGGAGAGACATCCGAATAGACTTTCAGCATGCACGGTCCAGCTTGTGGCGAGAACTTCGGTGTCAGCTGAAACCACTACATATGCCATATGGTACGTAACTACAAATCCGCCCGTCCTCGGTCCTCGGTCCTCCGCTACTCTATGCAGCAAGGCCCCGTCAGATCCGGATGATCTGCCCGCCGGCCTGGTGTTGTGCTTGGCTGAAGTTCGGCCCCTCCGGTCCCCCGGATCCCTCGCCTCGCAGCAACAGCAACAACACTCCCGGATAACATGGCCGAAGGTGGGAATGCAACGACCTATCCCACCCGACACCCGGATCCGCCGATCGACGACGACGACTTCAATCAACTATAGGACGGTAAAAAAACATGTGCATTGCATTGCATTGCATTACATGGCAGTGCTTTGATCCTATTCTCACCCGTCTGTCGTCCCAAACTCTATTGCGGTGTCAGAATGAAAGCCGAATGTGACCGGGGCATCCCGTCCCTACACATCAACAAGAATCAAACCTGGCTCCACGTTCAAATGGTTACTCCATACCCAAGCTTCATACCACGGAGGTCATGTGTCCGTACCCGTACTAGCTGCTCAGAGATGGTCGACGCGCTCTCAACTCTGCGCTGAGGCCGGTCGGTCCACCACACCTACACCTGTAAGCTTTGGCAGGGAAAGGTCGCCCTGAAGTCGGCGACTCCTGAGTGCAGGCGCACACTGTAGCCGCGATCTAGTGTACAAATGCCATCTACTGGACTCCGTACGAATACTCCATACTTCGTACCCATCCGAGTCTGAATTCCATCTCTATTTCACCGGTCCTGGAAAATACCCATCCCAGACCCCCACGAGCACGGGCATTTCGCTAAACTTCACGTCAAATCCGATCGCTCCGTCAGCCTGCCTCGCTAGGGCTCGGTTCCGGTACTGTGCAGTGTGCGTAAACCAGGTCGGGCTAGAGGGCTTAGGAGGCCCTTAGGCCTCTGGCTCAGGGGCTAAGGCTCTCCACACGCTTTGTCCCAGCCCCGAAGCATCACTCAGCTACACCGGGTCTTGGAGACTCATCAGCTAGAGTTGGCCTGTTAAGCTCTTCGTCTCACAGACGCGTGCAGCGTACTCATCTTGACCTGCCTTGTTCCAATCAGCTACTTCATCGCCGTGATTGACCTCGGCCTTCGCTACCGCCTGAAACATACCAGCCAGCTCACATTATGGCTCGCTCCTGATGCCGAGGTTGCACTTCCATGCCACAGCCACAAACACACTATAGCAGGCTAGAACAGCTTCTAATTCAACCTGGCAGCTGAAGTCTCATCAAGATCCATGATCGACCAACCCTTGGCTAGCCAAATCCCCTGCGCTGTTTTCAGAGTCATTGTGGGGTGCGCTGTTCCTACGAAGCAGGTACAAACAGCATGGAGTGAAATCAGCCCTTTCAAATTTCAGGCCTGTCTCTCCACCGCTGATAGTGTTCCGACTTTAACAGGATGAAATGGAAATGACAATGACCACTCGCTACTTCCCCGCACAGCGCCAGCTAGCTTAACCTCCATACTCAGCACCGACTTCGACTCTACTTCAGCAAGACCGCATCCTGCTCATCATTCCCTACGCCACTGTGGCGCATGCCCACGACACTTTGTGGTCACGGATGTTCGCCCCCAGGGAACGAAAGGGGCAGACAGAGTCTGAAAAGAGCACGAACCCCGCCTGGAACACGAACAAAAGCTTTAGGCCTGCCCGACTTTATAAAGGGGATGGAACATGTCCCTTGACTTGGAGTTTCCTTTCTTTAGCTAAGCCTTGAGTCGCTAGACCGAAGTATACGTCCTCGACTGACCCTGAATTGTCTACAGAGACTCTAGAACTGCCATTATTGTACAGGGACGATGCCTACCTGTCCGGAATGTCTACCGAATTCCGTCTGCGTGTTCCGCGCCACTTGAACCCTGTTGGTACAGTGGCTCCTGGCTCCTGGAGCTGACCTGCGGGCTCGTCATCCAGCCTTCCTTGTTAGACTTACTTACAAGCTCAACTCTGGCCAGAGTGAACGTCGTTATCGGGCCCGGACTGGATCTTTGGTGGAAAATTGATCGGACGTGGATGGTCAAGCTTTATGACCCCCAAAAATGAATAAGAACACGGGCTTAGGCTAATACCTGTCCCGAAAGTCCACCTCAGACCAAAACCCAGTGAGTCAGCCTCGTGGTATCTGGTGTACATACATGAATATGTACAGATATAATGATTGGCAAACAGTGTACTACTCCTAGCAAGGCTGCGCGGCCTTAGATGTCTCACCTTGGCTGCGTTCCGTTGCGGTCCAGAAGCAGAAGCAGAAAAAGATGCAGAAAAGATGCAGAATTGTCTATGCTGTCAGCCCTTGACCTTACGGGACATATATTGGCAGCCTCTCCCTTCCGACACGTGGTGGGTACACATCATGTCGGAGGAGCTTGGTGCTCCCCTTCAAGTGATTTGTGTCTCGGCTCGACCACTAGCAAACCAGTTGGCAGATCGGATCCGGGAAGCAGAGAGGAGAGAGCAGAGGAGAAGCCGCTTTCCTCGAGACGGCCGCCATCGCCGACGATGTAAAGGTCAAGAACTCTATGTCAACGACCGCGAGCCTTAGACGTTCGGGCTTCGACATCCTTACTATGTGTATGCAAGGAAGGTTCAACGTTCTTCCGATAGTAAACTAATCAGAAGGCTACGCATTCTTCTTATTCCAGCTTCAACATCCTTCCCATCCCGAACAGTATGGCTTTCTTGTTTTCACGCCATCACGCCAGCAATTATATCGCAGCCGACGTGCTAACCGCGGCACTGGCTTCGGTGGCGAGGGGAGGGAGGGTTCACCCACTCGCCGCACTGTAGCTATCAAGGACACCAAAAGAATGTATCTGCGTCGTCCGATTCGGTTCCTGGAAATTCAGTCAGCCGCGGTCCTACCTAGGAAGCTTCAACGCGCCAGTCCTTGCAAGCAGTGATATATTTCGTCATGAGACATCAATTGGTCGACCCAAATTCGATTTCGATTTCTAGCGGAATGATGTGAGGCTTCAACTCAGATCCAAGCCCGGGTATCTCTAACCTACCTTACCTCACTACTAGTAATTGATACTGTGCCAGCTGACCCTGAGAACACCGGCAGCAACAAACAAGTAGATATGATTGGAATTGAAGTAGTCCCTGTCCGAATAGTACCAGGCTTGATTAGTCACCCGGTGCCATGCCAAGCCTCTACGGCACGTGACACCGGTGGGTATTGGATCACGTGGTGCTTAGTCACGTCGGCTGAGCCGTGACAGCATTAAAGCGGCAATGATAATGACATGAATGAGGGGAGAGTCAAATCAGGCGCACCCTCGTTATCTGTTCTCTTTAACATCCAGCCAGTAAACAGACTCAGAGCCACAGCCAGAGCCGGCACAGATGGCAGGCTAAGGCCTGGGACTGGGAAATATGAGTCCCGCCAGTGGGGCTTGCTTGCAGGGTGCAAAACTCAAACGACTGTCCTGCTCACAGCAGGACCGGACCGGATATTTCTTCCTTTTCGCTGATCCGTCCCCTCCTTGTCGAGATGAATTTGACTCTCCGTATGGCGCAGGCGAAGAGTTCTCTCCGATCATGACAGACACGTGGCCACTGTGCCAACAGGTGGACATCACGGCAAATGGCCGACGGTCGAGGTGGCTGAAGAGAAGACGGCTATGCGTACTTCCCATTATCGGGGATCTTTTCCGACGTGCAAAGAACCTCCAACCTGTTGATGTTGCCCTCGACAGCCGTGAAGCGGGCATCGTTCTTGCGTGAGCAGGGAATTGCAGCAACCCGTGGGAGCGGTGGACCGGCCGCTCGGAAAAACCATACTCGTCCTGACTGCTATTGCCAACTCGTGCACGACGGTGACACTCGTGTCAAACGGTGAGTGTTCTCAACCGTGATCCACTGACCCCGGAGAATGCATCCAGGATTGCGCTAGGTCGCTACAGGACTGCAAACCCAGCATTTGGTCCAATAACGGGGGCTCTTTTCGGGGCTAGAACACCACCGCCCGCAGTGACGACAGACTTATCGTCTCTGACGGGTACTTGATGCCTCCCCCTCGCATCGCATAGCTCCCCAAGGTGGGTGGATATACTGATCGTATATGAAGATATATAGTACGGAGTTTGGCAGAGCCGACGTTTGAATATCGAGTGGCAACAGCTAACAACATTCACATTCACAGCCCAACCAACCACACCCACAACTTCGATTCGAATTCAACAACCTCTACCATCTTCTCGTCTGACACCAGCCAAACAGTTTTCTCACGAGTGCTGAGTACCGGCTGTCGACGTGGAAAAGGTCACTTGCGATTGTGATCCGCCCCAACTTTAGAATGCTCGCGCGCCGCGCGCCGCCGATGGAATTCTCTGTAGCGACCCAAGAGTGCAACCCCGATATGTGGCAATATCCCACCATGACCCAAGCCTTCCAGCCTCATCCTCAGTCACGCACTCTCCCCGGCGAAATGTCCTTCTTGCACCATCAGCACATGAATTCGCAGCCGTCCGACACCAACAGTGTGAGCACCACCTCGCCGTCGCTTTCCGGCAACCATCTGTCTCGAACCGTGCAACCGCAAGAACTCCACCTTCCGGTCATGGCCTCGTCGTCGTCCGAATGCTCGCAGTCGCCGCCCTCTGGGCACGGATCCATCGACTCCCCCGCCACCACCTCGGGCTACCTGTCGCTGGACCGCCAGGAGGAGCTGCGGCGGCTGTCACTAGCAACGCTCGACGAGGGCCTCGGCGAGTCGTACCGGCCGCGCAGCAATCCGGTCCGGCCCCGGCGAAGCACCACCACCCGCATCAAACCGCGCGACGACAAGCACGCCCGCGAACTCGAGCTCAACCGGAAAGCCGCCACCAAGTGCCGCAACCGCCAGAAGGTCTTTGTCGAGAACCTGCAGGAGCGCTGCCGCCGCGAGGAACGGAAGATGCATCTGCAGACCTCGCTCGTCCACGCGTTGCACGACGAGGTCGTCGCCCTCCGTAACGAGGTTCTGCGTCAGAGCTTTTGCACCTGTCGCTTCGTCCAACAGGCCGTTTATTCCACCGTGTCATGACCTACGATGTGTCCCAGTCCGGCTCATCCAGGGTCCCAAGAACCGATTCACGTCGCGAGGTCTACCAAAGAACTACCTCCCTTCCCTGCCCCACATGGGCGGCTCATCCGGATTGCTCAGGTCGACTAGTCAACCCAGCTACCAGGCAGTGTTTCATCATCCACCTCTCTGAGGGCCGACGGTTGAGGAAGGCCATCCACAGGCGGTATTTCATCATCCACCTATCTGAGGACCGACGGTTGAGGATCCGCAGACGATACGACCGCACGGCCGGCTGCAGCGCATCACTATTGCAGCTCTCCTGCTCTGCTTCTTGCGAAGACTCCGTCGACTTACGCCAAGGCAATCACGCAGGCCAATTGCCATCCATTTCCGTCCTCGTGACGCTTTTCCCATAACGGGTGTTTGGCCGCGAGCGAAACTGGTGGGATATGAATAAAGCGAAGCGAGTCACGTCCTTTAATGACTTCTTTTTGTACCACAACGTGGTAATGTGATTTGAGGAGTTCGAAGATTCGAGAAGTATGTGAGTATTCATCAGATCCCATCGACTGATTGGTTCGGCGGATTGAATTCAATTCATGAGAGTATGTCTTTTCTTTTCTGGGTTTCTAGGAAGGTGAAGGTGGGTGCGGGTGCCGCTACGAAGAAAAAGCCATGGCGGTAATCAACCACTGGTGGTGCTGGCAGTTCTTGCTATTGACGTACCCGATTGTGGTCGATCTTGACAAAGGCTGGCATGGATTTCTAGGCATTGGTTTCTCAGCAATATACTGTCGTTCAGGCAGACCCAAGCCTGCTCTCTGAGTCTCGCAAGCGAGGAGGAAAGCTCTGTATTCTCTATCTGATAGCCTGGTCGAGCCAGCGGCATATCCCGGCCATGAGAATGGAATGAACGCCGGACACTGGTCCCATAGCCATGAGAACAGCCAACGTCGTCCTATGTCACTCCTATACCGAAGCTCGAGTACGCTAGTCACGAGGCCACTCGTATAACGAAATTCTAACAAGCTAGTCACAAGGTCATGTATCTTTGGGTCGAAATTCAACATGCTTGATTTCGTTCAACTGGCCAGCACAGAGCCAGGGCAGCATATGTCGTACGAGGACTTCCTGCTGGCAGGTCTGAACGGGTGTAGCTAGGGGATGCAAAAGCCCGGCCGACGAAATTGATTTGTTTCCGCCATGCATAGATACCATTGGCTTCTCAACCGCGGTGGAAGAGCTTGCAGCCGCGGACCGCTGTTTCGGGCTTACAGATTCTTCACCAGCCATATAGTGTCTGGGTCCCTGCCCTTTTCGCCGCTGGCGCCGTCATCAAGCACGGCGGGGAATCTCAAGAATCCCAGCCGATCATAAAACTTGCCGGCCTGTTCATTTGACGCGGCCATCAGCAGGTGGACACCGCGTGCGCCGCTTGCCGAAGCTCGTTCGCAAAACTGTTCCATCAATTGCCGGCCGTAGCCGTGCTTTTGAAATGGAGGCAGAATGTCAATGTGAAGGTGTGCCGGCCATTGCCGCAGCAGTTCAGGATGTTCGTCATGGAGCATTCCTCTCGGGGTGAACATGATCTGCCTCAGGGCATTTGGCAGGTCGGTTGGATGGCCAGGCTCCGGTTTGTCCAGACCCAGGGTCTGCAGGAAAGGAATGTAGGTCCGTTCATAGCGTTCCACAAACGAAGGGGTGTGTGGCACGCCGAGCAGATAGCCTACGGCATGGCCGGTGCCGTCGTCAAGGACCAGACATGCGTCGGGTTGCAACATCAGATATGGTCGACACCAGATATAGGAGGCATAGTGGAGGACGGGGTCGGCGGCGTCACGGAGGTCCGGTGCGGCTGTCTCGCGGAACTAGTAAGGCTCAGCTATGTCAGACGGCAGATCACAGTGGTACGGTAGATCCGTAGTCTGGCACAACACACAATGTGGACCATGGCATCTTGGTCCGAGTCCTGATAGAGGCGGATGAAAGGCGTTGCCTGTGTCTGTGTCTGGGCTGGGATTCCATCCATGTCAGTGGTATGCACAAGAAGGGTGCTGTGCTTCATGCGAGATGAAACAAGTCAGCCATTTCAATAGAGGATGACATGGTGGAGGCTAGGAGAGGCAAGGTCAGGTATGTTTCGCCAGACCATGTAATGTAGCCTCTCACTCTTGAGCGCGCTGTTCGACCATCAACGGACATTCCTCTGCAGGCTGCCTTAGTTGGGCCGCTGGAAGTGCCACTATCGACGATCGACTATCGGAGGAGCGTGAGAACTTCCAGCATAGCAATGAGGGCAACTGCGCCGAGGTTTAACCCCGTAGTGCTAGTGGAGCAGAACTGTTTAGGGAGGTCTGCCGAGGGTGAGGCTCAGGGTCTCAGGTCTCAGCACGTGACGACAGGGTCATGGGCAATGATTACTACCACCACTACGGAGTACCTTGCTGATTACCCAAGTCGACTCGTCCCTGATTCCTACTCTGTAGAATCTAATTAGATACTATATTACTACCAGCAGGAGTAGCACCCTCCAGGCCGATGGCTGCGCCTCTCCAGGGTCCTTGCAGCAGGTCACGTGGAACACTCAGCCTCTTGCTCCGTCTCCGTCTGCGGGCAGCGATTCTATGTACAGAGACATGGGGAAGTGGCCCTTCCTTTGCTCATGTGAAATGGAAAAGAACATCATCCGAAGAATCTGACAGTGCACGGTCAAGCGGGATGAGCCAAACCATGTGACGGACGGACAGCGGACGGTGAGGGCCAGGGCCGGGTCCGGGGTCGAAATCAATAACTACGTCGTACCTATGTACGTACCTAACTAGTGATCTACTCCGTACTCCGCAGTCCGTCTTCTGCAGCTATTCTACTAGTATTGTCCGGGCTCCGGAGTACAGGATCACAGCGAGGTATTGTCAATTATCCATCCTTGACATAAACACTACATGGAATTGATAATTCAATAGTAGATGGTGATATTGCTGTGGCTGCACTGCCAGATAGAGTTATTAATAGAGTTATTGGCCACTGTTTTCGGTTAGTCTGCGTCATCTAGCAGACTAAACCAGATCCGGGATGGTGCTGGCAAGTTTCGACCAGTGCCAAAACTTCGGCCGGCCAAGAAAAAGTTGCATCGGTCGCGCCCAGGCCCAGGAGGCCACTCACTTCGCCCTGCTCCCGACCGCAGTCTGTCTTAGATTGGCGCCTCGCCTTGCCTTCAGCACACCCGACCAAGTGGTAGAGCTATCCTTGGACCGCAGGGCCTGTCTCTGAAAGTCCTCCGTACTCCGTCCAGCGATCACTGCTCTGTGCAGTCGCCCTCCCAGGACCGAGCGCCCGAGCCGAGGAACGCTGCTGCAGGGGCTGGGAGCGGGTCTGACAGGCACGCGAAAGGGACAGCGCGAGCGAGAGCGCAGGCCAAAAGCTAACGGGTCAAGTTGACGGTCTCTGTTAGCACGTCCCAGTTCGAGATTTGCACAATACGGACGCCCCGATCGCTCCCCCACCCAGGTCGGTCACTTGTCAGGTCGATGGACCTGTCAATAATGTCCAGGTTCGCCACAAGCTGGCCCCGTTTGACAGGCGGATCACTGGACCATTGGAGTCGGTTCTCGTGGGCGTGGGCGAGAGTGATGCAAGAGTCCCAAACAAGTTACGCTACAAGACGGGCGCCGTCAGGTAATGAGTGGGCGTTGAGTTGTTGGTTGTTTTGACGAGCGCCCCGAGCTCCTCCTATCCGGCTGTTGCCCTAGTCTCGTTCTGGCCGCCTTCCCGGGGTGTCATGGTCGCTGTCTTAGCACCGGCTGCCAGATGGATCTGGCTATATAACATATGTCCCCCCCTGACTTCCCCCAGACAGGTCCGCTCCTCTGATCAGACCAACAGGCTAGTGATACACAGGACATACAGTCGTTCACTCACTCTCTCCAGACCACCTTGGGACCTGCAGAACACGCTCGTTGTGAACCAGACCGGTCTTTACGTTGACTTTCGCTATTTACAGCCGGACCAGCTTGTGCCACAGATCACATTACAGTCAATTCCCCAGATGAAGCACGCCTCGACCAAGATGCGTTCATTCATTTCTGTTGCGGCCGTGGTCGCCACCACCCTCGTCTCCTCGGCCGCCGCTGCGCCTTGGGGCAACGGTTTATTCTGGGGCAACCTGAACCCCAACAAGTGCTTGAACCCGCACTCGGCCAAATACCTGGTCGATGCCTTCGGCGGCCTGCTGTCCAACTACACGACGGCCAACGCCGAGAAGTACCTGGCCGACGACTTGACCGACTGGTCGGACAGCATCAACTTCCTTGCCGGCCAACCGCTCGGCAATGCCACTTTCCCCAGCAAACAGGCTTTCGAGGCAGGCCAGGGAGCTCAGCCGGCAATCCCCTTTGAGCTGCTTGCCATCGAAGCCGTCACCTGCGACACCATTGCTCTGCGCTGGAAGACCGGTCTGCAACCGGAGCCCGTCAAGGGCATCACCATCCTGAAGGCCGAGAACACCAAGAACAACAACGACACGTGGCAAATCAAGACCATCTACACCGAGTTCAACAGCGCTTCTTGGGTCCGGGATATCGGAGGCAACGTCACGCTGCCCAGCTACGGATGATTGGACCGGCATGATTGGCTCGAGTTCATCATTCATTCATTCATCCATCATTCCATTTCACTCGTCATGATATCGACATCAGTCTTTTGGAGCTGCGCTGAGGACTCGCAACCTGATGTGATTGTCTCTTTTTGAGTTTTGCAGTCTCAGCCTTCTAGCGCGGCGTCAAAAGTTCTGTTCATATGCTTATGGGGATATCCTGCTTCGGCCGTTTGGCTTCGGGTCAGACTGGACCGTGTGGCACATACTGATCCGAGTCGACTGGGTAAAGGCATAGACGGCAAGGCTGGTCGCACACACGACAGATAGGATGGGATCTGGCATCTGCATCTGGTCTGGCAATCGGAAATGGGTATTGGGTATTATTTATATCATACTACACGCAATCGACGGCACCAGCACGACGCGGTATACCGCTCACTAATGGCATCCGTATACCTGTGTACCAAGTACAAAGTACAAACTTGAAACAAACCATCCAGTCCCGTGCTAATTAATCAGCTGCTGTATGCCAGAAGAAAGCTAGTTGTAGCTGTGGCTGTCTTTCTTCTTTTCTTTTCTCTTCTCCTCGAGTTCCCTTCCCTCTCTCTTCGTTGCCCTGTTCAATTGCCGCCATTCGTGACGAGTGACATCATATATACTATACTGTATATGTACCTATATATCCGCGACAGAGCTGAGACGGAGACAGACAGCGACAGCGACATCGACAGACAGCGACACATGTCATTGTCATCTGGGTCCTGGCGATTGCCGTCTGGGGCTGGGGTCAGGGCTGGGGCTGGGGCCTTAGGGGCCAGGATCTGACATGCATTATTGTCTAGCGTTTCATTCCCAGCCACGAATATTGTATATGTCGTGTTGGTTTATTTATTTCTCCGGATATGTACTCGTACTCGTACTCTTCAGCATCCATCGACATCGACGATCATGGTCATTTGATCTCTTATTATTGTCTGCTAGTTTCGTCATGTCATGTTGGTCTACCTACCTAGGTACCTAGTCTGTACTCTGTATATTGGAGGCTGGGTTTCTCTCTGTCTGAGCTGAGCTGACCACTGACCACGGATCCCTCAGGCCATGCACGTCATGCCATTCCATTTGTTGTGCGTTGTGGTTGTGTTGTGCTATGCTATGCCGCATGCATGCATGGACCGCAGTGCTACGGCGTACCTACCAGGTACCTAATGTAAGTAGACACCTTGTACCTAATACCAATACATAGATACATTAGGTAGGTAGGCACCTATATGATGGTGGTACTAGGTGGTAAGTACAACCAACATATCAGGTACCACCAACATATTGGCACATGACTCTGTTAGTTGTATGTATACAAAAGTGCACGTCCTTGTCTGTCGGGACGATTGCCGTTGCTGGTGCCGTTGCGTTGCTGCGGCTGTTGCTGTTGCTGTCGCTGATGTCTGTGCGCCCGAGCAACCGACTCGTGGTAAGCCAAAGCTGGTGCTACCTTACTTACTCCTCTGTACTGCTGGACAGAGTAAGAAGTACGAAGTACGAAGTACTACCTTACGCACACTCGGTCTGGCATGGGCAAGGCATGGCTGGCACAGGCATTGGTTGGCTACGTAATTCTACATACGGATACCCCTACATATCCATACGGATACAGCGTACGGAGTAGTAAGTACTCCGTAAACATTCAAGGTACAGATAGACAGTGTGGAACAAGCACTTTCGGCTACCATGCTACCACTCTCGGCTATCCTATCAGACAGCTACATACAGTACTTACTTACTTTGCTCCATACCTAAATAATTAAGGGGCAATTATTCACAGTAGGTGCATGCTCTACTCCGTATGCTCCAGGCAGTGTGCCCCTCCTCCCCTGACCCCTGGCGTATACTAGGATTACGGATTACAGGGACCAGATGATCCATCGCTAAATCATAGATACCAGGTAGGTAAGCATGCCGCTAGGATTATAGGGACCAGATACTAGGTGCTTAAAGCATGCAGCTCCATTAGTGACACCACCAGTAGGAGCGCGCTGAGCATATGCCGTCGCTGGAACTTGAAACGACTTATGTGTCGTCCTACGCATACTCCATACTCTATACTCTGGACAGTACTCAGATGTGTGCTAGATGCACTCGATACGACTACGGAGGACGGACGGATGCTTCAGAATGCAACTACATAACTAACTACAGACTAGGGAGTACAATACAGTAATTGAACGATATCACATCGATGATGCTGCATGAATGGGAAGATCGTTGTTCCTGTCCCTTGGGGTCCTGTAATCTTTGACTTTGACGGTACTACTACTAACACCAACACCAACACTAATCACTACGAAGTACGGATATAGTACGGATACACACCGAGTCTTTCGCCCTGGATCTCTGAACCCTGCTTAGTAGGACCCAGTACCTAGTACCCAGGACCCATCCAGATACAAGTTCCCCATCCAGATACAGGCACTCCATACTGCACTACACCAGTCGAGTCGATCCTTTCATCTCATCTCGTCTCGTCTCGTCTCGCTGCCTTCGTCCTTAATTTCAACTCGGACGGCGCCACTGCTAATGCCAGCGCCAGTGTGCGTGTGCGTGTCAATGTACGGAGTAGGTAGGCTACCAGGTAAGTACAGGAACAAGTCAAGTCGAGTGTTCATTCATGTCAACTCTGCGCATATCTCGGCCAGGATGGATGACTGGAGTGATATCTCGTCCTCGTCCTCGTCCTCGTCAACCGCGAGTCCCCCTTCTAGTACTAGTCTCGGGACGCTCTACGGAATACTACGGAATACTACGGATACACTCTCTACATACCTACGCATACACTGTCTCCATGCAGAGGCTCCAACATGTTTGGAGTCGAGTGAATGCCTCCAGAATATACGGAGTACATATCAATCACACTCTTCATGGCCAGCGAGAGGTTTGCAATCACACTCTTCAAGGTCAGCGAGATGTTTGCCCGTCACACTCTCAAGGCTAGCGAGATGTTTGCCCATCGTCTAGGTAGAAAAATCAATTCCTACTCGGAATCGGTAGGGTAGGGTATGCCAGGCACCTAGAGCCAACCATGGTTACTAACTAGCACAGCCTCGTCGTACATAATCTCCTTGTCTATATGCCCGTCATGACTTCATCTTCATCTACTTGTCCATCTCCATCCCATCTACCTGTCCATCTCCATCCTCATCTACCTGTCCACCTCCATCCTCATCCTGGTATTCTTCCTCATCTTGGTATTCTTCCTCATCTCCCAGTCTCCCTTGTGCGTCTTCGTCTTCACATTCGTTCCCGTCTTCGTCATCTCGATTCCAGCCTACCGGAAGAGGCTCGAATAGACCCATTTCTTTCAACTTTCGCAACCCTTCAACCTCCTTTTCGATGCGAATATAGTAGCTGCGAGTCCTGGAGACAATCGTTGGCACCCACAGCGCGGCACGACTGAAACAAGCTTCGGCCTCGGCGTATCTTCCCCGGTTGTAGTACTCGCGGCCGATGTGCATAGCATATACATAGTGGTGGCTCCTCCCTTTTGCCTCGTAGTCACGGTCGCCTAGGTCCAAGATCGCACGCGAAATTTCCTCTGCCGCGTCAACGAGGTCTTGCTTCAGGTAGATCTCCAGACGCTGGTGCAGCATGGCCACAGTGAATGGGTGGGTGGCTCCCAACATCTCATGCCGTTCACGCCATCTGGCTTCGGCCAGACCCCGCGCGACCGAAACATCTCCCCTGCTCGTAACCTCCGTGATATAGTACCTCTCGAGAAAGTACACCACGCTGGGCTCGAGGTTGGTAGGCTTCTTCTTGTCGACGATGTTCAGAATCACACGGTACATCAGCTCAGCCGCAGTCCACGGCTTTTCCGCCTTCCTCCACGTATCCAAGATAGCTGTCACTGGATGCTTGATTCCTAAGGTCTTCTTAGACATTGAGTAGTAGAACCCGACGACGTGGTTGTACAGATCTTTGTGGCCGCGCAATCGTGTCCCGCACAGGATTTTGATCAACGTTGGTAGCAGGTCAACCTCCTCTTTACCCAAGGCATCTTCGACTTGGCTACATGCCTTGTTGATCATGGGCCATCCAACTTCAGGTCGATTGTAATCGAGCAACGCCACTCCCTCGTCCAACACGTGGCTCATTTCGTCAACACAGGACGATGGGGCTCTGACAGGCAGTGGTTCCCCTGCAGGAACCCTAGTCTCGGCAACAAGACACACAGGAAAATAAGTGCTGATTCGGAACAAAATACACTCGACGTCATCTTCAAGTTGTCCACTCCTCAACGAAACCGGTCTGATTGAGCTTTTGGAAGGTCGGAGCGGTTGCCGCAGGAAGGCGCAGTCATATTTGCGCCAGGCTCCCTTCTGGTCTCTCCTGAATTTGCGTCTGACTCGATCCCAAGGAATGATCCGGCCATCGATTGCCATCTCTTGTGGAGGCTCTTGTCCCAGATCCGACAGTCTCTTGGCCTCTTTCGCCGCCGCCTCGAGCTCCCCATCATTGAAGTTGTCCCCAAGCTTCCATTGTTTGCGTCTTAACTTGAACGAGTGCAGCCTAGCCAGTGAGGATTATCAGCATCAACCCTGGGATTGTGTCTTCACGAATCACTGACTCGGCTTCGAAATTATGATACTTTGACAATATCTCACGCACTCTTGTCAATGGCTTCTCTTCTTCCAGTAGATATTGCTCGAACAGCGGCCGGATACGCTCCCATTCCTCGGGAGTCGGCGCACGCTTCCGTTTCGGGGCATTGTTGTTGGACCTTTTAGAGACTCCGTGAGCATCCCTAGTATTGTGAGCAAGAGCGGTACTCGGCATGGGGATGATGACGATGAAGATCGAGTTCGGATCAATAGGCGTCTCTGGGCTGCAGTCAAATTGTCCGCTGAGAGGGAGGTGCAAACGCAGTCACAAACTGGAACGAGACGCTCACCCTAGGCTGGCAGAAGGCTGGCACAGCCCTGGTGTCACCGCAGCTATCGAGCGCTTAGCCGAAGGGAGTTGTACACAGCCATGTAACCCCCATGCCTGCGTTCCACCTGCAGCCTTGCGTCCTGACTCATATGAGCCGGTCAAGGCGTGGCGAGGCCGTAGAAAGACTCATCCGCTAGCGACATTGCTTCAGACGAGACAATGGCTCCATGATATCCAATAATTTCCACTGAATGTCGAGCTGCTGTGGTTATCGTGTCGCTAGTCGCTGTAAGACCTTGTGTGGCTTTGCGATTCTCGGCGGCTTTAGGGTGCCCCAAACCCCTCGCTTATTTGTCAACTAGGATGAATCCCCTGCAGCCACCCTTTCAATAGCTTGGGAGACTGAACAAGCGACATAACTTGGGATACAGCACACAATACCTCAGAGATATCATGATAACGGTTGGAGACAGTTTGCCGCCGGTGAGAAGCATTGGATAGTGCCCGAAGTGAGAATTAGACTCAGCAACGCTATTTCTCAGCCCTTACCTTGACCGTGAGACCCATCAAGGCAGACAGATGGACCCAGCCTCAGAGCAGGAGAGCAGGAGAACCTCCTTTCATGCTATCTTGATAGTCAAGCTCAATGTAGTGGGACAACTGCAAGCTGAGTCCGATCTGCCTTGGTAGAGGAGAGCCAACGGGTTCAAGCAGCAAGCAGAACATGCTATTTGCAATTGCCAGTGCCCGATTGAGATGGTACTGTTCCAATCACTTGACGCATGGCGAATGAAACTTGCGACGGTGGCTGGTGTCTTTCACCCACCTGAAGGTATTGATGTTGGAATTTGTGGTCTCCAACTCGATCAGACGTATGACTGGCACCACTGTCCGTAACTACGGAGTACTTGCCCAAGTCCCGTTGCTTCACGCGTACCAGGTCAGACTGGCAATTTGGGCCAATCCCCTTTCTGTCTCTGGGAACGCGATTCTCATTTTTCTCCCAATATTCTGCATAGACCTCTCTAGCATAGTGTACAACCCCGCGTCCACGCCAAGTCCGATTGTAGTCATGAGTTCGGCGAGTTGTAGGTCATAGTGCCCGACGAATTGCTATGAGGGATCAAGGGTCTTCGCTGGGTTGGTTCTAGAGGTCAATTCGGCGAGGTCGAACGAAAGGGATGGAGGGGCCCAATTTGCAAGGCACGTCGTAATGTGGAAGGTCAGACGGCCAAGTGTACAGAAGGCTCAGGCTGGAGGAACCCAGACAAATAAAGGCCAGGCACGAAGAGTTCCGTCCCTGAGGCCATTGAGCTGGAAGAAACCCACGAAAGAGCAGGTCTTTCAGAGACAAGGGGGATCGAAGAGGAAGAGGTTGGCGACCCGAGAATTAAGTTTTCCATCCAAAGGCCAAATGAGGGGTCCATGAAGAGTACCAAACTATCACAGGCTGCCTTAGGCTTAGGCTTCCTCTTACGTTTAGCTGCCGTGCCGTGGCTGCAGCCCGGAGATGCAGAGTGGCAGCTAAGCCTTAGGCCTGCCAAAGTCTTGAGCAATCCAGACTGTCGGGACGCCAGGGAGACACGCATATTCGTCACTCGTTGCTGTCGTGGACGGATTCGCCAGCATGGCTGCTGCTTTCCGTGGCACCCTCTTCCAGCTCGGACGCTTCCTCTTCCTCTTCCACTCCCACTTCCACTTCCACCGTCACAGCCATACAATGTACATGAGACTCGGGGATCTGACCCTAGCTATGTGTACATGTGTTGATAGGGCGAGGGCCAATTGATGGTGTCCATATCTATCGTGTCAAATTCCTGTTCCAGTCCCAGGTCCCTGGCATGGTCAGCAGAGCCGACATTGGCATACTGCAGGTTGTCCATGCCCTCGACGGCACAAAAGCCCTGTGGTGCCAATGCCAAAGTATTGTTGGGCGAACGTCCCTCTTCCTCGGTGATGGTCTGTGCAGAGCATTGCCCTTCCGCTTCCATCTGCTCGACCTCTTCAGTCTGCTCCATCTGCTCAATCTCTTCAATGGATGAAAGTGATCTCGCAGCACTAGCACTTGTTTCCTCGCCACCCCGGACTTCGAGATGAATGTCGGTCGGCGCCGGCGCCGACGCCGATTCCTGTCCAGCATCAAACAGATCCTCTTGCAAGCGCCGAAGTGCGTCGAACTCCCGGATGAGGATGGACACGTAGGCATGGTCTTTACCCATCTTGTCGGCGGCCCAACAAATAGCCCTGCAGTAGTAGGTCAGTGCCTTGTCGAGCTGTTGAGTGCGGAAGTAGTATTTCGCGAGCTCTTCGGCCGTCAGGAAGTAGACTGCATAGCGGAGCCTGTCGACCGGGTATCTCTCACCAAGCTGGATAATTCCCAACCTCATCTCATGCGCTTTGTCGACCGATCCTTCTTTCTCGTGCAGCTGCGCTAGTCTCTGCACCAGTAACAGGGTGTGCAGGCTTCGCTGGCCGAGCGTTCGCTTGTAGTATGTTAGGCGTTTCTCGATTAAACTCCGAGTCTCGCGCGGCTCCAGCCGGTCGCTAATCTGATCGATGAACTTCCTTTCCAGGCTGTAGATGTGGTAGCGGTCGATGCCGACGGCGTCTCGACTCTGCTCCACCACGTCCATCATCACCTTGACCGCCAATTCCATCAAGCCTTCCAAGACTTCACCTCCCCGTCTGACTTTGGTAAGAATCGTCAAGATGGTCGTCAAGGGATGCAGCGGGCCCAGCACAACTTTCGCCATCGACGTGAAATGGCGCGCAATCTCCACTATCAGGCCCTGGTACGTCGAACTCGTCGCAGAGCGCGCCGTCAAGAGCGCCAGCATTTCTGGTAGGAGATCAGGTTCTTCCACCTTGAAGACCTTCTCGATCATCGTGCACACATAGTTGATGCCCTGCCACCCTTTCTGCGGCCAGCCTCGCCTGATGAGTCCCAGGCCGACCAGAAGTTGAGAACGGAGATCGTTCGGGTCCGTTTTTATCTTCGCAGCATATCTTTTGGCTTTGGACATGGCAAGGCTTTCTTGACGAGTGATGGTGCTTGACCAGTAAACCGTCACCTCCTTCAATATCAACTCGGTGTTATTGTCCGCAGGAGAGGCTTTCAGACACACGGTGCCAACCGCAATTGACCAGTCGGAAACATTCTTTAACCATGGGCACACGTATCTCGGATCATCACCGAAATGACGGCGTACACGGTCCCATGGGACAGAACGACCTCGCAACGTCAGGTCCTGGGGAGGGTCTAATTTTTGATCGAAACAGCGTCTTGCTTCTTTGGCTGCTTCTTCGAGTTCCTTGTTCTTGGAGAAATTCTTCCTGAAATCCCACTGGGAAAGCCGCAACTTCCACATATACACTCTGGTCACTGTTAGTGCTCTCCATTGTAGAAGGGTGGGTTCCTGACTCGGCTTGGAAGTCATGCTCTTTCGACATAATCTCCTGCACTTCTTTCAGCTTCTTGCCCTCCTCCAAGATGTATTTTCTAGCATATGGCTTGATTCGCTCCCACTCCTCCGGGCTTGGGCCGCTCTCACGGCTGAGGGTGTGCCCAACATTGCGACTGTTGGATCGAACTTGCAGAGTCCTACGTCGGACCCCCGGTGCTGGCATTGAAAGTATCACAATAGACTCTCGTTTCGGGAAGGAGTTGGGGAAGTTTGGCCGGCTCGAGAAGGCGAGGCTGCTGCTTGAGGTGAGGAGAGATCAGTGTTCAGTAGAAGTGCTTGAGCTGTGACCGATGGCCTGCCTGTAAGAGACTGCGGCCTCGACATGACGGGCCGAAGCAAACAAAGCTGCCTGCTGCCTGCTGCCATGCGGGCGACTGGTTGACGAGGGCTGTGCAAGGCTTGCGAGCTTGCGTAACGAGAGCCGTGGCATTGTAACACCATTTAGCGCCGGCATAGCCTTGCGCCTCCTGAGCGCGATACGCTTCATTGCATGTACTCTGCGGCCACGACCACATAGCCAGTGCCCTTTCTGTGCGCAGTCTCCCGGGGTAAGGGAGGGCAGCTAGTCAGTACTAGTATAGGCCCATAGGGCGACCGTGCTTAGCATCGGGGTTGGCGGAATATCGGGGAAACTATGGACATAAGTAACCAGTGGCTTTTCTGTTAGTCTCATCGGCACAAGCCCCTAGACTTGGTGGCAACTGATCGGTTTCCTTGTCAATACTAACGCATATCTTGAGTAATCCATTAAAATCATTAAACGAGAGGAAGATTCCAGTGGCCTCGGTGGCAAGATGGTGGCCCCGACGAGCAGCAGCAAGACTGAAGATGATCATCGAGTGTATCCGTAATATAGGAATGGAACAGCATGTACTAGTAACAAGCACGGCAACGTAAATGCATTCTCAAAGACCAATGAACGGCACGGACAACCCAAGTCGTTGATTGCTTCTTACCTAGATCCAAGCTGAACGTTGGGACAGCTTGTTCGATTTTCTTCGTCTGCATACATATTGAATCTCTTGAATAATGCCTTAACTTGAAATCCACGGCTTAGAAATGAACTCCAAGTCAACTTGGTCGTAGTGGATGAAAGAATTCCATGGTGGCCGGGGAGAAGATACATGGATTTTGTTTATCAGACGACACCAGCTGCTTCGAGGACATGCTCCCGAGCAAGACGAACGAACCCAGTCAACAGCCGTACTGTCTGAAGTTGTAGCATCAGCGCTGCTGGATCCTTGCTTTCTTAGCTGTTCTAGTCATTAAACACCTTGAGTTCGGGAATGGTGGCCGAGCGCGGTGTCACGAAGCTATCGCTGTTCAGGAATTAGTAGTGACACCTGATGTGTTGATTGGCCTGGCGAGATGTGTGTCTGTTTTCTCTTGTATCAATCATTGCCACTGCAGCACTTCTCGTTGCCATGTTCCTGGCAGTCATATAAGCCTGAGTTCCCTGTTTGCGAGAATCGATATCTGGTCATTCTCATTTCAATGTAGCCCAGATCAGCTAATGATATTTGCAAGTTCTCATTGCTCGTGAACGGGAATTCGTATTATGTCCCACAAGCGTATGTAGGATTTGCTTGAGGAAGAACGAGCCAGTATGCATAGCAGATGCGCCAGCAAGGGCTACCTCGACCGTGAGAGGGATGGGATTAGAGCTAGTTCTTCCGAAGTCGATAAGCGCAAAGGTGGTCGCAGGCGGTTGATCCAGAAATCAGAACCGAGCTTCTTGGGTCCGACCGTAAAACCTAGCTAGGGGAGGGTGCAAGCCACTGCTCAGGAGTCGACTCAGGCAGAGCCGGAACGGCAGCTCCAGATACATTGTCAATGTACTCCGTATTGTCAACACAACGGCAGACGACATGGAGGAGCAAAGGAGACGTCGAGGCGGCCCAGATTAAGTTCTCTTGTCAAAATGTCAAAATGTCACTATGAATCTTCTTGAGGATTCCGCAGCTTGAAACGCGGGCGCGCCTTCCTCTTGCGGTTACTTGCCGTGGTTGCAGTTCGGGAATGCGGGCGGGCGCCCGCCAGAGTCTTAGGCCATGCATGCTGCCCGAGATGCAGATATCAGACGTGCCAGTGGTCTGGCCTAATCTATGCCGCTGCCGCCCGTCTTCAGCCTTGCAGTCGCTATGTGATCGCTGGAGCAACGCAGGTGGTGGCAGGTATCATCGATTTCATGGAAAAGAAAAGAACGAATCCTCCATTAAAGGCACTCCAGTGGTGCCTGCAAGGCAACTGGCGGAAGCTGTACATAGAGGGCATATATATGCCTCGTTGACAATTCAATATCATGAACTGGCTTCCAGCAGATAACGACAGACTGTGGCTTCCTTCTAAGAGACAGAGATGAACCCCTCGTCAATCCTTCTCATGATCCAACTCTTCCTACAAGTCAATCAAACTGCCACTTGTTTGCCCGACTGGCCTCCCCCCAAACGGGTTGTTGTTTTGCTGCCCGTACCCGCCACCAAATACACCCGCGGGTCCAGTCTGAGCCGGAACTTGTTGACCATAACCACCTTGGGGTTGACCAAAGCCAGTGGCCTGGCTTGAAAAGAACGGGTTTGTGCCAGTCTGCGCTGCATGAAGCCGATCAAGACCCTGTCCAGCCGAATTGACAAAAGTACCGGGAGCCGTGTGTTGGGCAGGAATACGCAAGTCACCCGTGTTGCCAAAGGTATCTTGTCCTTCACCCGAAGCTAGTAATGCGTTGAGCTTTGCGTGCTGGGGATTGACTGGCTTCTGAGGTGGTTGCTGCTGCTGGAAGGATGGCTGTGGAGGTGCATAATTGAGGATTGGGTTTGGTTGCGTCGGCTGGCTGAATTGAGTGGTTGGTTGCGACTCGAAAAGCGTTCCTAGCGCAGGCTGAGTGGTGGTCCGGCCGAATGGTGAAGGTGAGGATTGCTGCGTCCTGTGGGCGAAAGGATTGTTCGACCCGGTCGGCAACGGCTTGAGCGCCTCAACAGGTTGCGGTGACTGGGCGGCGAATGGATTATTCGTTCCTGGCTGTAGACCTGGCTGCTGTGGCGACTGCGCTCCGAAAATTTCTCCCCCAGTCTGCACGCCATATGGATTGTTGGTTTGGAACGCAGTCTGTTGAGGTTGAAGCGTGTTCTGCTGTTGGAGGAATGGCTGCTGGCCAAATTGATCGTATCCAGTTTGCTGGGGGGGGTAGCCACCTGTGAAGCCAGGTTGAAATCCTGTTTGTTGTGGTTGCGCATATTGATTGTTGAGGAAGCCGGTACTCTGTGGTTGTTGTTGAAGGGGGTTGCCAAACCAATCCACTGCTGGTTGCTGTTGATAACCCTGGTTGTAGCCAGTTGGCTGACTTTGCGCCGGTGCAGGAGTATCGTCAAAAAGCGAAGCGGCATTTTGATCCTCGAGCTGGCGCGCACGGAGGTCCGCCTCCTCCTTGCTTAGTTGAATTGCTTTTCTCAATTCTGGATCTTGTTCATCGTTTTCATAGTTGGCCAGTCGCGCTTTGTTGCGTGCGGCCTGTTCCGCCTCTTCTTTGCTTATTCTAAGGGCTGTTTCCATCTGGGGATCATATTCGTCGTCCGCTCGGCTCCTAGCGCGCTGCCTCGGTCTCTGAGCAGGGCCAGCGATCGCCTGCGGAGCATATTCATCGATCCCACTGACACGAGCTTTCCACAGCTTGCGGTCTGAGCGTTCACTCCTGAGACGGTCCTCGTCCAGAATGAGGGATGTCAATTCTTTTGCCGACATACGAACTGTGAACGGTCAGCATCCGAAGCAGTCACGACGCCTGTAGAAGCCCTTACCGTTCTGTCCAACATCTTTGCCGTCTTCATCGATGTATTGGAACTCTCTCAATGTCTTGATGATGTAGATGTTCTTCCGGGCCCATGTCACCACTAGTTCCGAACCTTCGTGCAAGCAGTAGTCTAGGACTTTCAATGACTTCAGCACGTGTCGCCAGTTCTTTCCCTTGTCATTCAGGCGCTTGTCAAGCATGTCCATGATCTCGTAAAAGTCGCCGGGGCTGTGTAGCCATTGTCAGCAAGGGCAATCGGTCCATCCCGACTCTTAGAGCGACTCACTTGTTGAACGTCAGAGCTGCGATTTCCGCCATATCTGTGCCCGTCGGGCCCCATGGATCATTGGAAGTCGCTGGTGTTCACATGTCAGTGCCTGCTTTGCAGTGCTTTGGGTGACCGGTGACCGAGTGAGCCTGCACTTACCATTGCGCACCTTGATCTGCACGCTGCTGTATCCCTTGGTGACATTTTTGACGCTTCTCACGACTTTCGACATACTCCCTCTTTTGCGTGCGATGGGCGAGGTCTCAAGAGATGATTGTCTGTAGAGGTTCGCGGAGGTCCGTTGACTGCGAAGATTCTGGGTGGCGTCTCCTTCGTTTGGCAATCCGACAACAGTACGACGGCGGGAGGGCGGGTAGTCAAGCGAGTGGCTAGGCGTCTCGGCGACCGAGTGGCGGCGTCCGTTTCGATCGGTCACTGTACGCACTGTAGGGAAATTGGAATAGAGGAGAGGAGAGGCGAGGAAGGCCAGCTCGGCGATGGATGGATCAATCAATCGATAAGGGTCTGCGGCAGCCTTGGGGGAAGAGGCCGGGAGTGCAACGTAAAGTGGAACAGCGGCCAGCTACTGTAATCAATCGCATCTAGGCCAGGCTTGTTCACCGTCCATGCTTTTACTTTTCTGGGCGGCTGGCGGAAACTGAGGCGTGGCGCAGCCTTTGAGGAGCTGGCGGGTGCGCAGCGGGCACCTAATCTGTCGTGGCTGGTGACGCAGACAGCGTAGTCCACCTCACGACCTCCCACTGGCAGCCGAGTCGCTGCTGATCGATGGCGATGGCGAAAGTGATGCGCTCACTGTGTAGGGAAAGAGGGAAGATTGAACCCTCTTCTCAACGCTCCTGAAGAGGAGCGACGCTTATGATGAGTTTGACCAGGCCACAACGTCAGCTGCAGCCTGCGCCCTCCACCATCCAGTGCTCCCACATCATGCAACTGCCGCTACAGTACCTCGCTTACCTCACAGCAGTGCGCCCAGTGACCACTAGTACCACGATGGATGCAGCGGCGTCGAGCTACCTTACCTTCAGTAGCAACTCTGGAGTTTGGATCCTCGGCTTATAAGTCAGTGATAAAATGAACCAAATGTCAGCAGACCCGATACGATACACCGAGACACCCACGATGGTGCGCGATAGCAGGCTAGAAGTCTGTAAAGGGCAAGGTATTCCTTGCCTTTCCAGAGCCTCCCAAGCCTGCATGGTTTCTTTAAGGCACGCCTGAGTACAAGTAACAGCCTTAGGCCCTTGAACAGACGCCCGAATGCGCAGTTGCTCACTCTCTCGCCGGTTCGCCTACACATACATGCAGCAACGATCCATGTTTGATGTCCGCTCCCCCCAGGTAGTTTCTGATCTGACAAGATTCCTCGAAGCCTTCTGTCTCAGCAGACAATGCACGATGGTGATGCTCAACGCTGTCCCAGCCAGTAAACAGCACAAACTCTTCCCTCTCTCCCTCTTCACGCGATGGCAGGGACAACAACAACGGATCAAACCCTTTATCCATCCTGTACCCTCCAACAACGTGCCCAATTCCACCAATGACACCTTCTAGTTCATCTCTACTAGCCTCAAACCTGCTCTGAAAGACGTCCTTCTCGCCTTTGTCGATGAAGTGGCGACCAATCGCCAGGGCGTGTCCCTGCAACGGGAGAGGTGTTGCCGTCTGGTCAATGTCGAGATGGAACATCCAGTGCACGGTGATTTGGTCCTTCAAGAGACTCAGGATCTCCTGGTTTGCCCGGCTAGGAATAAATTCTTGCATATGAAAGGTGACCGACGCCCATGCTCCAATGATGAAGATGAGGCTAGGGTCTTCGATGCAGTGGTAGTATTGGAACTTATGGCCGCTTGCTCCCTCCATCACATCCTTGGCTTTGGACAGGTTCGCGAGCAGAGCTGGAGACGAGACTTCGATGCCTGGTAGCAGGCGGAGGAGAGCGAGTTCGGTAACAGGCATACTAGAGAGCGTAATTGACAACGTCTTCGAAGGGTTGAGCCTAAAGGAGACGTTCGTGCCAAATCCAAGCAAACTGTGAGTTGGGCATCTAGGCATATCTATAGAGTGGTGCGGGACGCGTTCCTAATGACACATGGATTGTGCCGTCCACTGTCAGCCTCGTCACCTATTCTGCCTAAAGCACAGTTTGACCCGGTCAAATCCGTCCGACACTCGTTCGGATCTCTACGAGAGTGTCTCACGGAGGCTTGATTCACAATCCAACTGAAGTGGCTCGGATTTTGTCAGCTACTTAAGTGTTGGCAAATATGACTTCCGCTACGGACTACTCGTGGCAGTGGCCTTCTCTCGCCTATCTTGTCTATTTTAACAGCATGTACATGCCTATAAAGAGCCTGCTGCTCTGGACAGACTCAAATCCGAACAACAGATATGCTACTCCCTAGCGTCCCTGAATCGAACCAGGGGTCACCTCGTAGTAGTTCAGAGCACCTTTGGCCTTTGCGCAGCTGGTATTCGGGCTCGTGGCGTTGACAGGGATGGAATTGCCGTCTTGAGGACGCCCAACCACCTAATGAGACGAAAGGTCAGGTCAGACTCGTCCAGAGAGGGATATCTCGGGTGACTGGACACTCACATGGCTATAATACCACACCTCGCTGACAACTGTCCGCCCATTATCCGTGCTGCCCTTCCCAGCCTCGGTGGCATTGTATCGAGGGCCGCTGCACCCGATATACGGTGTCGCGCCGTACCTTTTAGTAAGCGCGGCCTGAAAGTCTGAGAGCGTGTAGGTGGTCGAGTTCGAAGGGACAATCGCCGCCTCGTGCAACCACTCCCAGGTGGGCAGGCGTTTGTAATATTTGATGACGGTTTCGAAGAAATCCACTACCTCCTCATGCTCGACGTACTTGGGCCCGTAGCACGGGACGTCAAAGGTAGAGTAGCATGTGGCGTGCTTGGAGAACTCATGGGCAGCTAAGTCGATGTTGGGTGCGCCCTGGTTGATCCAGTACGTGTTCATCCAGTCGAGGAGGTCGTATCGGCCGAAGGATTCCAGGAAAGTCCCAATGTTTGGTCCCTTGTACGGCGGAACCACAGTGCCGTTGGGTAGGCCGTTGGTGGTGTTGGGTGATGGCGTAGGGTCATATTGGCGCGACAGATCACAGTACTGCGTGTACGAACCATTGCAAAAGTCAGGCCACAATCCGTGCAATGTCCACGTGTCGGCAGGTAGCTTCTGCCCTTCGGCCTCGAGGCCTGTCCAAGTCGACCAAAACTGCGTAGAGAGCAGCAGACCACCGTAGGTTTCGGTGCAGCAGGTGTCGACGCTGGCAGCGTTCGCACTGGACGAGCAGGAGAGGACGGAAGGTTCTATGGACGGTTGGCCTTGTCTATGGCGATGGGCCAATATGCCAGGATCTCAAACTCACCCAGCACGCAGGTGTGGTTGACCTTGCTCTCCCCATAGAGCGAAGCTTGCACTGTGCCCGCCAGAGCGGCAGCCAGGCTGACGCGTTTCAGAAATGCCATGCTTCCAAGCCACACAGTAGTGTCGATAAAGAACAGTGAAGAAGCGACGGCAAGGGAGGAAAGCGAAGAGCAAGAGGAGAACGCAGCTTTTCTACCATACCTCATACTCGGTGGGCTGGCAGCTTCCACGGTTTTCTGCACCACGACCGGCTCTCTCGCTTCGGTACATCATTTGAACTTCGAGTCAAACCCACTTCTGAGTAAAAAGAAAGCTCGTATCGACGAGTAGGAGAGCATAGATCAAGCACCTGTGGAACTGACTGCTATCCTAGCAGATGCATCGCAAGGCCAGGGTCGGCAGTAGTGACGGGAAGAATGGTACCTTGCACCATGATAGCTGCGCGTGTGGACTTGATTGGAAGACGCGGTCCAAGTAACACTCGGGATCCGGGATCTGGAAGGTCAGACTGTACCTACGCTGTCGGCCTTATGGCCTTAGGGCGGCTTCCTATAACCAGATTACCACTATCTCTGGATAAAGGATTTTTGGAATAAAACATCAGATGTTTACTTCAAGGGGCTGTAGAGTATATCCAATATACCAAAAAAGATATCCGTCTAGTAGAGCTGGCTGCTGGGGATTTCCTTAATACCATCGAAGCAGTATTCGAATAAACCATCATTAATTCTAGCACCCCCTGTGCCTCCTAAGCCCCACGGGGCACAAAACATACTATGGCCCTCTTTTATCCAGGAATCCCTGAAACGGAGAGCTTGATCGAACGTCATGTGGGCTTTATTATGGCTACACAAGGAGCGCTGATATTTCAAGACGCAAGTCCAAGTCATGTTTCGATCTCCCCATAGAATTAGCCCAGGCAGTTGGAAGGAATCAGTTCATTCGTCTGGCCGATAATCTGTCTGTCCCAGCATCTCTTGTCCTTTAGGTAGGTTGGGTGTGGTCGTTGAGGATGGTTGCGTCGCGGCTCGACTGCTGGCGGCATTGAGCCTTTCATCCAGGGCTTTGAGAGCTAGAGCTCTCCGTCGTTCTGCCTCCTCGCGTTTGCTCATGCCCCGTGCTCCACGTGCTTGCTTGCTATAGTTCGGTAAACCGCTCTCGCCTCTCGCAGCAGCTTGCTCATTGCCCGTCGCAACATCTTCGTCGGAGAATGGACTACATATCTTGAGGTTGCATAATAAGGTGAAAATCTGGTCGCAGAATGCCGCAATCGGTGGCTGAATGATATCGGGGAAAAAAGTCGCAAAGGCAAAGGTCTCGCTTGCATCGCCTTTGAGACCAGATCCATCGGTGCTTGTGCCTGAAAGATCGGGTTGGCGCTTAAAAAAACGAAGATAGATCCATGTCGTGATGAGGCCATACCAGGCTAGAATGAGCGCGGTGTCGGTCCCAAGGAGTAGGCCAGAAAGGGTATTAACTGCCAGAAATACTGCAGGGAAGTGCTTGACCCGCATCTTGATCATACCCTTGTAAATGCTTACGGTATGTTCCGGGACCAACTGCTTAAATGCAACCAGGAAGGCCGCCTGGATCGTGATGCCACCGTTGATGGACGTCAAGGCTCTTTCAGGGTTGCCAGTTATGGTTGCCCACACGATATATGTCGGGACCGCAAAGAGATTCGGTATCACCGCCGCAATGAGAATCACGTAGATAAACCCCTGAGAGCCCCAGGCTCTTTCCAGGTATTTCCCGCCAAAGAAAACAGTGACTCCGTTGACGAGGAAGGTGACAACATTTTGCTCGACAAAGGTCGCCGTGAGGATTGTCCAAGGATACCACAGGCAGAGCGAAGGCACGAGCGCAAGGTAGGGAACGATGGGCTTCGTGGTGGGAGGGGCCGACGTGGCAGCATCTGGATCAGGTTGGGAGAGCCTCCATCGAGCAATGGTGTACAGTGAGGTCAAGGCCACGATGATCGCGAGCAGGGCACGAGTAACGGGAGGGAGGTTGATTCTGAGCGCCATGAGGAAAGTAAGCGGGACCAAAATTGCATCCTGCGCCGAAGTAAGAAGATGTAACCTGATGCCGTGTTTGCTGTTCCAGATGGACGCGGTGCGCTGTTTTGCCAGATCGAGGGTCCCTGCGTACAGTAGGTGAGTCTGTAGGGCTCCTTAGCCACAGCACCCTACCATGCTCGGTAGCAGAATCCCTCTAATATAAGCTAAAAGGAAGAATTGACCCGAGGCATCGCCGGTGCCCACCAACTTCTGCACGAGTTATTGGATGACCTGTTCAGATGCTTGAGGCAAGATTGCTCTCGGCGTGAAGAAGGTTTAGAGCCATGCTTCGTCGTACGTGTAACGTGATGCCACAACTGCAGGATTGAAGATGGAAGATTGGAGCATGGTATAATAAGGTAATAAGGTAAGTTAGGTCTGGCGACCCCCAAGCTCAGGGTGTTCTAGGCACCAGGCCTGGCACCTACAGTACCTGGTACTCAGGCAAGCTGGTCAACGCGATTGGGCACGGCTAAGTACTATTATGTGTTAGGCTCTCAGCTAGGGTGGCACGGGCTGCAGCTACTGCCTCAGGGCTCAGGCTCCTCAGGCCTTAGGGGCTCCCAAGGCCTCCTAAGTCCTAGGTGGTGCGGTAGTGTAGCTAAAAGTGCAGTGATCATAGTGGATGCGATCGCCCCCAAAAACGCAGGCCGCATCGGGCGTCTCTTCTCTGTGGCTTGCACCGTCGTGTCTGGCTTCTTCTTCTGACATGTCACGAAAAACAGGCCATCGCAAACTCATCCTCCATCTAATTCAATACCAATCACTTCGATGTAGACGCTGTTCCATCCACCCCGTCCTCCATTATCGCCATCCATCCAAGTCGTCCCATTGAGCTCAACACGTCCGCTTGCACCTCTCTGACCTGGGCGTGCCCCCTCGATCGTCGCCTGGGCCTCTCTCTCTCTTCTTGTTGATCTGATCAATCAGCTTGCGCAACCTTTGCCCTCGGGACGCCGCCATCAAATCGACCCTTCCTGTCCCTGGGTCCCCACGTGCTACGTCTACGGCCACGGCTGTGCACTCTTCTATCCGCCTCGATCACCAAGGACCGGCTGAACACGCTGCCCCCGGCTATTCTCTCGTCGCGAGCGGAATGTCGGCATGGAGGCCGACAATGCCTCGACCTTCAGCGCGAAGCCACCCCCGCTGACTTCAGATCAGCTCAATTATCTTATTTGGAGGTACGCGCGCCATCAACTGTCGGTGGTTTTCTGTTGTTTCGAGCGCTGACCAGGTTTTGCAGATATCTTCAAGAGTCCGGTAGGCCGCGCGCGCACCAGATCCACTAAATCTCTCCACTAAACTGCATCGTACAGGCTATGCTGAAGCAGCCGTCAAGCTCCAACGCGACTGGCGAGTCGACGCCGAGGGTCTCCCGTTCGCGAAGAGTATCAAAGGCCATGCCCTTGTTTCTCTTGTGCAAAAAGGCCTTCGTTACCACCACCTATCACTAACCATCGATGAGGTACTCTCTTATTCATGCACTGACTCTAGAACGAGCCTGGCCCGCTAACCCAATTTTAGAATGGCCGACCTTCCAAACAACTCAACCCATCTATGTTTTATTTTGGCCCGGAGAGTGCGAAACCTCCGCCAGAACTGCCAGAAGAGCCCGTTCCGTCATCGTCTTCCCCAGCCGGATCAAATTTAGCTCTACAGCACAAAGTCCGCGAGGGTGTTCCAAATGGTCTACCCGAAGTTTCCACTCACTTGCCTGCCAAACGAAGTCGCAAGGCAGAACGCAACGGAAGTGGTACGCGCAAACTGTCTGCTTCAGCTAGTCGACATGGGAACGTGTCTGCCATGGATGTTGACATGGCCAACGGCCACCCTCATTCCCGGGTAGACGCGAGATCGCCCTCAGCAACCGACACTGGAGCTGACGAGAATACGCATCTTATAAATGGAGCTAGGAACGATGACCGTATGGACCTGGACGATGACTCTCTCACCGCGGACCAAGGAACCCATGAACTTCATGTCGAAGCTTTACCACCTCCATTGCACACTCTAACAACTGGAGAGAGCGTTGGTATACAGGTCGCGCCCGCCAAGGTCGCAAATCTTTCTGCTTGGACCAATCTGCTTCAGATCCCATCTCCGGCTGGAGACGAAGAGCCCAAAGCTATCACGCGAACTGCCTGGCGACCGGGCGACGACAGCTCCCTGGCAGCGTTGGGAGACGGCTTTTGCGGAGTATGGAAAACCACAAACCAGTCAGCCGATTCCGATCAGCGTCCTCATTTCCACGAACTTGTAGACCTCACCGAGATGAAGCTCGTCAGTGCCCTTGCTTGGAATCCAGATGGAGATATTCTCGCCGTGGCCACCTATAGTGATCCCTCGGGGGAGATCCTCTTGTTCGATGGCCAAGAACTCAACCTTATGGAAGCTTTACCCGCGTCTCAAAAAGCGATTACATCGCTGCGTTGGCACGCCCGAGGCTTGCGTCTGCTAGGCATTGCACCATACTCGTCCGACATAGCAGACTCTACTATTCTGCTATGGGATTTGTCAAGGTCGCCGAACATTGCTGGACCATTGTCGATCTCTGTTCCCGAGATCCTAATAGATATGGACTGCGCCTCATTCGGGACGAACGGCATGGTCTGTGCTGCCGGGGGAAACGCCGTCTACCATTGTCGAGCCTTTTCCGACCTCAGCATTGAGCATACCTGGACATCGAATCCCGGTGAGAATGACCAGTGGACTTTTGTCAGATGTGCCTGGCGCGGTTCCCTGGATGGCATTGTGGTTGCGGCGTCAGGCGACAGTGGTTGTCTGTGGCTGCCTGCTCAGAACTTGCTGAAAAGAGAAGCGCATGATGCTCCCATTACCGGCCTCGAACTGCGCCCTACTCCTCCCGGCACATCAAGTTCACCTTCAAAGGCCGAGTTTGCCACGTCGTCCACCGACGGAACCGTCAAAGTGTGGCTGTACGACGAGGCTAATAATACCATTGTCTCATTGTGCAAACTCATCGTCGGTTATGCTTCGCCCGTGATGACGATCGCATATTCGCCTGACGGGTTCTGTCTGGCAGGAGCCAGTTATGACACAGTCCGGATCTGGATGGCTGAACACGGCTACCACCACATGGCGACATGGAAAGGTGAACCAGACTCATGGGGTGGTTCAAAACTAAAAGAAGACGATATAATGAGTGTGGGCGGCATGTCTGGTGTAAATGGAGATGGCCCCCAAGCTATCGCGGATCATACTTTGTCATGGGATGTTGGAAGTAAGAAACTTGCGTTTGGCCTTGGATCACAGGTAAGTCACATCGTGACAATAATCTCTGATTCCGAGAACTCGGTGGACTGACGAAGATAGGTTGCAATCATTGACTTCCCACGCTGAAGCCATTGTGACCTGGGATTCAATTGCCCAACACACCAAGCCGTTCCGAAAAAAATAAAATAATTCTTTGTCCGGTCTACCACGATATTCGGTTGCTCACGGTACCGATGCTCCTGTGGCAGAGTGTCATGACCACGACTACTCTTGAAGGAAGGAAGCGCAACAAGTCATTATTCAAGACGTCCAGGACTGTACGACACCCGCTCTCCAAAGGGGCCATGCGAACTGATCACATTCTAGAGGGACTCTCAAACTCCCCCCAATCGTCCTCCGCATCCTGCAGATCACTTTGCAATTCCTTCAGTCGAGTGTTCAAACCGCTCTGTGAGGATCTCAGTTCTTCCTGCACGTCTCGAAATCCACGGAGCCACGCCGTAACACCCTCGTGAAGTTTCGCATCCGGACCGCTATGGCTGTCCGGCGCCTCACGAGGTTCATCCACATAGTAGCGACCACGAAATCTTCCACGGCCCCTGGTCACAACCCTTCGAGAAGTGCGATTTGGCATCGAAGAATTGTTAATCCACCCTTCCAACCCTGCGACTGCGCTCGACATTGCGTCGACTGCAAGGTCTTTCCTTGCAGAGTCTATCTGGCTCTGGTCGAGTTGAGTGGTAATTCTCTCGTTTTCTTGTATTAACCGTCGATTTCGCTCCTGGAGAAGGACAATCTCTTCCGAGAATTCACGCAAGCGCCTTTCTTGCTGTATGCATCGCTGTGCGACCGCCTCCAGCTTCTCAATTGTCAACTGATGCAAATGCCGCTGCTCTTGTTGCCTCATACGCATTGCCTCCACCGTGGACACCAGGCTTGTTCGAATGTGTTCGAGGTCTTCGTCGCCGACCGCCTGCGACGGAGGTGAAGCCAACAGTTGTTTAGAATGGGTCGTCTCAGCATCACTCTCTTCGGAATATGTCCCGTCGTCTTCCAGAGCCGCCTCAATCTCACCCAAGGCTCTCTCAAGTCTCCTCCTTTTATTTCCACTGATTGCACTGTCTTGTTCGGAGGCCCAAATCTCGGAGACGAGCCCCTTCAGACGGTCGGCGATTCCAGGATGTATTGTCGTGGCGTACGTGTCGAAAGCGTCCATGTCCTTATCAAATGGCCCCGGCGTCCTCGTCCTTACGCTGATAGCGGAATCGGCGAAGAGGGAGTTGTTGGTCCAGGATGACCCAGGACGGCCTGGTGAACGAACCCCAGGGTCGGGCTGCTGGTCAGAGAGTGACATGCTGGTGCAATGTAAAGTGATGTTGCCCAAGAAGTACACATGCGACAACAATGATATTATTTGCAGTCTGATTGAAGTTGGATTTGGTTGCTGGAGGGAAGTGTGAACTTGGCCTGGATGGTTGAGCAGTTTCCAGGCTGGAACGCAGTTGAGGTTGTCATGTGGCTGGTCGAGTGGCTGGTGGCTGGTGATCCGGTCACGTGAGATACAACCTGTGACAGACGAGATTCGCCTTTCAACAAGTTTTAGAAAACCGAAACTAAGTCCAATATTCATTCGTACATGGTCCCTCGTCAGATTTCTAGATAAATTAGCATATGGGCTGACCGGCAGGACCTCTGGGCCGGGCAATACTTTAACGACACACGCGGAATACCCCTAATAAATTGGTGCAGACATTTTGTGTGGGGGAAGACCGCGCTATAGAGGGTGGTGACTCAAATCCTACCACAACCTACCACCTCTCAGATTCCTGTCATAGAGTTGTTCTGCTGCGTTCTCATATATTAATCTCAGTGGACATACGGAAACGTCCCAGCTTGATCGACATGTACTGAGCCTCCCACTTAACCCTGAGTAGTCCGGAATCGTTGCTGGTCATCCTCCACTCAATGGTATTTTCTGTTCAGCGTGCTCTCCCAAAGTCCAACGGCTCACATGGCGCAGGCGCAAATACAACCTTCTCTTGAGGAGGTGACCTCAATTCTCTCGAAATCTAAATCCTCTCAATATCCTCCGAACCTCGTACCTTTATGCGCACAAATTCCCGCAGATCTTTTCACACCCACAGTCGCATACTTGAAAGTTTCTCAGGGCTCCAAATTGTCCGTTTTATACGAGAGTGCCGCAACCACCGGGACAATTGGACGGTACAGTTTCGTCGCAGCCAATCCTCTGAAAGTCTTCAAATCCGGTCCTGGACATGGCCCTGAAGAAGATCCACTCCCGCGTCTGGAGAAAGAGTTGGCACAGTACAGAGTCGCGAGTGTGCCTTCGCTACGGCTGCCACCAATGACGGGAGGCGCGATTGGATATGTTGGCTACGACTGTGTGCGGTACTTCGAGCCCAAGACCGCTCGGCCAATGAAGGACACGCTGAAGCTGCCGGAGAGTCTGTTCATGCTTTACGACACCATGGTCGCGTTTGATCACTTCTTCAATGTTTGCAAAGTCATTACATACCTTCGAGTGCCGGAAACCCAGTCAAGCTCGGACATCGCTGCAGCATACAACAGAGCTTCCGATACCCTGCAGAAGGTGGTCTCGAGATTGCAAGCCGAACACATCCCGCTTCCACATCAACCCCCGATCGCCCCGAACCAGCCGTCAAAATCCAACATAGGGAAAGAGGGTTATGAGGCCCATGTCACACGGCTGAAGAAACATGTGAACATAGGAGACATCATTCAAGCTGTACCGTCACACCGGATATCACGTCCTACGACTCTACATCCATTTAACATATACCGACATTTGCGGACGGTGAACCCATCTCCATATCTGTTTTACATTGATTGCGAAGATTTCAGCATCGTGGGTGCGTCGCCAGAACTGTTGGTCAAGGAGGAAGCTGGGCGGATAATTACACATCCCATTGCAGGCACAGTCAAGCGAGGACGAGATCCAGAAGAAGACGAGAGATTGGCCGATGAACTGCGCAACAGCATCAAAGATAGGGCAGAGCACGTCATGTTGGTTGATTTGGCAAGGAACGACATCAATCGCGTCTGCGATCCTCTATCAACCCGGGTGGACAGGCTTATGGTAGTGGAGAGGTTTAGCCATGTGCAGCACCTTGTCAGCCAAGTGTCAGGCGTGTTGAGGGCAGGCGAAAACAGGTTTACAGCATTCCGGAGTATTTTCCCAGCGGGCACAGTGTCAGGGGCACCAAAAGTGAGAGCGATGGAGCTCATTGCCAAACTGGAGGGGGAAAAACGCGGCGTTTATGCTGGAGCAGTGGGTTATTTCGGTTTCTCCAGAGTGTCTGCGGACGGATCTCGAATCGAGGACGAAGGTGCGATGGACACTTGTATCGCATTGCGCACGATGGTGGTCAAAGACGGCGTTGCATACTTGCAGGCTGGCGGTGGGATTGTGTTTGACAGTGTAGAGGAGGATGAGTGGTTTGAGACCATGAACAAGCTGGGCGCAAACATCAGGACGATCGAGGAGGCCGAAAAAAAATATTTGGCCTTGGAAAAGATTGGAAATGGTCAGACCAATGGGGTCTCTAGATAGAGTTGCCTCTTATAATGTGTACACCCTGCCTTGCGTCAATTTACAGCCATGATCAGATCCTGGAAGCCCAAGTACCTGCAGGTCAAAAGAATGCATGCCACAACTGGTACCTCTCAGGGGGAGGAAAAGATATCCAATCCCAATTTGAGACACGTGATTAGCCCCGTGATGGCTGGGTGACCGAGTTGGGTTTAGCTGCTGAAACTCTTGGCACACTGAACGCACCTCGAAAATTGAATCGACGCTGCATGCGCTCTTGATGTTTGCACCAGTACCAGCACCAACTCTCTCTTCTTGCAAATCAATCGCTGATAACTGTCAGGACTTCTCGCCAGTCTTGACAGCCGTGGTCAGCCAGTCGCAAAGATGAAGTTGAACATCTCCTACCCGGCCAATGGGTCGCAGAAACTGTTCGAGATTGAGGATGACCGCAAGGTGCGCGTCTTCCTGGAGAAGCGAATGGGCAACGAGGTGCCAGCCGACAGTCTCGGGGATGAATGGAAGGGCTACGTATGACATGTCTTTCACAAATACCTCTGACGAGATGATTCTGACGGTTGCACCAGATCTTCCGCATCACCGGCGGTAATGACAAGCAAGGCTTTCCCATGAAGCAGGGTGTCGTACGTGCAATCCCCTGCTCTTGAAGGCGCCAGCGAGATGAATTATTCGCTGAGACTTGATTCGTTCCAGATGCTCCCTACCCGTGTCAAGCTCCTCCTTTCCGAAGGCCACTCCTGCTACCGACCTCGACGTACCGGCGAACGCAAGCGCAAGTCTGTTCGTGGCTGCATCGTCGGCCCAGATCTAGCTGTCCTGGCTCTGTCCATCGTCAAGCAAGGCGAGGGCGAGATCCCAGGCCTCACCGATGTCGTCAACCCCAAGCGACTTGGTCCCAAGCGTGCCACCAAGATCCGAAAATTCTTCGGTCTGACCAAGCAGGATGATGTTCGGTATGGTTCCCTACAATGGCTGGCGTCTCTAAGCATCTCTCTAATTTTTGTTCGTTTGCAGCAAGTTCGTCATCCGCCGTGAAGTGGTTCCCAAGAAGGAGGGCGCAAAACCTTACACCAAGGCACCCAAGATCCAGAGACTCGTCACCCCTCAACGACTGCAACACAAGAGACACAGAATTGCACTGAAGAGAAGACGTGCCGAGGCGGCAAAGGATGCTGCTAATGAGTACTCCCAACTGTTGGCTAAGCGTGTGCACGAGGAGCGTGAGAAGAGAACCGAGCTGAGGAAGAGACGTGCTTCTTCGTTGAGGAAGTAGAGTCTTTCTGAATCGTGACACCGTGTAGTCATACGAGACAAAAGCATGCAAAGCAATGGCAGTGGACGAAGGTCATGGGACTCGCTGGGCTTTTGATTGGGAACGATGAATGGTTGCGATCCTGCAGAAGCCCACATGACTGTCTAGGGCATTCTGAGTGGAGGAGAGGAATGTGTGCCGTGTCACCTTGCGATTGATGGGTAGCGATAGATAACTACTCGCATCCAGCGTCTGCGTTGCAAGGGTGGCAGAGATAGAACACCACATACCAAAACAGCGGCTCTTTTCTTTCTACCCAGTTTTGATCCCTTTTCGCCGCCTTCTGCGTCCCGCGATTTTCTAGCTACAAATTTCCGCCATCCAGGTTTCTCCCACACTCCCTCCAGTCCGTTTTGGCGTGTTTGGCCCGGCCGTGGCCAGTGAGAAGTCCGCCATTTTTGACACTTATTGTGCCGCGGTTAGCCAACCAGAATTTTCCGTCTGGGGCTTCCCGTCCATCCCTCATCCCGCTCATTTTTTGGGTTTCCACTTATGACACTGCCGGAGGCCAACGACTTTTCTTACCTGTCTTCTTCTTGTCAACATGTATCTTCGGTGACCACATCTCCCCTCGACTACGCAGGCATGGCGTCGAATTCGATCAAGCTCTTGACGGGCAACAGTCACCCTGACTTGGCCAAGGCGGTGGCCGCCAGGTTCGTACCCCTCTTTTCTTCTCTCGCCCATGGGAACCATGTCTGGACTGGAAGACATAGGATAGAAGCTGACCGTTGTTGGACCATTCAGACTCGGGATTGAGCTGACCAAGATCATGGTCTTGCAGTATTCCAACCAAGAGACCAGTGTGACCATTGGCGAATCTGTCCGAGATGAAGACGGTACATGCTCCCTGTTCATGGCAACATCTCTACTTCACCTGTCCCCCTTTTGGTCTGGCCTGTTGAGCGCATCTGACGGTGGTCCCATGTAGTATTTATCCTCCAATCAACACGGCCGAACGATATCAACGACGGTCTTATGGAACTTCTCATCATCTGCAATGCCTGCAAGACCGCATCGGCTCGACGGGTCACTGCGATCCTACCAAACTTCCCTTATGCACGTCAAGACAAGAAAGATAAATCCAGGGCGCCCATCACTGCGAAGCTGATGGCGAACATGTTACAAACAGCTGGTTGCAACCACATCATTACCATGGACCTGCATGCGTCCCAGATTCAGGGATTTTTCAATGTCCCGGTTGACAATCTCTACGCCGAACCCAACTCTGTGAAATGGGTGCGGGAAAACCTCATGCATTCCACAGAGACCAATTCCGAGGTGAACGGACCGAGACAAGAATGTGTCATTGTCAGTCCTGATGCCGGTGGGGCGAAGAGAGCTACATCTATTGCCGATAAACTCGACCTTCCGTTCGCACTCATTCACAAAGAACGATCGCGACCGAATGAAGTCAGCCGAATGACTCTTGTTGGCAATGTGGAAGGCAAGGTCGCCATCCTTGTCGATGACATGGCCGACACATGCGGGACCCTCGCCAAAGCCGCCGATACTCTCATTAAGCATGGAGCCAAGGATGTTGTTGCGCTTGTTACCCACGGAATCCTGTCTGGCAGAGCGGTCGAGATTCTGAAGGGATCGGACCTTTCAAGACTGGTCATCACCAACACAGTTCCCGTCTCAGAAGAGAAGATCGAGGCTTTGAGAGTTGAAGAAGGGCAGAAAGGCTGCAGGCTTGAATTCATTGATATTGCGCCAGTTTTGGCCGAAGCAATCCGAAGGACACACAATGGCGAAAGTGTCAGTTACCTGTTCAACCATCCAGTGGCATAAATGGTGTCATTTTGCGATCCGGCTGCTTCGACCCGGGCGTCAGTCGCCTGTCATTAGTGTTGGGATGTCCATTCGGTTGATTGGCTCCTCTCTATGCTAGGGGCCCAGTCAGAGGCGCTCAGCCTGACGAGCGACTTTTTGAGAGCATTCCAAGTATGACGAATGCTTTAGCACACATCTCATCACGGGCGTCTTCAGATATTGAGCGGACTCAAGTTCACTGCAAGACTTCTGTCAACTACTCATTGGGAATGGTTTTCACCTGCAACTCAGCTACTGCGAGCGCTCCACATGAATAGAATTCACGCAGGCACAGGCGGAGTGGTCGTCGCCATGGGATTTGTGGATAGCACTTCCACCCAAAGCCATGGCCGTGCTTCAAATAGCACGGGAAGTCTTGGTCTTTACGGAACACGGCCAGGACCGACTCCTTTGGGTTGGTAAGATACCTTTGATTTAAACCCTCCTGAGTTGCACACGGATGAAAAGAATCCAGAAGACCCGAGGCGGACCAACCTAGTGGTGTCATTTCGAATCCAGACTAAGGGGATTTCTACAACACGACAACAGGCACCGCTCAGCAGCGGCAGGTCAGGGCGGGATGATGCAAGTTGGCTGCGAGGTAGGCGAGACCAAAGATGGACCTTTCTTTGGAACATGAAAGATACTTGGATATATTTCCACGGGGTTAGGTTACCCTGTGCTTGTGCTCTGTCTGCATACTTTTCGTGGCCAACTGTCCCGTCTTGCCACATACTCGGGGTCGTCTCTGCAATCTGCATTATCCTGGGAGATTGTCCAAGACTTTCTTCACAAATCTGCATTATCCTAAGAGACTGTCCAAGATATTCTTCAAAATCTGCCGCTGTGCTGCGTCTTCGCTACGAATGCAAACTCGCTAGCTGAGTCCCTCGATCTTCTGGAACACTTATCCTTTGACCTTGGTTTTTCAGCATGGCAACTTCATGAGCCCGACTGTCTTGAGATCATTAGTATCAGTTGAATATCCACAGCAAGTCGAACAAATCATGCTCACACTCCCATCTCCGACACACGAAGAGGGTGCAGAAAACCATCAATTGCAGTCATTCTTATTCTCATTCGCCTATTAAACATCAATTGCAGTCATTCTCATTCACATTCTCCCATTCTCCAAACCCAACTCCGCGATACCCCTCGAAAAGAATCTAGACAAATGGTTGGTCTACTAGCATCTGTGATTATGATATATGATTCACGGCTAAGTAAGTATCTGTGAATACGATCTATGATTCACAGCTAAGTTAAGTATGACTGCCGGACGGTCCCCAGATTGGCATAGCCATAGTCCAATATTGACATTGCGAGAGGTCATCGATACAGCAAGCAGCATGGCAAGGCTGTGGAATGGAGTTGAGCTTATGATATACCGGTTGCTGTATCTTCAATGGACTACTGCCTGTCTATCTACTCTTTGCTGTATCCGTATGCGTATGCGAGCAATCGACCTGGACCCCGTCCCATCCTATCCATGCACGGCAGACATGGCCTTTTCTGCTCTTCTCCTTCTCCTTCTTCTTCTCCTCCTTTCCTTTAGCTCTGTGGAGGACGCCTTCTCCTTCATTTAGCTCTGTGGAGGACGTCTTCTCCTTCATTTAGCTCTGTGGAGGACGTCTTCTCCTTCATTTAGCTCTGCGGAGGACGCCTTCTCCACCTTTGCCTGGGTAGGTAGTGTTATGTTATGTTACACCTTCACTTTGAGCCAAGCCCAGCCCAAGTCAAAGTCCAAACCACACTATCTGACATTCTCACTTTCTGCCGTACCCCAAGGGGGCACACACAAGCAATTGCGCAGCACCAAAAAGAAACAGAAACGAACAGACGCCGACAAGCTCATTTGAACCGGCAACACCACCACCACAACAACCTCCACCAACAACAACCTCCACCAACAACAACCACCACAACCACCAACCACCACAACCACCAACAACCAAAAAGATCGACGGGAGCAGTCCGCTCATACCTTCCTGGTTGTAGGATCTCATGTATTCCCCGGCCACTTGATCCCAGAAGGCCCCTTCCACCGACCCTTGGTGCAATTAGAGACGTACTCTTCGAAGGAGGAATGCCCACGGAAAATTTGACGATTTTCAGTGCTTCTATGCAACTTCGGTCCCAATTGTGAGGGAAGATTCCGGTACTTGGATATATGAAGGGTGTAATCAATTGTACAGTGAATGTGAATCACTGCGTGATCGTGATGGGCTTGGGCCACGTGATGGTGATGGACGCGCGAGGCTGCAGCCAAACAAACGGTTGGCTTGACATAGTGGGTGCGGGCACAAACAAACAAGGCTGAGGTCATAAAACACCAATACCACCGTGTCCCCCGGGGTATGCGATAGGGACGGCTGAGCGACCGAGGTCAATGTCGACGCTGATCGCTGATTGCATTTCCATTTCCATTTCCGTTTCCATTTCTCTATGCTATGCTGCTATTATGCTATGTCACGCCATGTGATGCATGCCATGCCGCACTATGCCGCCCTGCCGGGCCTGAGCCATCATCTGAAACTAAGGTGTGGTATTGAATCCAAGTCCTGCTTAAACATCCAAGAAAAGAAGATCTTGTAGGCTGTGGCGCCTCAAGCTTGAGCGCACTCTTCAAAGCGAGGCCACCTGGGTCCCGCTGTGCTGAAAGACAGGCAACCCTCCCCCCTGTCAAGATTTGAATAAGCCTCGCCATGCACACGTCGGCAGCGTGAAGCCAACACTTCCACTTTGCAATCACATTAGCTTGTCAGCTTGTCATCTTCTCAAGAACTCGTCGACTTCAAAGCCCACTCTGCGTTTCGCTTTCTCCCAATTGTCCATCTCTTTCGCGTGATATGCCGCATGAACTGACGCTGGTGCGGAGACCCCGGTCTTTGCCGTCTTGTCATCACCGCCAGCTTCCGCAGCTGTCGCAGTGGTCGATGAACCAATGATGCCAGTCTTGACAATGACTGCGCGACAGTCATGCAGTCTGATCTCCACTCCCGAGTGAGAGCCTGTCACAGTCGAGCTCAACCCGGCAGATGAAGTCCTGTCACGCCCACCGACTGTGACTGGAGTACTCGCACTAGCTGTAGAGCCGCCCGTCGCTCTCGCACCTTCGGCACTTTCATGTTCTTCATCCAAGCCTTTGATCACCACCGTGATGTCGGGTCCGACACTGCCGCGCCAGAGTGTTGCAAACCATTGCCAGTGAGCTGGTGGGGAGAAACCGTCACTGATGGGCATTGAAATGGACGAGGCGTCGACCGTGGTGAGCTGGTAGTGTGGGACCAATGCTATTGGTATAGCGTTGTTGCCGGCAGCGGCACCCTGTGCAGATGATTGCCGTTCTTCTCGTTGTTGCTGTTGCTGTCGTCGTCGTACTGGAACATCATGGTCGGACACCAACGGGTTAGATGCGGACGAGACAGCCTGAAACATGCTTGGAGGCGGCATTTGCCACGAAGGTTTTGCAAGTGACGCTGCCGGTGCCGGTGCCGGTAGCTGTAACATCGTAGGAGGCGGCGTGGGCGGCGGGGGGGGTATGCGCTTTGAGGCTGAGTTGAACGGTCGTGGGAAGGCCAGGGTCAGCGGTCGAGGAGTACAAGTATTGGATTGCACGCCACCGGCAGAGTCATTAGTAGACTCACCCATATCCATTGAAAAGTCTGGAGTGCTTCGACTCCGTGGCTTTGCTGGGGGGGACACTATGGACAGTTCGGCGGCTTTGGTGATCGTCTTGGGGCTTATGGCCGAGTCATACATGTTCTTCAGACTCGGCAAAGTTTTCGGTGTAGATGGATCCGCAGTACCCTCAATCGGGTACATGTCATTCTTGGGGCTGTCTAGCGAGATGGGCGACGTTTTCGAACCAGAATATCCGGCCGACCCAGGTTTTGTCGTGATAAATTCGACCATCTCTTTGTTGGTTCTGTGCCATTGGCTGAGCATGCTCAAGTATGCTTCTGTAGTCAAGCAGCGGCGGCTGTCACGAAGACCGGTTCCGGTTTGTCCATTCGGGAGCAGAGAATATGGGTCTGGCCCGTCAAAGATCCTGACCATGAATTTCCCTTCCTTCCCAAGCTGCTCGGCCAGTGAAGTCGTCATGCTGTCGACGGTGCTCGCATCCATGCCTTCGATCGCAATGATAGCCCCACGTATTTCAGGTTTCGGAGATGAGGGACCGGGAGGAAGCAGTGGCGGAGAAATTTGAGCAAGCACTTTGACTTTGTTCAACACTGGTATAGACATGATCATTGCCTCCACCCCCGAACTTTGACATTGCACTGAAGACACTTTTGCTGGAGTCGGTGGCACTACCGTCTCGATCGGTGGGAGGGCAACGGCAGATCTAGTTCGCTGATGAGGCTGCGGAGGCCGAATAGGTTGTAGTTGCGGTGGGTGAGGGTACACGGCTCGAGGAGGAGACATCATCGCAGGTTTAGCGACCGGAAGTCCATGAACGTGGTTTTGGGAGGCATGAATCTGCTGCAACACCTCCGGGCGAGCATATGTGGTAGTGACAATGGGTGACTGCGCATAGGCGTATGGCGCCTCAGGATAGGGTTCGCGAGCAGATACATAGCCCCCGCTAATGTTGAACCGCCGCCTCTTCGCATCTTGTGACTCGGATGATGGAGGAGTAGGAAGGGCTTGAGCGGGCGGGACTGCGTAAATCAACCGAGGATCAACTCTCTGAAAAGGGTATGTCTCGACGAAGGTTTTCTGCTGAGCGACATGCTCTGGCGATACGGTCGGTAATCCATGCACTCGTGGACCAGGAGCGGTGCTGACAACATAGCCACGTTTAGCTGGAACTTGTGCCCCCATGGTTTGCTGAGCTTGGGATGCCGACGGTGTGTATGCTGGAGTTTGATTGCTGTAATAGTTCATCGGTTTCCCTCCACACTTGGGACAAGGCTCCTGTGGCTCTGCAGACGATGGTCCAGACACCGAGGACTGAGTGCTGAGTCTGCCGTTACGACGTGGCTGATAACGGTAGCCTGGATATTGCTGCTGATGGCGGGCCTTCTCTTCCTAATGACAGGCAGGTCAGTACAAAGCCCTTTGTTCGGTGTGATGGTGCCTTTTAACCCACTTCCGCAAGCAAATTCCATTCCTCTTTGGACTCGGCTGACAGTTGTCTCCATTGTTCGCCGATAATCTTTGACACCTCCGGATTGGGAATACCTGGATTCTGTGCTAGGATGCTGGCCTGTTGGTGCTGACGGAAAAGAATGAATGCTGGATAGATGTCAGCGTAGAACAGGCAAACATAACCAGCGTAACTTGTCCACACAGAAGTGGCAGTCTTACAATTTCGCGGTCTAGGAATCTTGGGGTCTGGCGGGCACAGGCAGAGGTGGTCTCTAGGGTGCGAAGGGGTGCTCATGTCATTCTTCTTTGGCTGCTCCTCTGCCATGTCTTGAGTAAGACCTCGCTGCAAGGGCGAGGCCGGCTCATGCACACCATTTGCAGTCGGTGGTTGTCTCTCTACATGGTCTGCATGGTCTGCATGGTCTGCATGGTATGCTGAGCTGGAACGAGCTTTCGAGCTTTCGAGATGGATTGTGCTCCCTCGAGGCGGATCTTCTTCGAGAGAACGCCCTGGGGATCGACCACGAAAGAAATGATGCTGCGAGAGTAAGGATGGGCGACGCAAAGCAGGGTTATGCTCAGTTGGAGGTCTGGGGAGGCGGCGGTACCATGCTGGAGGGTGAGGTGCATGAATTGGCGAAGTCATAGCGCAGAGAAGGAATTCTTTGACCTGGGCCATCCAAATACCTGAATCGCGGGAGGGGGGTGAAAGGCAGAGAAAGGCAGCATGTAGTCTTTGTAAGAGAAAGGAGCACTCATCATCCTCGCCCTACCTTCTCATCATCCTCTATTCTTTGTTCCTCTCGACTGAGTCTCTTCTAGTGAGCAGAACGAATTGCCACAGTCACGGGCAGCAACGAGGCTGGGGCCATAGGGTTGTCTTGGTTTGCTTTGTTCTCTGATGGTCCTAAGGCGGGAAAATGCGGTACCAATCACCGTGCACCCGAAACAATACCTGCAGGAATGCAGCGCAGACAAAGAATGAGGTTCGTCGCAGTATGACGAAGTGGATCGTCGTCGACGGAAAACTTGGACCACTGGAGGCTCAACCTCAACTAGCCAGCGCCGCGAGGGCAGAGAGCTTTGATTCCAGGTTGGCTGGATTCGCAATCGGATCACTCTGTCGTTTCGTCTTGAGCCGGCGTCCTTGGATGGCTATCAAATCTGACAAGTCACGAGCTTTGATTGGACGTGACGGAGTTCGCAGCAGTCGAGTGGCAGGACGGTAGGATAGGGGAGCGGGAGGTCAGCCAGCGGGCAGCCAGAGAGACCTATTCAGCGTCAACAGCATACCATTACCGTGCTCTTGAGACGAGGAAGAGGAAAAGGAAGAGGACGTGCGTAGCGTACACACACGCACATGTCGTCAGTGTATTTGTAGCTGTAGCTGTAGCGGCTGTAGCAGTCCGACGGGAGGGTTTGTTTGAAGGCGGGTGAGCCAGAGCCCCGTACCTCATAGTGGCGGTGGCGGTGGCGACACACGTTCACCATCAGAGAGACTTGCACCGACTGATCAATGTCTTGTCCTTATCTCGCCCTGGAGGGTTGGGGTGTTGATGAGGAAGTGTGGACTTGCAGGCGTGTGGTAGCGCAGTCAGATGTGAGGTTGGAATAAATAAATACGAGTTGCCCACCCTTCCTCGTTCGTGAATCGTCAGTATGGGGGATGCTACACACAACATCACTCTACAATGGCGCTTGCTGCAAAGGCTGGCCAGTTCATTTCTTCATTTACTCGTACTCATACATTCATCTAGCCATTTCTCTTGTTTTGTCTAACATCCAATCCTCCCAGAATGGCGACCAAACAATTTAACGCCCCTTCTCTCCTCCAGAGTCTTGTTCTTGGTCTTCAGCCAGCAAAAACACGGACATTGAGGTCAACACTGGCTGTTGCAATCACACACCGGATTCTACCTCCTCCTCCACTATCTTCCTTCTTGCCAGTTGCTGTGGTCCCGTTGCTGTCTCCGTTGGTGGCTGGTTGGATTGGAATGTCTGGTGCCCATCGTATGCTGCTGATGAAATGTTGGTGGGCATCGTCTACCACTTTGACGCATTTGCACTCCTGAGATAAATCCCAACACCGAATGGTCTTGTCGTCGGATACTGAAAGCAAATATCGGCCACCGGGATGGAATACAAGGCCTCTCACCCAGTTGTCATGTCCCACCAACGTTTTATGACATGTGCCCCGATTGTCCCAGATCTTGATGATTTTGTCTCTCCCCCCTGTGGCTAGGAAATCTCCACTGCTGCTTGTCGGCGGTGGCTTTTTGTAACCAGCAATGCTGGCCAGATGGACGTAGGATGAGCTCGGTGCGAATGCCACACACTCAACCACATGCTCATGGCCTAGAAAGGTGATCTTGACCTCGCCAGAGTTTGCATCCCATAACCGAGGTATCTGATCGTTCCCTGCGCTTAATAACCATCGACCGTCAATCGATGGTGTCACTGTCCTGACCCAGTCTGTATGCCCTTTCAACGTTTTTAAACAATATCCCGTAGTGACATCCCATATCCGGAGCGTCTTGTCTCTTGACGCAGAGACCAGCATGTTTCCTGAGAGTGGAGCGCCTGCAGCTCCCGAAGGGATAAAGCGGATCGATGAAATGGAATGATCATGGCCGGGCAAGGTTCGGATGTTCTTATATTCGTCGCTTGGATCCCATAACCTGATAGTCAAATCGCTGCTGCAACTTGCTAGCAGTGTGCCCCCTCTTGGACCGCCAAAGTCTACGTCGAGCACTGCCTTGGTATGGCCCTTCAGTGTCCTTTCGAGCTCGCCCAGCTCCCAGTCCCAGATCTTGATAGTCGAGTCTTCTGAGCCAGACGCGAGAGAGCTGAAAATAGGATGGAATGCCACCGACGTGACCGGAAGTCGGTGGCCTTGTAAGGAGTGTCTAGCTGGTGCTCTCGGGAGCCAGGTCGTAGGGTCAATCTTGCGATTCGACGAAAGAGGCGTGGCAGTCTCGATTTCCTGCTGCAGAAGGGCATTCTTGGCCTCCAAGTCCATTATCTTCTTCTGAAGTCGGACAACAGAGGTCCATTTTTTTTCCAGCAAAGTTTCATACTTTTTAGCTGTAGCATCGTCGAAAGTGTCGGCCAGATTGGACTCCCGGCGGAGACTTGCAGCGCTGTCGGTCATGCCAACCGACAGCATATATGCGATCATGGACTTGTGCCTATGCCAGTCAGCGCTTTACTGAGGACTAGACTTAGACCCGCGACCTACAACTCCTCCGCTTGACGGGAAGTGAGCAGATGGCTCATGTTTGGCGAGCAGGGCTCAGCAGCCCGAGAACGATTTCTAGCCACTCATGCAATTCTGGCAGCTTGCGACCTTGTCAACTGGTATGGTGGTGGGGAGTGGCCGTCGGGATCAGTCGCTGGTCTACACCGCAGGCAGGCAGGCATAACAGGAGCCGCACCGGAGGGGAGTATTGAGGATGAACTTGTTCGGAGGTCTCTCAACAGACCTCAAATAAGTCTCAGAAGTGCAAGAGGGTGTGTATGTGCCCCAGGGGTCACCTGTTAGACTCGTGGAGTGAATATGCAAAGACGTAGATGGGTTGACAGGATCACTGCCAGTGTGCGGGAAGACAGACCTTCACTTCGGGCCGTTGTTGTCATGGTCGCCCAATTGTTTATACGTCCCTCCAACATTCTCCCGACCCCGACCACGCACATCAGCAACTCACACTTACTCACAAAGACTGCCGCCCACGTTCTTCTTTGCCGCTTCAGTGTGTACGTCTACACGCGCAACGGATTACTCTCTCGAAGACTCTGCGTACAATCTGTGCCCGTCGTCCGGCCGATCCCTTCAAGTCGCGACTGCATGGTCTCGGCGCACCAAAACTGACTACCACATGAGGGCGACCGCATTCTCATCGGTGAGTGTATTCTGCTCGTTGCTTGACGCTGTCTTCTGCTCCATGTCTGCCTTGATCATACCCTATCTGCTTGGACTACACGATTTCAGTACTAATGTTTTCCCACAGCCCATTTGCGCGCCGCTCTGAGAAGAGACCTGCTGCGAGATTCCTCACCTGCTCCCGTCTCTTTTCTCGCTTTGCCATGGCCGACCAAGAAGAAGACTTCTCCCAGCTCCCTCTCCCTGATCGATTCGTGCACAAGAACTGGAAGGTTCGAAAGGAAGCGTACGAAGCCGCTACAAAACAGTTTGAGTCCACCTACGAAGAATCAGACCCCGCCTTCAGACCATTTTTGCAAGATCCCAGCCTATGGAAGTCGGCCGCTGGCGATGCGAACGTTGCAGCCCAGCAGGAAGGTCTGGTTGCTCTATGCGCTTTCTTGAAACATGGAGGTCAACAAGCGGCTTTGAAGTCGCGCAACCACACCTTGCAACCGATCTACGAAAAGGGCCTGGTGTCAAGCAAACCTCAGGCCAAAGCAAGCGCTCTCGAGGCCCTCTTACTTTACATTGAGTTGGACAAGGCTGACCCAGTCATTGAAGAGTTGTTGCCTGGTTTGTCGCACAAGCAACCTAAAGTGATTGTGGCAACTCTCAGTGCATTCACCGCTTTCTTCCATAACTATGGGATTAAGGTCGTCGAACCGAAGCTGGTGATTAAGTCGCTACCGAAGGTGTTCGGACACGCCGACAAGAATGTGCGCGCGGAGGCACAAAACCTTACGGTTGAGTTGTATCGTTGGCTAAAGGAAGCACTGAAACCTCTCTTCTTCAACGAACTGAAACCGGTGCAGCAACAAGACCTCGAGAAGCTTTTTGAAAAGGTCAGAGAAGAGCCTCCTCCAAAGCAGGAGCGCCTCACCCGCTCGCAACAAGCCGCACTAGCTCGCGCACCTCCAGCATCCATGAACGAACAGGCCGAGGATGATGCGATGGCTGAAGAGGAAGATGACAACGCTGAACAAGAAGGCATGGATCCTTATGACTTTGCAGAACCAGTCGATGTCTGCTCCAAGATTCCTGCGGATTTCTACGAGATGGCTGGCTCAACGAAGTGGAAGGAGCGAAAAGATGCCCTCGACGGCCTCTTCAATATCGTGAACACAATCAGAATCAAGGAAGGTTCCTTTGACGAGTTGATGCGCACGTTGGCCAAGTGTATGAAGGACGCCAATATTGCAGTTGTGACGGTCGCAGCTAACTGTGTTGAAAAATTGGCACTGGGCCTAAGAAGACCCTTCGCCAAATATCGGTCTACAATCATGTCGCCGATGATGGAAAGACTCAAGGAGAAGAAACAGTCTGTTGCTGATGCGCTGGGCGCTGCGCTTGACGCCGTATTCTTTGTGACGTCTCTCACAGAATGTCTCGAAGAGACCTTGGGTTTCTTGTCCAACAAAAACCCCAACGTCAAGGCCGAAACGATCAAATTCCTCGTGAGATGTCTACGGAACACTCCTGACGTACCTTCCAAGGCGGAACAGAAGCTCATTGCTGATTCTGCAACCAAATTGTTGACTGAGTCTACCGAGGCAATCAGAGCCGGTGGCGCCGAGATACTTGGGACACTGATGAAGATAATCGGCGAGCCCTCAATGGGTCCTTACCTAAATGGCCTGGACGATATCCGGAAATCCAAGATCAAGGAGTTTTATGACACCGCCGAGGTTAAGGCGAAGGAGAAGCGCAAGGCAGCTCCCCCTCCTGCAAAAGCAACCTCTGCAGTTGGAAAGAAAGTCGTTGCCAGCTCCAAGAAGACTGCTGCGAAGAAGGCCACGCCAGCTGCCCCTGTGGAAGACGCTACGCCTCTTCAACCAAAGCCTACAGCAAAAGCCCTTCCGAAGTCTGGAGGTTTGGCTCGCCCGGGTTTGGCCCAACCATCGGGTCTCAAGCTAGGTGGGCTCAAGAAGCCCGTAGCTGGTGGTCTTGGAAGTGCAGCAGCCAGCCCGCAGCGCCGAGTTCTATCGCCTCCTATGAGTACTGACGGTGATGAGGAAGCTGCTGTTCCCTCACCTTCGAAATTCGGCATGGGCAGGGGTGGACTTGCTGGACGCCCTTTGTCCCGACCTGCCGCCGCTAGCCCTTTATCGCCTCCACCCGTTTCGAATGGGCTTTCAGCTGTCGAACGAGCGGAGCTGGAGGAATTACGTTCCGAGAAAGAACGACTCTTGGCTTTGACCGAGAGCCTTCGAAGCAACAATTCGAAACTGACCGCCGAGATCACCGAGCTCCAAAACCAGAATGCACAGCTGATAGAGGATCATACGCGGGACGTGCTTCAGATCAAAGCCAAAGAGACACAACTCGTGAGAGCGCGAGGAGAGTGCGATGTGCTGACGGCCGAGATTGAGAGCGTACGGAAAGAGAGCGAACGTTACAAGCGAGAAGTGTCAAGGCTGGGGCGCGAAGGCATCGGACGGGAAAGAGAAGACATGATACGTGGACGGACGGTAGATGACGGCGCAAATTTCAGCAATGAAAGTGCTGGCATCTATGAAGATCACAACATGAACCGGTTCCCGGCAAACGGTAGCAACGTCCCTCCAAGACCAACCAGCAGCGCGCTGCAGAGAAATGGAAGCACCCAGAGCACACAGAGCACTCAAAGTAGTCGCACGCAAACCTCAAGACCGCGACCCCAAAGTGGATACTCGTCACATCGACTAGATATGAGCCCCAGCGAGGAAAAGGAGAACAACGGACTCGACACTCTGGCTGCAAGACGAAAGATCAGTCCACCCGTCAGTGGAGCACCCAATGGTAGTGGGAGGAGCAGTCCGCAGCGCCCAACATTCTCCTCCAGAGACACAAGCGATTCCGGCACCGTTACGTCTAGGGAACCAAGGGCGGAAGAGAACTGGAAGAGAGCAGCGGAAGTCACAAGTCAGTTGAAGGCACGGATTGAGGCTATGAAGGTAGGCGTTTGCGCTATATCTCTCTGGAGTCATCATCGGGGACTTACTAATATCTTGCAGGCACGACAAGGGTTGACTCGGCATTAATGATGAGATGATATACACATCAAACTCAACAACGGAGCGAGCAATCGGTCGAGTTTTCGCCACTGTAACAATATTTAGTGACTGCTGTGCCTTTCCTCCACCGTGGCACGGAGCGGCAAGGGGCGGCCGATTTGGATTGCACAAAGGCCATTCCGACAAGGTCGTTGGCTCTCTCGACCGACTAGCTGCGTGTCGACACCGCCATGGAAGCGGCTTCTTTCTCCGTAATACCACGATGGCTCTTGTCCCATCACTGCATTGCGTCTCAGCGTTCTATCTGTTCGGAGCTGGCACGGACGGCGCGGTTGTCGCTTGGATGCTTTCGTTCACTTCAGGGTCTCTTTGCTAGAGACAGTACATCAAGTCGAGATGGAGCTGGAGCTTGGGGCTGGAAATGGCGTCGATCCTGGCGCAACGAATGCTCATTCCTTGTTGCGCTTGAGAGGCAAAAAGGCCTTGGGCGGACTCGGCATGCCATACGACGTGTCGCATCAGTTGATGATTGTAGAGGTAATTAGCCATGAAAGTGATGTACAAAGAACTCCAGAAACTCAGGTGCCCAGGTCCTCGGGAATAATAACAACCTTAGGTGCACGCTGCTGTGCTGCACTGGTGCCAGTTGATTTTTCTATCGGAGCAGGGTCCTCAGGCCTTGTCAGACTCCTCGGGGTCATTCGCGGCAAATATTCTACATGAGCATCGGCTTTGATAGCTCCAGTCATGGGTCAATCTAATAGGTTGAAACTGCGCGCAAGATCAAGAATGTACCGAACAAAACATAAAAGACGAAATAGTGGCCCGACGAGGACTCGAGGAACAGGATGGTATCATTTCATTTTTGGTGACTGGCTTGATTCTGAGCAGACCCAGTTCAGCCATCCGAGGATGTCTGCTGAAGCGTCGGCCAGGAATCAAATTCACTTTCACTTTCACTTTTTCTGCTAGTTGCTAGTAATAGCTTCATGACACATTGGGCGTGCGCAGTCATGGCCCTGCCCATGATGCAAGCTCCACCATGGCGTCGTCTCGACGAAGGGTAGTGTCAGGAAGACAAGACGTAGACCGACCGCGGACGTTGTGTCCAGTCAAGTCAGCGCAGGCAATCCACACGACGACTGAGTCTTTTCAAGTCTGCGTGATCACGCACCACCCCCAGCAAAGTCACATCAACGCCACCACTTCCAAGGCCCCTGGCCCCTGTAGGCCCGACATAAGAGAGCAGCACAAGGGAGACTGTTTAGATCTTGATGGCGCTCTCGATGGCCTTCCTCTTCTTCTCCTGTTTGGCGACGGCCTTGGGACCCATGATGCCACCACCCCAGTGACGTCGGTGGTCCTCGTACTTGGTGATGAAGCCCTCGTTGACAGCGCTGACCAGCTTGCTCAGCTCGGCCTTGTCCTCGCCCTTGACCTCGGTCAGAGCCAGCACGGCGGCGGTCTTCTTGTGGACCACGGTTCCGAGGCGGGCCTTGCCCTTGATGATGGCGTAGGGGACACCCATCTTGCGGCAAAGAGCGGGGAGGAAGACAACGAGCTCGATCGGGTCCACGTCGTGCGCGATCAGGACCAACGAGGCTTTCTTGGCTTCAATCAGTCCCACTACGTGGTTGAGCCCGTATTTCACGGTGTAGGGTTTCTACAGATTCGTCAGTATTCGAGTCATCTTTTCTCCCCTTTCTGTACTCTCTAAATTTTCATTTGTGGAGAGATCCGAGAGGGCCCGTGAAAGACACGACATACCTTCGAAACATCCTCCTTCTTTTTGCCTTCCTGCACAGCAGTGGCTTCTTGGAGGAGACGCTCCTTCTTCTGCGCCTTGGTCTCAGGGCGGTACTTGTTCAAGAGCTTGAGCGTCTGGGCGGCGGTGTTTCGGTCGAGGGTGTTTGAGAATTGCGCGATCGCAGGAGGTACTTTGAGGCGCAGGTTCAGAATCTTCTTTTGTCGCTGGAGACGAACATATTCTGGCCATCTATAATGCAATAATTGTCAGGTCTTGCTCCACGTCCCAATACTCCGGGTTCCAGAGACACAGGGTACTCACTTCACCATGCGAGATAGGTTGCGGGGAGGCTGAACGTCTTGACCGATGCCAAAGTTTCGGGCTCGCTTCTCGAGGAGCGGGTTCTAGAGAGAAGTTAGTTTTATCAGACACACGAGACAAGAGTTGCGGTGAATTGGGGAGTGGATGTCAAGTAACTTACCTTTGCGGCCTTCTTAGTAGCACCGGCCTTCCCTTGCGGGAAAGGCGCGGGCGCGGGTTTCTTTCCTTTGGGTGGCTATCATTGAGAAAAGAATGACCATCAGCACATCGTGTTCCATGATCAATTCTTTTGACTCTAAGGAGAAAAACGAGGAGCAATCGGTTGTTACACACGATTGATCTCATATTCTCCAGCCGGGGTCATCACTGACGAGGACAGGGCATCATGCTGAGGTCTCAATCAAGAGGTCAGACATGGTGACTCCTAGTCCAGTCGGCGGAAAATCGAGCTGCGCAACCGATACGCGTTCGACGGCGACAGACTCGGCGCGCAGAGTGCTGCGTAGCGGAGGATGGTGGAGGTATTTTCTAGCTTACCATTGTGAACTGAGAAATGTGTCGACTCGGGCAAGTGACGGGCCTTGTTGGAGTGAGAAGCGCAGGGGAAACAAAAAGGCGCTCGAGGATGGAAAATGTTCTGAGGGTGGTGCGCCAGTGTGTGGAATTCAGTACTATGTCTGAGAAGGGAATAGTCGGCCTTGGCAGAGAAGTTGTCTTGGCGCAGGTTCGAGCGCGAGGCTGAGGCTCCAACTAAGAGTACGGAGACTGCTACGGAGGACTACTCAGTACGGAGGAGTATCCGTACTATTAAGAGTAGTTCGCCGAGGCTTAAGGCTGCGCGCAACCTGTCAGACAGATCATCTGGTCACAGGTCGCTTCTTCATGATGATGCGTCTATTCACTAGCTAATCTATCTAGGATGCACCTGCGAAGACACTATATGGCCTCTGGTTTGAGATCTGCACATCCCTTCCCAGGACCACCCACAGTGCCCCATTACACGTCCCAACCGCCTCTCTTCTTCAATGCAATCTGGTTTGATTGCAAGGTTACTCTTCACTTTTTTGAAACACAACATCGCCGCCCAGCCATTAATGCATGCTATCCGTCACTCTGCTAGTGACGGTTCCCATAATGAAATTCTGCTCGGAAGAAATGAAACCATTCGCGGATGCATAGCCTCTTGCGGCCGTCGCCGTCAAGCAGTGCCTAGCCCCGAGGAGCTGGTGAATAAGGTGAACAAGGTGTACTTAGGCAAAGCCAAAGTAATCAGCCCCAAGATTGATCGCTTTCATCAGATTGTTCTTCAGTGTCTCGTAGTCGTCGTAAGTCGGGAGATCAAGTTGATTGAAGCAAGTATGGCTCGTTGGAAGGCGAGATTGACTTGGATCCCTGGTTACATGGTCAGTGTCTGGTAGAGTGCAGGGGTAGAAGCAGTTTGACTTACTTGTGAATGCTGAACAAGGTGTTTCCTTGCATGCCTTCCAGGTCCTTGAAACCATTCAGAGGGACCTTGCTAGTACCAGTCACGAACTGCAACAACTTCGCTCGTTCTTCGTTGCTCATGTTCCGCACGACACGCCAGAACCAGATCACTTGAGGGCTGTTGGCAGTATAGTTGTGATACTCTGTATGCGCCTTCCAATCGTCGACGTCAATCTCTGGCAGCCCAGAAATGAGAAGTTCGAGCTCTTGTTCGTCGAAAATCGCAATGAGCTCGGCGGGAATGATGTCGTGAAATCCTCGGACGAACGCCTCGAGCTGATCCTTAACCGAGGTGGTAAGCCGATAGCGAACCTGTGCATTCACATACTCTCTCTTGTTTTCCTCAGTCACCGGGATGTTTCGTCCATCAGGAATGAGATCGACCACCTTCTCTTCACCAAATTGTTCCTCGATGACCGAGAAGTCTTCGGTGATGACCTCGGTGATGTCGTTTTCGAGGATCCACAACAAACTCTTGTAGTAATCAAGGTCCATTGACTCTAAGTCCTTGAGGTTGGGCTCCTTGCCGAGCAGACGTTTGTACACTGCACGACTGAAATGGCAATCAAGAACCCGGCCTTCATGCAATGCTTTGCCGATGATCCGGCCAATGAACTTGAAGTACAGTAGATGCTCCCCGTTAATCCAACTGAGGGGATTGGGATGAAACGTCGTACGATCGGCTGCCACTGGTTGCCATAATGCCCAGTCTGGGTTGAACATGCCTCGAGCAAGCACCTGGAACCACTCTCGTGTGACACCACCTGCGTCGACGCCTTCTTCGCCGTTGAAACGAATGTTCAGTTTACCATATTTCATCTCCCCAGCCGTCTTGTAGTACAGAGCTTTATAGGAATCAAGGAACACCTGGTCACGACGGACGTTCAGAGTCAAAGGTGGTTGAATGTGCCGCTGTTGATGAAGGCGAGAATGGATTTGTTTGGTGAAATATGCGCGTTTGTTGTCAAAGTCGAGCACTTTCGGATTCTTGACCAGAAGACTGAAACTCCCATTCCCTTGCATCAATTTCGGAGATTGGCGAATAATGTCGTTGAGAATCTTGCGGTGCTCTGTGGTGAAGTTAAAGAATAGCTCCTGAAGATCATCGAGGGCTTCCGGTGCGGGACTTCCAGGCGTCTGCTCCCTAACCTGGCGCGGCATTGTCGGGTCTTGGAGAGAGGTATTCTTGCACACCACCATCAACGACTCTATCAGCGGGAGGAGGATGGTTGCAAAGCCGGTGATGTTGTCTTTCTCCCGAATTACGCCCAAGCACTCGCTGAGCTTGGCCCAAACAGGTCTAAGGCTTCCGTACGAATTTGTCAAGGCCCTCCTCACCACTCGGCTTTCACCATTGTCGTCGCGATCCGGTTTGGGGGCAGACAGGTAGTCTAGCGCTTGGAGGACTCGCAAAAGCTTGACCTGGTCAGAGCCTCCATGCGAGAATTTCGATGAAGCAATCGCCTGAAGATCTGTAATTGACTGCGCTTCTTTCAAGTGAGGTAGCAGGTCGTCGAGGTCGGTAGAGATAGAGTGAGAGAGATTCTTGACATGGGTGATCAATTCTTTGCTGAAGATACCGGCTGTTCCTGGAATGCAAGAAAGGCTGGACAAAGTCTCCAGAGTGGAGTGAAATGTATCACTGCTGCATTCTGGAGCAACAAATATGCTTACCACCAGTTGCAGATTGCGGTGCGAAATCTCGGGTGGTTCGAATGTCTTCTTCAACTTCACATCGTCCGCGTTTGAGTCATCGTTGCCGGTCTCCGAAGGCACATTTGTGGCAGGTTCTGCCGCTGTCTCAGGTGCGCTGTCAGTAGGTGCTGCTGGAGTTTCTCCGACAACAACATTCCGCTCTCCAGTGACAGGATGATCAGGCTCTGTAGACCTCGCAGTTAACTCTTCTGCTTTACTGTCGCTGCCATTATCAGTAGGCTTCTCGTCGCCTGGAGCCTTCTCTTTGTCCTTGCGTAATAGCATTGGCAAGGGTTGGGTAACAGCAGAGAGGAGCTCTGCTAATGATTGAAGGCAAGATGAGCTCTCCACTATCAATTTTCTGTCAAGGAGGCTGATCAAGTCATTGATGGGGAACTTGACCGCTCTAGAGTCCTTTGCCTTTCCTTTTCCTTTCCTCGAAGCTGTGCTGACATCGACCTCACGCAAGAAGATGGTTCTGGTGTGGAAACTGCTCTGGCAGAGTTGCTTGAAGGCCGAAAGACATTGTTGTACAACGACGAGGGGTGTGACTTCCTCACTAATTCCCGCTGGCATTGAAACAGCGCGCTTCAGTGGCTGCGGAGTCTTCTGCCCGACCGCGGCTCTTGCGCGAAGGGACAAAGAGGCAAGGCTTCGTTCAACAGCTGAGACGTCCGTAGATCCTTCCTTGAGAATAACAAGCAGGAGATTGATAACTTCAAATCGAGTCTGGCGGTTTCCGCAGATGTTGCGAAGGATATGCCAAAGGTTTGCTCGTAAAGAGCCTTGCTGCGGAATGAACATGAGGCGTAGTAAGGTAGCAACTCCGGATTTGTCCACCATCTGAATGATTTGCCGCTTATTCTCTCGTTGAGTGGCTTCCTCGTTAGTCCGCCCGTTCTGGCCCGCGCGATCAGCCATGGGAGTGTATCTGAAGAGATGCCTAGCATGTGTGCGACCTTCTGCAGTATGTCGTGGATCCAGATGATTGAGGATGTCTTCTGTCTGTTCGGCAAGAACCTCGCGCCGTAGGTTGGGTTCAAAGGTGGCCAAAATTGAATCACCGTCCATATCTTCGGGTTGAGAACGTCCACCTACATTACCAGTTTGTCTGCGAGCTGCTTCGCGCTCACGTCTCCGCTGAGCATGGGCTTCTTGTTGACGGATCTCCTCACGGATGTCCTCAGGAAGAGCATCAAGGAAGTCTGGGTCGATACCACTCGATTGGCCTCCTTCTTGACGGGCCTGCTCGCGCCGGGTAGCGTACTGTTGCATGATGACCTCCTCTCGAAGCTCCTCTGGGAGAGCTTCAAGATATTCCTGATCAATGGCGAGACCAGTGATATCAATCTGACGACCTCTGATCGTAGTAAAAATGCGAGCTTCAGCTGCATCTCCACTCGATGTTAAGCTTTCCTGAGCTCCCTGTGCGGTCTCAGTGTCGGTGCCCTGGACATCTTCCATCGGCTCTGTGTCACCATCATCATGCCCGCTTGACTCGCCGACCTGAACGCTCTCAGCAGCCGCTGCTTCGGACTCGGCTCGTAATCGTTCTTCCTCCGCCTTCGCGGCCGCCTCGCGTTCCTCAGCCTCTTGCTTACGCTTGTCTGCTTCCAATCTCAATCTCTCCATTTCTTCGCGTTCTGCCTTCTGCTCTTCTTGTTTGCGTCGCCGCTCTTTCTCCTCTTGTTGAGCAAGAGGGAATAAGATAGCCATGACCCGAAGTTGGAGACGCTGTACCTTGTCCATATGCACGTTTGGGAAAAGAAGTCGCGCCTCTTCTTGCCATCGCGTCGTTGTTAGTGCCGGGATGAAGCCGCCGGATCGTGAAGGTTCTTCGCGAGAATGGTGACGATGCCCAATGCCTGGCATGGTCGGTCGCAAAGCCTCCCGTATGTCGGATAGTGGCGCCGCCGTCATGCTGAACTGTAATCGCCCCTCCCCTCGGTCCCGCCGATGCAGCGCCTGAAGGATAGCATCTAACATGGCACCGTGGCCTCCGGTCTCAAAGACATCTCCACTCCGGATGATGGTCTGAAATGTGGCCCCGAGAGGCGGAAAACTACCGATCGCCGGCAAATTGTCAAATCCAGGAGGCATGAAAATACCAGGACTCAGTTCAGCAAGCCTAAGCTGTCGAGAGTCCTGTGATTGTTCGGGTCTCCGCAGCAACGGGTTCATGCCATCATCGCCTCCCGGTCTCCCATTTTGCTGAAGTCGACCTGGACGGGTGACTGGATGCATATCATCCCGATGTCCCATTCGCCGTCCTCCGAAGCTCGGCGCGTGACCACCTGGGCCACGGAAGTGCCGAGGACGACGGAGTATAGGAATCTCGTTCCAGAGTAAGGGCTCTTGGTCGTCAAAGTCTATGCTTTCGTCACCGTTGAGAAACTGCTCGAAGCGAAAGTTGTTGAAGCCCATCTCGTCGTCATTCTCATCCATTTCGTCCATTTCGTCCATTTCGTCGCCATCTTCATCCTCGTCCTCATCTTCATCTTCGTCACCACGATCGCCAGAACCAGCGGCGGGGACGATGAGTTCAGTAGGAACGTGATGTATGCCGCCAGGACCGTCCAAATCATGGTCGCCCAAGACTCGGAGGAGATTGCTGAGCACGCCGGGGGCTCCGCCGCTACCATGGCCACCGAGGGGCATGTCATCGCCGTTGAAGGCGATACCAGCGATGTCATCTTGCTCCTCGCTTCCTTCATCTTCTTGGTCTTCTTCTTCGTCCTCCCAATCACCCTCATCTTCTGATCCGTCATTGAGGCTGTGGTTCTCTTCATCTCCATTGATCTCGCCAGCGTCTTCATCGTCGTCCTCAACCATGAAGTCATCGCCGCCCTCGTCTTCGTCGTCGTCTTCCCCGTCTCCGTCGGTGTCGTCTTCTTCCTCTTCGTCATCCTCTGTATCAACTTCCATGTGAGGATCGTTCATCACAAATTCGATGTCCATGGGAACATCACCCGGAAGGCCCTCGATGTCGCCATCAGCAGCCATTTCATCATCGATCTCTTCATCGCTCACAGCCTCATCATCAGCGCCTGCCGCACCAACCCCTTCGTCGTATTCCATGTCGTCTTCGTACTCCTCGTCATACATCTCTGCATCCTCATCTTCCTCGTCTGAAGCAGACGAGGATTCAGAATCTCTATTACGATCAAGTATGCCGAGAGCAGAGTTTCGAAACAAGTCAGGAGTCTCCTCGCGTTCATCATCAACGTCAGAGACCGAGGAAGCGGATGAGATCACATCATCAGACATATTTCCTGCAACAGAGCTTAAGAAATCTGGCGAAGTCAGACTGAGATGGGCAGCCAAACTGGTGAGTTCTTGTAGCGGCCGAAGTATAAATTTGATGACCCTCTTTGATCCAGAGTATGATAAATCAATATCGGCCAGAGAGCTTGTCAACACTTGTGTCAAGTTTTTCTCGAACATCATGCGAGCAAGCACCTTGTACGATGTGTTTTGGGACCCAGCCGACCCATCAGGTAAGGTCGGCTTCGTGAGGAGCCGGTTGAACAAGTCTGCAAGGCAAAGGAGACGACTGTATTTCATTTGAATTGGCTCGGTCGCGGAGATCGCATCTTTGTAGGACTTTATAGCATGCTCTAGGACGAAGCGACGCACGAAAGTCAGGTCTGGTTCATCGTCCGTATCCTCAATTTGCGGCTGTGAAGAGAATCGAGTTGGAGAAGTACTCAGAGTTAGTTCTCCGGTCTTGGCACATAAGGCAACAAGTAACCGGATGGCCCAGTCGCTTGTTAGTACCTTTTTCTTGAATTGTGCACTGTCTTCCTTGTCCACATATCCAGACGGGATCAAGCCGTTCAAGAGATAGTTGAGGACACCTGCCCGTGGCTTTGATGGCGTGACAGCCATCGGGTCTGCCTTGCGCGAGAAATTGATGAGCTCGATCTTGGTGCGATTGTATGAGTGCAAGAGCTCCGTCAGGCTATACATTAAGAAGCATCGATAGGCGAAGATTGGATGGTCGTCATGTTTGAACTTGCCCTTGTCGGGATTCAATTGTTCTGAAGGGATATTCCCAGCATCCTCACTTGAAACTGGAGGAATAGCTGCTTGATTCTGGTCGCGTGGGCTGTTTGCACTGGTGGTCGGCAATGGCTCAGCAACAGTTTCCTTATCCTCAACATCTTTGTAATTTAAGAGTTCTGAAAGGATGAAGTGAATAACACCATCGGGACGCTCCACGACAGGGGCCTTCGTTTCAGATGCCTTGTTCCTGCCGGTATCTCCAACTGAAGTCTCTGTGGGCTCAACGCTAGCTGCTGGCTGCATTGTGGCGTCGCCAGTTTCGGCAGTGTCATGGGCCTGCCCGCCGATCTCGTCGCCGGGTGATTTTGACTGGCCAGTCTCCTTCAACACAAGCCCAACAGGACTCCCATGGTGGGGTTGCCAGGCCGACAATTTGACCAAGTCATTCGTGACTTCAAGGAAGATGTCTGGAGAGCGAAGGGCAAGGTGATACGTCTCCCGAAGGTACGTTGCGACATCGACTTGCCTTGAGGAGGTGCGCAATGTGAAAAGGGATTTGATTTCGGTGCGCAGGATTTGTTTCAGGATTTCCTCGTCCTCCACAATATGGCGTAGGACGATCATGAAAGAGCTCTGGAGTCGGTGGCCAATATTGTTCGCCAGCTGTTTGATCATGAGGAAGAGTCTTTGTAGATTGCGCTTCTCAGCTAGGCGCGAGGCAAGCTCTCGCTCTCGCGTGAGAATCACGAGGACCCTTGTAACAGCCAAAGCCATCATTTTATCCTTTCCAACACGTGGCAGCAGGTTGATGAGGGCATCGAATATTTCAAGCTTGGTCGACGAGTCAAAGACAGAGAAAGGGATGATGTCTGCCTTGCTCAGGGTGTCAAGGTCATTGGGAGGATCCCACTTGACTTCTGCAGGTTCACAATCCCTCGAAAGCAGCTTTTCAACAATGAGCAAGACAGGAGCAACCCAGGGAAAGGACTCCTGTGCAGGTCGCCCATCGGAAGCCGGAAGCCGGAGAAATGATAGAAGTCCATCGAATGCCTCCTGGAATATGCTCAGTGTTGCCCTAAACACCTCGGTTTCTTGAAGAAGCAGGGCAAGAAGATGCGCGGCTGCGCCGATCTTCTTCCCTCGGGCCTCGTTAATTTCATCGTCCACTTGCATCGACAGTAATGAGCTGACAAGAAGATCTGCGCTCGCCCTCCAGAACTCGGCAGCCTCTTCTTCAGTCATCTTGTTAGTTGCGGTAATGATGAGATCTGAGAGCTCAAAGGTCAGGTTCTGGTGGTTGTTGAGAATATTGTTGCAGCGATCAGCGAGATCCTCTCGAATCGCCGTTCTCTGTGCCGTAATTGACTCGACAGAAAAGGAAGAGGGCGGTTCTGGTTGAAAGCCCTCGGGCCGACCTTGCCGCTCGCGTCCAACATTGATGGTGTCCTGTGCCGTACTGCTTGAATGTCTTGAGATGGTCGACGTTCGATGGCTCTGCTGACCTGTCACATCCTCCATCAAACTATCATCAACAGTATTGTTCACGACATCAGTAACAGCAGCTTCAACCACGCTGCTTGGAGTAGAGCCAGAGGCTACAGCACCGTCGGCCTCTCTGTCTGGGATAGGTAGTCGTCGCCGTCGTGGATTTGAAGCTATGGCTTTACAATACTCCTCAGATGCTGCAAGATTGCTCGCTGCTTGTGAATTGGTGCGGAATAGGGCTTCACGAGCAAGGTCTTCGTCGTAACCGTTGTCCTTAAGCAGAGCAACCTTCTGAGGATCAATAACCATTCTTCTAGGGGAAAATGCCGCCACAACAGGCTGTTGCTCATCAGTTTGTATAGCTTCGCTTTCTTGATTACCCGCGAAAACATGTTTCAGAATAGAAACAAGCTTTTGCACAACATCCTTGGAGGCTTGATCTGCGTATTCGCTCTCCCAAATCAGTCGAGTCAATGGAAGCGCTTCCATTCGGAGGCTAAGTAGTGTTTGAGCGGAGTTGAAGTAAAATGGCTTCGTCGGGTCATTGTTTCTCATAATGTTGGCTTGCAAAGATTCGATAATGCATTTCGCGTCCGTGAATTGGTCCAAGATATCTAGACAAATCTTGAGGCCAGTATTCGCAGAGAACGTCGAATGTTCCACCTTGCACGACTTCAGTTTGTCAAAAAATTGTGTCCCAATATTTGCCAGAACCTTCACGCCCCCAGCTTTCCGAAAGCATTCCACGACGAAGCTTTGCCGGGCTGGACTTATCATTGGTCCTGATGAGGGATGACTGTCATCGTAAAAGCTGCGACGCACATTGTCAAGTGCGATGACGAGATAGGTGAAACGAGGCTCGCAGTCTTCGGAAGGACCGCTCGAAGTGAGGAAATATGGCTGAAGTTGAGTTAGGTAGGCCGAGGCAAGTGCGTCTGCAACAATGGTTGCCTTCTGCCGGGCGAAGGTGTCTGGACGCCGACGGCCAACAAGGCCACGTCCAAGTCGGCATAGGAACTCTGTGATAGCAGCTGGCGTCTCAATTAAGAGATATCGGAGGACCCGGGTATTTTGAAAGAAAGGACTCGTTTTATCTTTGTCCAAGTCGGAGGCCCCAGTGGCAGGTGTCGTGTCCATGGCCACATCCTCAAGACTCGCATCCCCACCAGAGCGTGCATTGTTGTCTTGAACACTAAGTATTTTGTCAACTTCAGCGTCACCCGTCGAAAAATGTTCCGGCCGCGTAGCGGATATCCAAGACTCAGGGATGCATCGCTGGATGGCGATGTCTTCTCTGTAGCAGGCAGCGGAAATGCTTCCCATCGTTTTGCACAGATCGGCAAAAACATCTGCCAAATTGACTGAGCCAAAAAGATAGTTCTGTAATGATCTGGTACTGTACATTGGAACATTGAAGACCTCTGCCAGAACTTGGGCGAGACAGAATGTTGTCATCAAGGATTTGGCAATCCGGGTACCATTGACCTCAACCTCATGAAGTGCAGGGGCAGCGCCGCTGTCGACAGTGTAGGAAACAGCGTCGGCTTTGATCAAAGGTGCGAAGTAGCTGGTCCAGTCACTCGGCTGATACTGGCTGAAGTGTTTCAACTCTGAGCAAGCGAAGTGTGCGCGATCCACAACCGCGGGTAAGACGATGTGAGGTTTCGTCTCGGCCATCATATGGATAGCCGCTGACAATTCCGAGAGCATGCCATCAGGTCGATCGAAAGGCTCATTTGCGACTGGCAGGCTCGGCAATGTGATGAAGTCAAGGACCAGATCACATCCTCCATGATCAAGAAAACTGCTACACAGAGATTGGTTCTCGAAAAAAGCCACCAAGAAAGCAATGGCAGGCCTGGCATAATCATTCGCTTTGAGACCGTGGCTGTCTTGATCACTTGGAGTTCCGGACACGGTGCTCGGCGGCAAGACTTCAGCCTTGAGAGTGAGCTTGTCTCCGTTGGGCAAATCGATGGTTCTAGAATTTGTAGAGGCATCAGTGTTTGTAGACGTCGAGGGGGCTATCTCGAGCGAAAGAGCCTCCCGTCCACCACAAGGAACTAGCTCATCGCCTGATCCCAGCCACAATTTCGGTCCAGCTCCGAAGTTGACAGCGAGCGACCTGCTGATGTGACGAACTCGCGCAACCATGACTATTACCGCACTCAGGACTGCGTTTCGCAGGTTTGGGTGATGTCTGACAAACTCGTCAAAAGTTGAGCCTAGATGTGCTAGAATATTTGCGTCATTCAACACTTTGACGTGGGCAGGAGATTCGAACATCTCAAAATACTTCTCCAGGGCGCCAGAAGCCTTGAATAGTTCGAACCCAACGTTGGTAAGGCAGATAGCGCTGAATATCTGGGCAACCTGGATGATGGCGTCGACGACGGGTGGAATACCTTGCGGAAGGTTTGCAGGTTCCGATGAGACTGACTTCGGACCTGTCTGAATGGACTGGTTCTGCGAAGCTGTGACAGTGTTGAGCAGACTTTGAATGATACCTGCTTCAGAAATCACAGTGTAGCTGGTGGGCTCGTTGTGAAGGAAACCACCAACAGCCTTCACAAGTTCACTCCAGGTATGTGCACCGAACGCAGATAGGTGGTCAACAATGAGACGGAACGCTCGAAGCAGGGCTTGAGAGTCAACCAGACTTCTCAGCACTCGATCGGCCTGCGCCCCTTGATGACCGCTGATGTCGTTGATCATATCGATAATTGATCGAATAACCTGCTGGTGCACATATGGAATCTCGTAGTCCGTAGCGCGGGTTTTGTATTGCGCTGCAATCCCCTCGCCAGCTTGTAGCAACGTCCAAGCACTGGTCACGAGAATCTCGAGAAGATTGCTTATCGCCTCAAACGCGCTGCTCGCCAGCAAGGTTGCAAGACCATCCTTGAAGTGATGAAAGAATGTCTTGATAAAGTCGAGCATGCGCAAATGAACTCGCAAGGCTTTGCCTGTGGTGATGTTCAAGCCCGACAGATACGCGGTGAGGAAGCTGGAAGCCATAACCGCCTCGCTGGAACGACCATGGTGGCCTGTCGCTTCAATGAGAGTTTGCGGCATTGAGAAAACGGCCTCTCTCCAGTCATCACCGACAGAGGTATCGGTACTGTCATTATCCTTTGCTATGTCATTCAAGCCTTTCTGGATCAACTGGGAAAGAAGGCCTTGGCTCGACCCTGCCCCTAGTGCGGCATTAATATCCGGAGCAAATGTCTTCAATCGCGCAAGGACCCCAAGTGTGTCCATTGCAAGTGTTTGGAGATATAGAGAAACAGGCGCTTGAGCTTTCTTGGTATCATGTATCAGACTGATAATCTGTTGGACAAGATCGTGAGGCTTGGGACCTCCCAGCTCAGTAGGAAACAGTTTCTGAGATAGCTCAGGCTCATTGAACACATTGGCCAGACTGGAGATTGCCAGGAGTCGCACCGCCAAGAGTTCCTTTCGCGTCTTCGCTGATGTTATGAGGCCATATGCGACACGAAGCTGGTGCAGCAGCTCGTATCGAGCGTTCGGGGGCATTTCATCAGGCTGATTTCGCAATATCGACTCGATCGTAGTGTTTGACAAATCCCCGGGGCCATATTCGATGCACTTCAATTCCACTCCCGCAACCACTCGACTGGCGCTTCCATTTGGCGAGCCAGTCGTATCAACTCTACTAAGTCCCGAAGGAGCTTGTCTGATGGGCGTAGGGGTCGACGGTGGTTCGGAAGGCTGGGATGTCTCGCTTGGGTGAGGCTTCTGTTCCAGGCTTACTGGAGACCAAGAGATTTTCACATGTGCCCATGTCAGCCATTCCCGATCAGGTACAGATGTTGACTTTCCACGGTCACTTTGGGAAGACGTCTCTTTGCAGAAAGAACGAAAGTCGTTTGGGTTCACAGCAGATGACCCTCGTCTAGCCTTGGTTGAGTGAGGGGGCTTCTCTTTCGACTTGAGAGTCTTGACGGGGGATGTGGCTCCTCGTTTGCCAAGCAGGCTATTCGAATGTCCGAAAGGAGCAGCAAGTCTCTGAAGGCGCTCATGGTCAAAGTCGTAGAACTTCGTGGCGTGTTGGCGTGAGGGTGGCGTACGCTCTGCGTACCTCTGCGCAAGGTAGAAAGTGATCCGAAGCGTGCTGTGCAGGAGAGACAACGATGTGGTATTCAGCAGATCGTTCAACCGATCAGTGCTGTTGTACACTGCCCGATTGGCACATTTCTCCACGAGCAGTTTTGAAAACACCAGGATTGCCTCCACCAGCTCTCTGTCACCTTCTGGGCCGAAGCCTATCTCTTTCAGTCGTTTCTCATCGACACCGTGGCTCCCTTCCAAGAGTAACGAGACGCCGAATGGTATGGTCTGGGGGCCTTTGTCCAGCCCATATTTGGCATTAAAGTCTCTCAATATGCCGTCGAAACGATCAAGAGGTTCAATCCAGTTGTTCAGGTCGCCTCGAGGGTAGGGCCATCTCTGCGACCATCCGCTGAAGAGGGCTGGTAAATCGGCGAGAGGGACCGTAGAGACCTTCTTGACGAGATCTGATACGGCCGGTGACTATCAAGTCCATGTCAGTATCTTCAAGACAGGAATGGAGACTCACGTACCAGTGACACTTTGTGCTTTTCCTGTGGCTTCCTCGTAACCTTCCCCATCTTCTCTAAACTCCGTAGTGCGGCAGCATAGGCTGCATCCGAAATGCGGATCTCAGGTGAGGCTTGGGAGCGTAGCCAGTGTGCGACTAAGGTGTAGCGTTTGCGGAGGTGCGAGATTGAGGTGCGACTTTTGATCTAAATCGGTGAAAGTACTGTGAATGAAAAATGTTCAAGTGATGAGGTTGTGTTGTAATCCAGCAGGTCGATTCGGATTAGGGTAGAAGTCGGGGTGCGGGAAGACAAATCGTTTGCGAGGCCACTGGTCCCAGACTCCGTGCAATAGGAATATAGCAGTGCCCAGAATTGCAACTGAAGTAATGTACAGAGGCAATGATGAAGAAGTGAATTGGGTTGCTCATAAATCAGAGCTTAGAGTGATGCTTGAGATGAAAGAACCTTGTCCGGTGATTTGTGGCGCGTTTCTGCGAAGCCCAAATTTCAAGCAATGACGTTCGATCTTCAACGTCGGGCGAGACTATGTACCTATACGGTTGCTGCTGCCTTCGCGTCTGCCTCACCCACGCTTTTCACTTTGCAGAGGCTGAGCTGGCTTTGTTACAGATATGACGAGTGGTTCTTCATCATGTTTAGGTATGCTGTCACTGCCCGTTCTTCTTATTTGTACCGGGTTTCATGCCGCAATTTTGGAAGCCACGGAAAGTGACAAAACAACTGAGACAAATTGGGTTCAGAGCCGTTTCATCCAGTCTTCATCGAACATGATTGTGCAATGCCTACACACCAAAATTGTCCTCTCTATTCAGCTAAGCAATCAAGTCGTTTCGCCCCGAGGGGTTAGGCCTGCCTGTTAGACCTGGCCGGCGCCCTGCTCAACCCTCTCGGTGTCCACAGAATGTCGAGCTTTGCCTGGCCCTGGCCTTGTGGTCTGCATAGTAGACACCCGTATCTTGAGTGAGAGGGAGGTGTATGCCGGGTTTGCTTGCAAACTTATCCGTGAGATTGGCGCCGTGCCTTCTTCCGGCAGGCAGATCTGCGGCAAGTTGAATGATTCCTTTGACTAGACAACACTGTATCTTGAAGAGGATCGCCGTTCACTTCAACCGCGGTCTCATGTCATGTCCTTTTGAGGTCCCTATCAGAGGCCGTAATCCTGCCAACATGTGCTTAGCCTCTTGCGCTGTCTTTGGTGTGCTCGTTTTGCGGGCTTCCTTAATACCCCGTCGGCGAGTTGCCCCGGTCTGTCACTGTCCCCGAGAGTCTGCGCCCAGGTTAAAGAGTGAGGCTCAGGAGCTTCGGATATATTCAATACATCGTCCCATCGGACAGGCTATCATTTGCATCGTTTGGGAGTTGGCTGGTTACAGGTCTGTCATGGTCTTTGTCGGTCAAGGAAAAGAAATGCTGCAGGGCATAATCTACTAGTAGTTTCTTTAGCAGAGACATTGCCATGGATGGCAACACACGGGAATACCTCTAGGTAAGTACGGATCAATATCCGTATCATAGATTCGAGTTATGTGTGAACTGTACGAAGTACGGAGTAGGTACTTTATTTGGTACTTGGTCCTTTACCGGGCCCCTGACTACCTCCCTTCATATCATGTACGGAGTACTCCGTACTAGTTCTAAATAAGACGGCCTAAGGCGCCTAAGCCGTTGGGAACTCGGGATTACAGGCACCACAGGGGCGGGACGGGAGGCACTAATCAGTATCCGTACGTAGTAAATCTCATTTATTTAGTCTCAGGCTGGTTGACCCCAACATTCCCAGAGTCAGGTTTTAACTACACATTCCTCGCACCGTGGCTTCTGTTAACCGACAATTGCACTGCGGCTTGTTTCGTCTTATGACCCCGATCTACCCTCTGGCTCTTTCTCGCGAAATTGTTCCAGCCGGTTCGAGCTTGTCGAGAAGATGGCATCAAAGCCCGTCACTCTACAAATTCGCCCACGTGGTAAGCTTGACTGAGATTCTCACCTGCTCACCATCATACTCACCATGCTTACCTTCTCTAGGTAAACCTATCAAGGCCTTACCTGAGACCATCGATCTAAAACCCAATGCCACTACTGGCGACCTGTATTCTGAGCTCGCGCGAAGAACGAGATATTCGGTTCATCGGTTGCGCGTGACGAAAGGCTCCGACGGTAGCGCGCTTCCGAAAACGAAAGACACATCCATTCATTCCTCCGGTCTTCGTGATCAAAGCACGGTTTTTGTCAAAGATCTCGGCCCACAAGTCGCATGGCGGACGGTCTTCCTGGTCGAATACCTGGGGCCGCTATTGATACACCCATTGATGTATGCACTTCGACCGTACATTTACCCATCAGCAGCAAAAGACGCATCGCAAATTCAGAAGCTATTATGCTGGCTAATATGCATACATTTTGTCAAGCGAGAGTTGGAGACGCTCTTCGTCCATCGGTTCTCTGCCGCTACGATGCCTCTTCGGAATATCTTCAAGAATAGTTTCCACTATTGGATTCTGTCAGGAGTCATGGTTGCAGCCTTTATTTATTCTCCATTTTCTGCTACGGCACAAGATTACAGTCGCCTGCTCTTATATCCTGGATTGGTTCTCTATGTGCTCGGAGAATTTGGAAATCTCCAAGCACATCTGACTTTGAGGCGACTGAGAAGCTCCGGAGGCTCGGAACGGGGCATTCCACGGGGCCCGTTGTTCAGTCTTGTTACGTGCCCAAACTATTTGACGGAAACTATCTCGTGGGTTGGGGTCTACTTGATCAGCGGCCTCAGCTGGGGTGTTCTGATCTTCCTCCTGGTGTCTGTGGCTCAAATGGCTCAATGGGCGAAAAAGAAAGAACATAGATATCGCAAAGAATTTGGGGATAAGTACAAGAAAAAGCGGTACACAATGCTGCCAGGTATATGGTGAACGAAAACAAAAGCATGCAGGATCCTGTAGATCAATGGACATATCTAGGGTAGCATATCATAAAATGTATTCACTAACAATCATCAACATCTCACCATCTTCCATCAGTACCTAGGTAATGACACATGTTTAAGTGCTTCATGTCACTGCCCGCCATCAATCTACGAAGTACACATAGCATGCTCCGTGCGCAAGTGATACTCGGCAAACTGTCCAAACGCGGAGGCAGTTTAACCGTGACCAGACACCAGCGGCAACCGAACATGTTCTAATTACAGCATATGCTTCTTCATATCTAAACCTCGATCCCTCAAAAGACATAATGAGAGCTTTTTGATCTGTTAACCCTTCCGGCCCTGCACCCGTCAAAATGCATTTCGCCCTACCTCCACGCAAAACATCGCATCCTCCCCCCTATGCTCGTGGAAACATCTCTGTCTCTGCGACCAACAGACGGCGGAAGCAGTTGCAGATCCTCAGCTATGCAGTCCTGGGACTCTTAACATTCTACCTCTTCTTGAAGTTGGCGCTACACTCAAGCTCGGTGGGGGATCACGAGGATGGTCCAAGTAAGATCGAAGGACATCAGGATATCGTTCTGGTGACGGTGTTCGACAATGAGACTATGAGCGAAGATTACATGAAGATGGTGAAGGTGAACCGGGATGATTACGCTGCTAGACACGGTAGACTCAATGGTTCCAAGGAAAGGTCGTTAGGAAGGTGCTAATCTCCCTCCAGGATATCAGAACTTCTACACCAACACCACCGCGTATGCCAACCTCGTTCACCCTTCACCATCGTCCTGGGCCATGGTACCAGCTCTTCGACACGCATTAACAGAACACCTCTCGAGCACTTTCTTCTGGTCATTATCTGCTGACGCCTTCATCACCAACCCTTCACTCTCACTGGAGACACATATCCTCGAACCTCTAGAATCACTCATGCTGAAAGACGTTCCTGTGGTTCCTCCTGACTCCGTCATCCATACTTTCTCCCACCTCAGACCTTCTCGAACGCACCTGATTCTATCCCAAGATGCCGATAATCTCGCTCATACCTCGTTCATCCTCCGCAACACAGCCTTTACACCTGCCACAACAGACAACTGGGCGCACTATTTCCTGGACGCTTGGTTTGACCCGTTATACCGTGCCTATCTCTTCCAGAAAGCCGAGAACCATGCGTTTGAGCATCTTGTCCAATGGCATCCCACTATACTGGCCAAATTGGTACTGATCGAGCAACGGCGCTTTAATTCCTACAACTTTGCCAGTCCACCTGTTAGAGATCAGGTGACAGGCGAGACACGCACCTACGATAGTATGTGGCAAGAGGGAGATCTTGTGGTCAATCTGAAAGGATGCAGGGAGAGTGAGAAACGTGACTGCGAGGAAGAGATGCGGCATTACTTTTCCAAATGGGAGCAAGAGGTTGAACGACTGGATGGTAAGAAACCTGAACACCGTGTTGGTCCTCCCAAGCCGAAGCAACAACAGGTAAAGGAAGTCAAGGGGAAAGATAGCATGGGCAGTTGATGAGATGTGAGCCTCTTTCGAGGATAGTGGCGGGTCCGCTGCCCTCTGCATTGCGTCGGCCAGTCTGCCTGCTTTAATAATAGTGATCACTTCACCCTACGCTTCTTAACCAGCTCGGAGGCTCCGCTGCCGCTTCACAACGAAATGGAATCGCAGAGAGATTGGGAAGTTCTCCCTTTTTCGCACGGTTACAAGTGGAATGGCGCAACTGTGTTTCATCTACATGTTGACTTTTGGCGGCGGCAGGGACGCTGTCTGCAGGTACATCACCAATCATGCGAACCCCTTCTTTCACCTTCCGCTCTTGTGGAGCTCCCTGGGAAAAGACGATCGAGGAGGAGGCTCTGGGAGAAGCAGGTCCCGAATTGCCAACCCTCATGAAAAGTCTCCCCGTTCGGCCCGCAGTTTGTCGTATCGCAAGACGGCACCGAGCAGCACCTGGGCACCAATGGCACTGGAATCATGTCAGCAGGCACCCATCGGACTGGAGCAAATGACATACCAATCTTCAGGGCTACAATACTCCTGGGGGTTGTGACTGATCCCATCTTTGGTCGGAGTGAAGATCATGCTCGTCGGGCAACGACGATTAGTATAGCAGCTGTCATGACCAGCGCCACTGATCATATATCTCCACATCTCGCCGTCCTCCGCCGTCACGGGCAAATCCTGGCAGACTTCTTTTGTACTAGCTTCTACTGCGGCAATACAGTCGGGATGGAATTTCACCGCTGGACTATTGACCAGCTCTTTCCACTCTACCTTGCAGCCTTTTTCGCTTTCTTTCTCCGAGATCCTCATGAACCCTTCTCGACACGCTTGTTCAATCTCTGCGAGCTTGTCATCTTCGACGTGTCGAATATCAAGGCTGAAGGTGACTGTGTGGGCCATGGTGTTTATCGAGCCTGGCTGGCCATTCAATATTCCCGTCGTTGCCAGACCCCCGAACTTTTTCGCGATAGCATTCGCCTCGACTATCAGTTTGGCGGCGCAGAGCATCGAGTCCATGCGAGCATAGAACGGGGTAGTGCCTGCGTGAGTGTCACGGCCTCTGACCGTGATCTCAAACCACTTGAATGCTTGCACGCCTGGTCCTCGTCAGTTCGTGTCTTGCCATCCCCGGAGCTGCCTACCTTTCACAACGCCGACTTTCCTACGCTCTGTTTCAAGGCTGGGCCCCTGTTCGATGTGCAGTTCGAAATGGCAAGCAATGGGCGTGGTTCGGTAGGAGGCTGGTTGCGAACCTAAGTAGCCGATTCTCTCGAGCTCTTGCTTCATGGTTCGCCTGTGGCCATCTTCTCCCGGCGAGACCTCTTCCAAATTCCATGCTGTCTCTAGGGGAATCGCTTCAGCCCAAACACCAGAGGCCACCGCCATCATCGGGAAGCGCGCCCCTTCTTCGTTGGTCCAGTTGACCACCCCGATGCTGCCTTCGGTCTCTACGTTGTTCTCATGCAATACCTTGAGGACTTCGAGCCCAGCATTGACCCCGAGGATGCCATCATAGCGCCCACCCGTCGGCTGAGTGTCGAGATGAGAGCCCATCATGATGGGAGGCGCTTCTGCATTCTTCCCGGGTCTTATAGCAAACAGATTACCCATCTGGTCAATACTCGTTTTGCAGTTCAAGGATTGCGCCGTCGAAATGAACCATTCCCGAATCTGCTTGTCCGCATCGTTCAGACTGAGCCTCGCCATTCCTGTCTCAGTAGGGTGACTACCGTCGATAAGTAAGCATTAGTCTCAGTGGTCCTGGTGTGTGCCTGGAAATATAACATACTCTCCATATCGATGAGCGGCGCCGTATTTGCAGCCGCTGTGAATGGCATCCATCAACCGGGACTGGTTTACCTTCAGGGCAGAGGCGTCGTGTTTTGAGCGCGTCCCGTTGACGCCGTTCACTCCGTTCACGGCCATGGTTGTCACGTTCCAATTTCTGATGGTACACAAGACCGGGTGATATACTCTGTACTCAAGGGCTCTAGAAGTTCTCAATAGCAGACCGGAAGACATCAACTAGCAGTGGCAGTAAATCTGAAGGAAGGGGGATCTACGCCTCTGGTCCTAGAGCAATCCGATTAATATATGTGCCAGACCTATTGCCGTACTTATCTAGAGTCTCGTCTTCGCCTGCCTTGGAAGGAGTTGTCCGCTTGTTTTCCCACTCACCCGCCACCCTGCTTGGAGAAGCCCGGCCGGCTCCTACACAGGTGTATGAGAAATATATTGAAGAGCAGTCCTCAGCCTCATCTGCAACTCTCCGTTGTGTTGCCGGGAGACATGGCTCGCCTCTATTAGTCGATATATATGCATCTGGATTCATTACTGTCGATAGGATGTCAGGGGAGTTGGTGCACGGACGTCAGACACAAACTGGGCAAATTCAACTGCAGCCCGAGGTTTTCACCCGCGTCTCAAATCATTTACTTCACGGGATTAATTATATTCACGATTCGATTTTTACGAGTCGCACGGCACTTCACCTGCATTTCTCGCTGCTGGTTTTGGACTCTTTCTCTCTACTTTACACTCCTTTGTTCTTGTCTCTCTCGTCAAACGCCTCGTATACATGACTTCGGAGAGTCCTGCTCGGTTGAAGATCGCCCCAAGGGACTGGCGTGAGAAGGGCTTGGGCTTTTTCCTGTCTTGCAACCTTTGACGCCCGCCGTTCTTCATGGAGCCTGACCCTACCACCTTGGACCAGGATGCTCTGGAAACAAGGGCCCAAAGTTCCACTCCCCCTCTGCGCATGATTGAGCAGGCCACGGCAGGTTATGACATGTTTGACCGACATCGGCTTCTTGTGCGCTGGGTGTTGGCCAACGACGGATTCTTTCATCCGGACGTTCAAATCGCCTTCAGTCAAAGCAAAGGGTTTCATGCTGTGGTGGCCGAGGGACAGAGCCTTCCCAGCGGCACTCGCATCACAAGCTGTCCCATGCCAATCACTTTATCAGTGCTCAATGCTCTTGATGTCGCACCCTTTTCAAGTCGTGGCACCCGGTTTCCAGACTCTTTCCTTCGCACTCAGGCCAGCCGGCCAGAATCCTTACAAACCTTCTTTCTTATGGAGCAGCTGCTCCTTGGGGACCAGTCTTGGTGGGCACCATACATTGCGACACTGCCCACGGTCGAAGATGTTTCTCAATCACAGTTCGAAGAAGAGGCGGATCGGCTCTGGCTCGAGGGCACTAATCTCAAGGGCGCCTTCTCTGCCCAGACCTCCCGATGGAAGGACATGTACCGGCAAGGCATGGGTCAACTAAAACAGTTGCACTGGGCTAACGCCGTCAATGGAGCTTACACATGGTATGTCAAGAAACGATCAATCTCTTGAGAAGGGCGACTTATCATCTGAACAGGCCACGTTTTAGATGGGCCGCAGCAATCTTTGGGAGTCGCTCATTTACTTCACAGGTCCTTGATGACACCCTCCCGGCAGACAAAGCTCGTCTACAGTACCGACGGGACAGCGACCCCCATGATCTTGTTACTCTCTTTTCCCATCGATTCGGGGTTCTTCTTCCATTGATGGATCTCCTCAATCACAAACCTGGGGCTAAGGTCGAATGGCAGGCCCGTTACAGTTTCGTTGGCCTTCAAATACTCGAACCCTACGAATCTGGCCAGGAGCTCTGCAACAACTATGGCCCTCGCGACAATGAAGGTCTCCTTCTGGCATACGGCTTCACAATCCAGGATAACCCTTTCGACCATGTTGTGATAAGCATCAGAGTTCCCCAAGGGTCCCCGTTAGCCGGCGCTCGAACCTGGAAACCGGATACCAGATCAGATCCAGAGAGGAGGTGCTTTATATTCAACCACCAGCACCCACAATCAACCTCCGCAAGATCGTTAGAGACATCGATTTTTTCTTTTGATCTGCTGGACAGTGTGTCATTACTATGCGCAAATGAGCGAGAGCTCCAGACCATGTACGCAAGAAAGCAGACACTGATAAGCTATTGCCTTGGCGAAAACCCCAAGTTCGAAGACGGTCGCATTATTCTCGCAACCATAAGTCAACTGTTGACTGACTGCACGGAACGAGCTAATAGGCTGAGAGCTAGCCATCCAGCCGCAAAAGACCCCGATGTCACTCCATCCAGCCCCAAACAGAAAAACGCAAGCATCTACCGAGACAGCCAGCTCACCATTGTCCAGACAGCGGTTGCTCTCTGCAAATATGTCCTCAAATCTGCAACGACTGAAGATCCCGATGCAGATATTCTGGCGAAATTGCGCCAGGAAATGCCAAATTCCATCATCCGAAACCTTCAGTCACTTGTTTCACGACATGACCGCCTTACACACCCACATGAGCTGCTTACCAGTACAGCCATACTTGCAATGCTTCCCAGCAGTCTCTCGACGTGTTTACAGAAATACTTGTCGGAAGTGGAGAACAACCTCCAGCGCATTTGCAACTGGGAGAAAGACACCTCGATCAATCTGGATAAGAGCCGGCTTGCGGTCATTCTGTCAGCACTTTACGGGGAATATGCTCATGGAGTCAAGTTGCCGCATCGGATTTCCGAGTGGCTGCAGCAACTAGTCGAGTGGTACCCCCCCGATAACGAGTCGTGGGCATACGTACCCGCTCCTGGGCCGTGGGCCCCAGGAGATGAGCCTCCAGCTGAACTAATGAGCCTCCTCGCTGCTCGAGCTGCCATTTCCCCAAGGATGCCGGCCGAGTCCAACGTCAAGCGGTGGTTAAGACCAGAGAGAGTCTGTTGGGGCTGGAATGTCATGGAGGAGGAGATGGTTCGGGTTCCAGCAAGTGTCCTGGCACCCAATGATACAGAAGCAGAGTCAGGGCTGCCATCAAGCTCAATACTGATCTATTGGCGTCGCTATTAGCTAGAAAAGGGGTCTAACACGACGGTGAGTTGGGTATCAACGGCTCAATTCGAGCAAATGTGCTTCGGCATTGGAAAGGTTTGTGAGAGTATAGAAGCCTTACCCAGACCATATGAATACCAGATAAAAAGGATCACAGTATGGGTACGAACGAAGTCACCTTAGACGGCGACAAAATCTCACCGTCAATAATAGGTACGGAGTATCTCTAATATCTGTATCCGTAACATCCGTATTTCCATGTTTATGCACCTAGTGGCTCCCGTGCTCTGCAGTACTCGCACCACTCGAGATATCAGCTTGGCACCCCCTTCTGGCCAATCGCAGGAGCTCAATTCGATATTGCACGACTCGACGACATACATCGTGAGGTCAACTTATTGCCATCTCCCATCCTGCGTCTCTAGCTCTGCTCTGTTCCTTGTGACCTCCTTGCACCATCCTCCTCGACAAGAGCTCACCACTTGAGCCGTCATGATCGTACGGTCTTCAGCCGCCAGGAGCCTGGCCCATGCTGCCGCGAAGACAGCTCCCCGATCGACAACCACCTCCTCCGTCGTCGCCGCTACAAGCTCCCAGAGTCGCTCATACGCCACTGTGCAGGAAGGACAACCTCAACAACGGAGATATGGCGGACTGAAAGACCAAGACAGGATATTCCAGAATCTATACGGTCACCATGGCACAGATCTGAAGAGTGCGATGAAATATGGCGACTGGTACAAGACCAAAGAAATTGTGCTGAAAGGCCATGACTGGCTGATCAATGAGATCAAGGCTTCGGGCCTGAGAGGAAGAGGTGGTGCGGGCTTTCCGTCAGGGTTAAAGTTTGTATGTTCAACATCTTCGAAGTGGCAAGACAGTCCAAAATAGTTGTTAGTATACTGACTTCTGGATCTACCCAACACAGTCATTCATGAACTTCAAAGGCTGGGAAAACGACAAGAAGCCTCGATATCTTGTGGTCAATGCAGACGAAGGTGAGCCAGGAACATGCAAGGACCGAGAGATCATGCGCAAAGATCCGCACAAGCTGGTCGAAGGGTGCCTGGTGGTCGGCCGCGCGATGAACGCCACCGCCGCGTACATCTACATCCGTGGCGAGTTCTACCACGAAGCAACAGTTCTGCAGCGCGCAATCCAAGAAGCATACAAGGCTGGCCTGATTGGCAAGAATGCATGCGGCTCCGGTTACGATTTCGACGTGTACCTGCACCGAGGGATGGGAGCATATGTCTGTGGCGAGGAGACTTCGTTGATTGAATCATTGGAAGGCAAGGCCGGCAAACCGCGCCTGAAGCCGCCATTCCCCGCTGCCGTCGGCCTATTTGGGTGCCCGTCAACAGTCACGAACGTCGAGACCGTTGCCGTGTGCCCGACCATCGCCCGCCGTGGAGGTAAATGGTTCGCCGGCTTCGGCCGGGAGCGCAATCAAGGCACCAAACTGTTCTGTATTTCAGGTCATGTCAACAACCCATGCACGGTCGAGGAAGAAATGTCCATCCCTCTACGCGAACTGATTGAGAAGCACTGCGGCGGTGTCCGTGGTGGCTGGGACAACCTGCAAGCTGTCATTCCCGGCGGCTCCTCGACGCCGATCTTGCCGAAACACATCTGCGACGACCAGTTAATGGACTTTGACGCGCTTAAAGATTCCCAGTCGGGTCTCGGCACAGCGGCTGTCATCGTCATGGACAAATCGGCCGACGTGGTCAGGATGATTTCTCGCCTCAGCCAATTCTATAAGCACGAGAGCTGCGGTCAATGTACGCCGTGTCGCGAGGGCAGCGCCTGGACTGCCAAGATGATGGAACGCTTCGAAAAGGGCCAGGCCCGCGCCCGCGAGATCGATATGATACAGGAGCTGACCAAGCAAGTCGAGGGACACAGTATTTGCGGTAAGTCAAGTTGCCCTGTCTCTAAGCTAGTTACAGCTCGATCTTGCCACACCTATCCCCGGCTCGTAACAATCTCTGCTGGAGCGCTGTTTGCTTGATATTTTGACCGCTCATCTCCTTTGGGTTCACGAGGGTTCAATGAAAGACTGACGCTTATCCTCACAGCTCTGGGAGAAGCCTTTGCTTGGCCTATTCAAGGTCTCATCCGCCATTTCCGCCCGGAACTCGAAGCTCGTATCAAAGAGTATGCTAGTATTTCGGGAGCTGAGGCTCTGGCCGGAGGCTGGGAACCAAATTCGGCGAAAAAAGGCTTGCTTATCGCTCCGGGCCAGTAAATAAACATTGCACTTCTTACTGGAAAGAAAGCACTACCAACGACTACTTGCTGCCTGCGAGCGATTTTTTGATGAAAAAAAGGTAACAGTAACGGTGACCGTGGCGGTGGCGGTAGCGGGGACGGGGACGGGGAGATAGGGAGGTGGACAGAAATCGGGATTGCCAATGGAATGAGGTTGATATCGAGAAAGCCTTCCGGGGAAGACAAGAACACCAGTCTCAATCCACATCTCTAGGGCCGCCAGCATAACTGTTGACATTGGGAGACGTTTTCGTCAATCTGAGTAACAAACAGGGAGGGGGATGTGAGCGTGTCTCAAGCTTGGAGAGCTGGTTGCCGCAGATAACAGAAACATACATGGCAGTGGCGCATCGTCGAACCCGAGCTGGAGATCGATTCATCAGTTGTCTGGGGTCCAGGGCGTCGAGCCCGCTTTCCTCCATGTCCTTCTCTGCCTGCATGGTCCGGCTGTGGGGGGGGGGGGGGGGGGAGAGAGAGAGAGAGAGAGAGAAATACCTTTACCTATCTTTTTGTGAAGACCGTTAAATGAATAACCGTGTATATACTGCTATATATCTGAGCCATCACCATGACCATCAGTTCTCTCGCCTCAACCGTTTTCGCTGCTTCGGTGGCCGCGTAATCGACCGCAATGATGGGTTCGTGCATACCTAATGTATTCATTGACTTTGCAAAAATAGATCAGGACTATACATCGTATTAAAGTAAATGGAGGATCATCGGCCGGCTGCAACTTCCGTGTTCCATGTATTATCTCGCATTTGGTTATGCTGCAGCAACGGCAAGCTGTCGTATCCAATCGCCCGGACTCTGACCAACATCCAACTTCATCATATCCTTCTTGTTGCTGTCACCGTTTTCCTGATGTTGTTCGCCGTTGGCCCGATGTCGTCTGTCTGATGAGCCCCCGACAGTGTCTGACGTTACAACACCCACTCCTTTACTTCCGACTTTCCTTTCTCGCTTCAGACTTTCCTTTCGTAACCTGGCCCTTTCTGCTGCCAGCTCGAGCTTCTTCTTCTCCAGTTCGAAGCCTCGTTTGCGCTCCCTCAACTCCCGTTGCAGTCTCGCCCTTTTCTCCTTGCCCGTCCGTCCCACACGTTTCACCTCTGCGCCGTCCTCCACGAATTCGGTTTTGAGGACCATGAAACTTACGCCATCGTGGGGGGTTTTGTTACTTGTTGGTCCCGAGTCAGTGGTGGCCGATGGCGAAGACTCGGGTTCGTCTGGCCAGCTCCTAGATTTGATCCCGAACCGGACGCTCTCGACATATTGCTCTAACTGTGGAAGCACGAGTAATGTGATATGTAGATCCTTGGTCTCGTCCACGGGCATTGGCCTTTCAGGGGCTGTACTGCCCTCTATCCTCGGGTTTTGCTCTTCAATCACTTTCTGTAGAAGAGCCTCGTCAATCCCAGGCGGATGTACAGAAGCAATGAAACCAGAATGCATTGCCGCCGCAACCGGGTCCGAATCATCGGAGTAGATACCAGAGCCCCAGAGGTACCGTTCTTGGCAGATTAGACCTCTTTCACGCTGTCGGAGCCAGGTCCGGGGCACACGAACGGTGTATGTACAGTTGGTGTGTTCTGCTTCTGTGAATGAAGGTAAGAGATTCGGCCGTACCGCAATATCGAACTTTGGATCGACGGCTTTGTGTAGGTCAATGGGGCCGACTTCGGGGTCGTATCTGAAAAATCCTAGATGACGACGTGGGTTTCTTCGGGCGAGTGCTACAACCGAAGATATCCGGATAGTCTTTCTAGGTCTGAAGCTTGGATTATTATCCACGGCTGATGTCTGGCGCTGGAGATAGTGGTGATGATGCTGCAGTTGTGACGGATTGGATGTCGGCGTAGGAACGCGGCGGATTTGGCTCGAAGTTGCGTAAGGCCCGTTCTTCCGGGCTCCTTGTACAGCATCTTCCAAGTCCAGTTTGTAAGAATGCTGGTACTTGCTTCTCTTGCCTCGCCCCGGACCAGCTTTCTTGGCATCACCCACGTCGCTTTCAGCCCGGGTGTCCTCGTCAGGTGCTTTTCGATTTCGCTTTCCCATTCCAGAGGCACTGCGAGACATCTTCATAAGGTTTTCTTCGCTCAGCCGGCTCCCACCCTCATCTCGTTTGAAGGGACTGGCGGACAAGGGTTGAGGAGCCGGGGTTTGCGCGGCAGAGAGAGAACCCAATCCGCTGCCGATTCCAGAAAAGACTCGACCATGCTCCGTTTTGATCCCTGCATCTGGCTGGGGAGTCTGCGCTTGAGCACCTTGGACGGCTTGAGGGAGAGGCGAATACCTTCCTCGTTTTGAATCGTTCGCAAGTCCGAGAATGGCCCTGTGTTGCGACAACTCATCACTGCCTTTGCGGAATTGATCGTCCATCGTTTGTGAGGCCACAGATCCCGCGAAAGGCGAGTAGGGCCGGTTGCGTAGTCGATCGCCAAGTACTGATCGATCGCTCTGTGATTGAACCGAGTCTTGTCGCATCATATTCTGGGCGCTAAAGGCAGAGTCTGGTGGTTGATTCAAGATTCCTGCGAGACCTCGGTTCTCGTTCGCATGCGGCTGCGAACGCCGCATATCTGGGGACTGAGATTGTGGAAGTGATCGATCTAATAGGCTGGGACCCGGTTGTTGCACGGGGGCGGTATGTGAAAAACGAGATAGGGTTGGCTGACCGGGAGGACGTGTATCGTAGGATCCAACCAGGCCATTTGGTCGGGAATGGTCAGGGCCATTCAGAGGTGGCTGAGCCGGTCTCTCGGCGTGCCCTAGAGATGGCGGAATGCTTTCTGGACGGATCGGTGGGTTAGATGCCGGTGGGAATGTCGCGGTCACCGTGGTTGGTTGGGGTTGACTCTCTGGTCTTTGCTGTAGATTCTGCAGGATACCACTGATGCTTGTGCGACGAGCGCGATCCTCGAAGTCATCCTTTGGCATCGCCGTTGGGCCGAATGGAGGAGTATATCTTGGTTCAGGGTAAGCGCCGGAGCCCGATCTTGGTGGAGGCTCGTAGAAGGAACCTGGACGGTGTGTCATGGTGCCTGAGCTCGAACGGTGTGGTCTTGGGCCTGAAATTGACCCTGCACTCCGATCGGGAGTCTTTGATCTCGTTTTGTATGAGTATTCGCCGAGTGTCGGGTTTGAAGGATATTGAGGAGGCGACATGAGTGCTCCGAGGGACATATTAGATGGGCCTGAAATTGAGGGTTGCCGAGAGGATGTGCGGGAGGGTTGACGCTGCGGTGGGTATTGCTCGTGCGCGGCTCTTTCAGGTTCTGTGCCCAGCATGGACGATATCGACATGCTACTCCCCGGTCTCTTGTGGTGAGGAGGAGGCGGCGCAACTCCATTTGTCGCGACTACCGGAGAAGGGGTGGGGAGAGAAGGTTGTGAGAATCGTGGAGGAGGAAAGTGTTGTGGAGATGGCGGTAACATTGGTCGTGAGGGAGCACCATACATTGTAGGAGGAGCCTGGGATTCGGAGTAGGCTACAGATGATTGTTAGAGGACTCGAAGAGCGTGATTCGTTTGCAGAAGGGGGGAAGGAACGAGGTCTGTGGAGTGAAGGTGCACATCTTTCTTGTTTTTCCATGCACGTTTCTGTAACGAGGGTGAATCAGACAGCGAGGGATAGCCTACCATTATATGAACGCGGAGGACTCGACGGACCGTTGTAAAGGGGAGAATGGCCGGGCATCGCCATCGAGACAGATGTTATTAGGTCTGGTCGAAGCTCGACCGAGAGAGAGAAGGGATGGAGAACTGCGGGATGATGATCACCAGGCACCTAGGAGAGGGTGGTGCTGGTGCTGCAGCGAAGAATGATGCGGAGGCTGCTGCGCAGGATCGGGCGAAGATGTGGATACTCTAGCGGGCAGCTGTTTCGAGAAAAGACCGGAGATCAGCATGGACATGGATGCCTGATTCAAGGCAGGATGCCAGATGGTACGGGGACGGCAGCCGCGGGCGTGCCTTACACAGCAGGACAGGTGGTGGAGATGGGACGTGGTGGTGGTGTTGTGGTTGCGAAATGCGAGGGAAGATGAGAACCTGGAGGGAAGGGGCGTGCGCATCAAGGGAAGAGAGAGGCGCATGGCATGGTAGATGTGCGAAGATTGTGTTTTTGGGGGGGGAAATGCCAGATGTGGATGTGGATGCGGGTGTGGATACTACGTCAGGTCGTCCCAGGATGCAGCAGGTGGAAGGCGAGGTGGAAGGCGGAAGGCGGGTGTTGGACGAGGTCCAGCTGTCCGCGGGGAGGCTAAGGCTAAGGCGCGCAGCAGCAGCAGGAACAGACCGAAGCTTTACGGAGTCACACTGTCACGCTGTAGCCACAGCCCGCAGAACTGACCTACAGCCTACAGGGCCACAGAGCAGCCGACAAGGGGGGTTGCAGGGGATCCCTTAGGCCCTTAGGCTAACGAGGCGCTACCAGTCCCATAGTGTGGCGTCAGGGCAGGCATTACGAGGACAGAAGTCAGGGTTAAGGGTATTCGACCGCCTAATTGACGCGCCCGCGCCCACGCCCACGCCCACGCCAACACTCGCACAAACCAAACACACTTAGAAGTTAGATGTTCCTAGGCGGCTAATAGGCTAACGACTAAGGGCTAAAGAGGCCTAGGAGAGGCTGGACCCAGGCATCCGAGAGCCACCCGTTTCACCCCAGGGCAGCCTAATCTGACGTTTCGTGGCGTTGTATCCGCAGAGCAAGAGCAAGAACGGTGTCCCTATCGGCTCCAAGGCCTTCGTCGAGAGGTGAACAGTCTGTCTTGGCTTGGGCGAGATTCTGCCCAGCTGACCTCCCTCGAGCTGCGTTGTCTTCTCACTGCTGCTGTTCCTGATGGACGACATGACTCGAACAGCACACCAATGTACGCTGACAAACAAGGGGCTGTGGGACCGTGCGTGAAGATAGGCCGAACGAAAATCCCCGAGGAACATATGCCACTCCCCATTCGCACGGTACAGAGATTTCGTCCTCGCCCGACAGTCTCACAAAGTATGAAGGCTCATTTTAGCGAGATAACAAACACTGTCACATACATCGTCTTTGTGTCCTCGTAGTCGTCGATCTGCTAGCTACCTCCTCTTTCCGCGTTCCCTTTCCTGCTCTAGAACCATGAGTATGGTCGGTATACCTATCGGTGAGGCAATTGAACATGAGGTGCGCCTGGCACCTAACGGTGTCGGTACGGACCGGCGAGGATGCTTCGTGCGTTGAGGGTGATCCCCTTGCGAATCCATGACTTGCTTCCTATTGTCGAGAAATATTGCTCATCCCTTACTGAATGGTCTCGAATCTTGTGGTAGGTACTCGGTCATCGTGCATGTATGTACGTATTCCTGTTCTCCCCAGGTGGCAGATGCACGGGCTGCAGCACTGGGCTCCATTATTGCTTAGGGTTGCTCGGCTCGATGCGGGCGATCTGCAGGTCACTTGTGGCTAAGGCAGAGGATAGGTACGGATCTAGGGGGCCAAGAGGCGTCCTCAGCACATGACAGATTGCCAAAAGGTCCTCTTGGGACCTTAGGACGAAAGAGAGGGTTGGAATATCCCACCTGAAACAGGATACTGAACAGAGACTCTTGGGCAGACAGTGCGTGAAATGCTGAAATGCGCAGGAAAGAAACAAGAAATCCAAGTCCGCGTGTAGGTGCATGTTTTTTTTCTTACAAGGATCTGATGCAGGCTGCCCTAACCAGCGACGGCCGGCCGCTTACAGTGCCACAACCGAGACTGACTTAATCACATACTATTACTATTAAGGTAGCATGTACGGATACGGAGGACTAGGAGTATTACATACTCCGTATGCGTACACATATGTTGCATGGCCTTAGCAACCAGGAACTCGACACATCTATGAAGAAAAGTCGGTATATGTGCCCCTTGGGACCTAAGTCGTATGGGTGGCCATGTTCGATTCCACCACCTCTACATCCTTGCTCAACATACGGATACTCCACAACGAATCAAAGATCTCTGGTCCTTATATTTCAGTCGGAGTCTGTACTCGTATGCGCCTGAGTTCCAGCTTATCTTCTTGATGATGTGCTCATCTCCACCGCCACTAACAGCAGCCATAATCCGGGCGGATGCACAAGTGACAGAATGACATCTGTCACTGGTCGTCCAGACTGCTACCGTAAAGATACCCCTTAAAAGTCAACACAGTCTCGGACGCTCCACTGGCCATTCTCTGCCTATCTGTGCCGCAACCCTGGAACCTGGTGACTTCTAATGCCTCAACTGGACTGATATATGCCATGTGTCAGTTTTTAAAGCCAGAGAGCCTCCGGTCGTACAGTGATACGCTGTCGAACTGACAGTGCCACTCAGGTCTACGGAAGTTCTGCACTGAAGGGGTGGTTAAGGTCAATGGAGCTATCTTCTGCTGTACAATCAGTAATTGTGAGTACCTAGGTATCCGACATCGTGGCTGCTACCGGTGCCAAAAACCAAGGAATCTAGTTTGCATGCCTCGTTCACTATGACAGTCAATACTCCGGCTCGAAAAAAAAGGGCTTGGGCTAGTATCAGAACTTCTTGCAATAGTCCCTCCCATGCCGAACCTGCCAGTTGCACAGCCACACCTCAAATCCCATGCTTATGAATCCGGCGATGCAGATTCCTCCAGAGTCGCTCACGGTGGTTGCCGACAACGAAAACTCTCGATCTTCCTGAGCAACAGTGTCGCTGATCTCGGCAAAGGTGTTGACATAAACGAGTCCACCTAACAGACCCTCCCAGAATATCACAGCGAAAACAATGTACACGCTCGGAATGAAGTCAAAGATTGCATGCAACGTCAAGAGGGCCAAGTTGGCTATCTGCAAGACTGACGGTAGATAAAGGTTGTGCACTCGTAAGAATGGCGTTGAAGATCGAGAAATGAATACACCCGCCTGGTAGATTGCATTATAAGTCGGATAAAACGCACGAAAGTGCTTGAAGGGTGTGTCTCGAAGAGGAAACAAAAGTGTCGGCGACACGCCCTGATTGATGGTATATTCGGCCACGTACACCAGGAGGAGAGGTAGCATGAAAGGGAAGAAGAGACCTTTGGCCCGCACAAGGTTATGGGTGAATCTCGCCGAAGCAGAAGATGAATTCTGATGCGAGACAAAGGTAGGTCTCGCGGGCCTTTCGGAGGAGAGAAGCCCTTCTTGTTGCTCATGGTCGGTTTCCTCATCCTCATCGTCCCCAGTCAGGTCCGGGACGCCGTGGTGTAGCTTGGAGTGCAATCGAAGGGGCCGTAGCGGAAGAATGAGGAAGAAACTCACCAGCATGATCGCTGGCAAGCAGGCCGAGGCCAGGATGGTGGTTTTGACGCTGAGGCCGAGAGATGTCGTTGCCACTGCATATGCGCCGGCCCCTATCAGTCCTGCACCCCCAGTTCCGCTCCCCCAAGCAGCGAGACTGAAAGGTCCATAGTAGTGGACTAAGCCAACAAAGGTCAGCTCCCCGCCGCCGCTACTCAAGGATGCCAATATGACGCCCGTCATCTTGGTTGCGATCGTCCCGCCATCCGTATAGCTAGGTGTGAGGGCTATCAAGATCATGCCGGCAGCAGATAAGCCCACAAATATGAAGACCCGGACAGGATACGGCACTGCATGGATGAAGTAGGGAGCGCACAGTTTGGTCAGGAGAGAAGGGATGACATCGGCGAGAAGGACGACTCCTTTGGGGACAGTGGGACCAACAAGGTCGAGCGCGGCGGAGAGGATGATAACGTAGAGGACATTGTTGATCAAGCCTGCATTGATTTAGTGGCTGTCGACATGAAAGCAAGGACGGCGAGCCGCAGAGATACACGGATTCACACACTCACCGAAGATCCAGAAGGCGAAGCACACTCTGGGGTCGGCGCCACTAAAGGTATGCTTCAGACGTTCCCGAAAGATGGCCCAAGAGGATGAAGGCGAGCCCGGAAGAGGTAAAGCCATCGCATGGAGTTTGTGGGATACTTTACCTAAGTACCCTGCTCAGAAGGTAGTTCTTCGACATGGCCAACTAGACACCAGCCGATTCGAAGAAACGCAGGTTGAGACGATCTAGTACTATCAGTACCATGTGTACGAGAGCTGTTCGAGGGCGCGGCGTGGACACGGGTGACGGGTGACGGCTTCGTCGCAGATGACATGTTCTGCCAGTCTCATCCTGTTTAGGCAAGAGGATGGCGCCGCCCTATACTCACCACCGGAGATACTACCTACTACCGTCAACAACAAATTCTTGTAAAAACCCTTGCGATGCCAAACCTCTTCTACTCTCCTGAGATATCAACTTAGGAGGGTCAAGTGTATCTACTAACATTACAGCTCAACTCCTCTCACTTATCCCAATCAGATCACTAACGCTGAATAGCCAGACACGATACGACCAACGCCTCTCAATGGAACTGCCAACCGCTGGCAATGCTGTAGCAGGTGCAAGGATCCCTACAGAAGATAGATCAGTTGTTCCGGGCGAACGCCACATGATAAGCATTCCCTACTACCACCGTCCCATTGGTGAATTCAAGGCGCGCGTCCTGTGAGTAGTCACACGTCCGCCGATTCCCCATCCTACAAACCATCAACCCACTCCAATGCAACGGAAGGCTCGAGTCTCTTGGTCCAATCCGGATTGACAAACGACTGCCTGACCACCCCGTCCTTGCCCACCAAAAAGCTTGCCGGCAATGGAACCTCCAGCGAAGCATCCCCATTACGGGCCTTGAAATCATGTCCAAATGTCTCAAAGACCGGACGCAGGTACTCAGGCTGAGCAAACAAGATCCCAAGCTGTTTTGCCAACTTGTTCTGAACGTCTGAGAGAACCTGGAATTTGAGGTTGTTCTTTTCGCTGGTCGATAGAGACTGGCTGGGCAGTTCGGGAGAGATGGCGATGAGTGTCACGCCTTTAGCTCGCAACTCTTCGATGTGCTTTTGCAAGGCGGCGAGAGCCAGGTTACAGAAGGGACACCATTCACCGCGGTAGAAAGTTATGAGGAGTGGTCCATTGGACAGAAGCTCAGCGAGTGTGACTTCTTTTCCGACTGCGTTGGAGAGCTTGAAGGAGGGTAAGGTGTCGCCAACTTGGATTGCCTTGGAGGGGTCGTAGGTCCTTTGGAACTCTTGGTTGGCCTTGATGATGGGTGCTTTCATATGGGCAGGTGCATTTGCTTCGAACCCCGACTGGACCGCGTTAAGTTGTGCAGCAAGAGACATGGTGTATGACTTGTAACGGTGATTGTGTTGGCTTGAAGGGGTTGTGGCTGGTTAGAAGTGAGTTGGGGTCTGGACTGGAAGTAGTTGGACCTGAACTTGTGCCACGGCCCTGGATGGAGGATTCTACGCAGTTTATATGCTGCCTCATCTTTGTCTGCGTCGAGTCCAAACAGTAATCTTGCATCTGGTAGGTGCCTCGTATGCCAATGAGAGTCGATGCTGACCACCGACCATGTCATCATTCGTGCGAATTCGTACGAACTAGGCCGACCGAGAAAGCGTTGTCCCAGCTGCCCTTATTAATTAGAAGGACGATTGATTCTTCTTTTGGCGTGTGCCCTCTTGTCCACATTATTGGTCTGATAAGATACTAGTAGAGTGTTTGGACGCCGAGGCGTTGATGCTACCTAGTACTAAGTGACCAAAGTACCGAGTATGGAGCACGGAGTTCTTGCGAGAGCCGTGTTTGGGGGCCAAGGCTGACACAAGATATCTCTCACGTATCTTGTCTTGTGTCTCCAGTTCGAGGACTTCACATCACCACTTAATTCGACCAAGGTAACTGTCAATCCATCCTTAATATACACAAATACCCAGCACCCAGTATGTCTGGAACCCCACCAGCGCCATTCAAACGGATGCGACTTGGCACCAAAAGCTGTGCAGAATGTCGGAGGCGGAAAGTACGCTGTGTATACACGGGAAACAACTCTGCATGTCGAGAATGCATTGCTCACGAGGCCATCTGTACAATGCAACAACCGAAACGCAACGCTGCGCCACCGAATGGCGACCATAATACAGGAAGACTGCAGCAAAGACTGGATGAGTTGGAAGGCATGATGCGCCGAGTTTGCGAGGCCATTACTCCCAACTCGGAGTCTCTCTGCCTGTCGCAGTTAGAGACACAGGCCATCACACGTCTTCGATCCGAGTCGAACTCTCAGCATAAAGAGTACGAAAGTCCTTTGCGGGCCTGGAGTCAGCCAGAGACCGTGAACTGGAGCTCCACTGGACATGTCAGTACGCCTCCCGCAGACGTGAACGTGGTTGAAGAGGATGCGCCGTTGCTCCGGCTTTTCAAACAAGCCATGACAGTGCAATGGGATAGGCTACCAGCAGGAAGGGAGAGGCCTGCGTTGACTGCAGATACACGTGTGAGGGAATGTGTAGCCGCTCTGCAATGTTTGATACCGACTCACAACGACCTGACATTGATCCTTACGTTGACTGAGCATTTGTGGCCTATCTGGCCTTGGCTACCGACTTTCACCGCCCAGGGGGTCTCTCCCTCCCAGCAGCTTCGCCCTGTTGCCATGGCCAGAGAGTTCATCTTTGAATCTCTGGGCTCGAACAAGCCAGCTGTGGCAGCAAAGACCGTTCTGTGGCTTGCTCTCTGTATCCAGCAGCTTCCACGGGAATTCGAGCAACGGTGGTCGAAGCTTCCCACCTCGCCACGACATCTAATCACCTCATATCTCACTGGAGCGGAAACCCTTCTTGCTATGGACGAGGAATTGGGAGGGACCATTGAGGGCCTGGAAGCCATCAGTCTGAAAGCTAAATTATACGTCAATATGGGAAAGCCTCGTAAGGCGTGGACAACTGGCCGTCGTGGGCTAGATCAGGCTTTGCTGCTCGGACTGCACCATTTTGAAGACAGCACAATCTCGGATCAGAGAAAGAAAAAGATCTGGTCGTTTCTCTGGCACCTTGACAGGCAGTTGTCGCTCATCTTGGGCTTTCCCTATGCCATATCGGAATCACATCCCAGTCTGTCCATCGAGCATACGAATGGTTCGACGATGGCATCAGTTGCTCACAAGCTCAGTATGGTCGCCGGACATATTGCTGAGCGGAACCACAACCATCGCAAGGTGGATTACTTGGCCACGCTCAAGATCGCCCAGGAGCTCGACGAATGTAGGAGAGAAATGCCTCAGCAGTGGTGGGAGACTCCCGATCCCAACATGCCCCTTGAAACGGTCTACTACCCCCAAACCCTCAAACTCGCCTACTTCCAGCTCCAGAAAATGCTCCATCTTCCGTACATGCTCCAACCGACCGCGGAACGCAGCTTCATCGACAGCCGCACCCCGGCGCTCGAAGCATCACGAGAGATGGTCAAGGCGTACCGCATGCTCCGCAACTATACCAGTCCTATGATCATCATGTGCGATCTCATGGACTTCCAAGTCTTCTCCGCCGTCCTCGTCATCATTCTCAATCTGCTCTCCCAGGGCCAACCGCCCTCGAACAATCCTCAAGACCAAACTCGCGATTGGGAGCTTGTCTTGTACGCAACCACCGCCCTGAAACACGTCTCCGAGGTCATGGAGTGTGCCGTCGCGAGACAGGCTTCCCAGCTACTGCAGCATCTCCTCCAAGCCCACAATGATTCGTATACCGGTTCGCACACATACGAAGCCACCATCCCATATTTCGGCAAGGTGCGCATCAGTCGACCATGCGACCCTGCCGTGTCGACACGAGTGACAGCTGGGTCGTCGTCGTTGTCAACAGGCACGTCGTCCCAACCTGCCCAAACCACGCCTTCTGTGCCTAGTCTGTCCTATACTTCCCCACCTGAGGTGCAGTTCTGTATAGATCCTTTTGTGCCGTTTAGCAGTCCGGCTCATCCCGGGATTGATGTCTTTTCGGACGCGGAGCTCAATGTTGACTGGACTGCGGTTTTTGATGACAATATCGATTATGAGTTCAACCAGGTGTTCGACATGATAGAACCATATGGGATTTAGTATCAGTTGCTAGATAAAGCGGCTTGCCTGCGAACTGTGGAAGTGGGAGTTGTTGATCGGAATGGGGGGATTGGACTAGGTACCCTGCAACTGCATGATGGTACAGGCTGATATCTTGGTTTTGCACCAGTCTCACAGTATTTTCTCCATAGATACTTATACTGTAGAATTTATATGCCGAGCAGGACGTAGTCTTGTCATGGTCGCCTCCGAGGGCTGCTCACAACGGCGACGTGGCTACAACAATCCAATATCTGCATTCCTCATCGATGGCACCCGTGGGCCCGGCAAGGTGTGTAAACTTGTCGACGAAAAGGGCCTTTGCTTTCTCACGCATCGGCTCTCGGCCAAAGTTCTTGAACATGGACTTCCCGACGGCCTGGTCGAAAAGGTCGGGTGCCGCGGCACGGTCGTAGTGTGTGGTGGCATACGTGCCAGTCTCGAAGACTGTTTGGACCGTCAGACCTGCGTCGACCATCAACTGTTCCAACGCGGCCTGCGACTGCCATCGATGCGCGTGCCACGGCACTGTCTCGCCCACTCCCGGCGCAATGGCGGCAAAGATGTTCATGACTAGATTGGCATCCTTGGTCTGGACATCCGTCACCACGCGGCCACCGGGACGCAGCAATGTCGACCAATTTCGAACGGCCTGGAGGGGATCGTCAAGGAGGATAAGAGCCGCTGCGCACGTTATCACGTCAAACCCGATCGAGCCTTTGGGCAAAATCTCCAGCCCGCTCAGATCGGAGATGTCGTGATTGGTGAACAACACTTCAACCCCGGCCGCTTCGGCCTTGCGCCGCGCCACATTCAGCATGCCCTCGCTGATGTCGACGCCTACGACGTAGCCTGATGGCCCGACCACGTCCTTGGCTCCTAGAGCCACGAGGCCGGTTCCGCACGCCAGGTCCAGCACGCTTTCTCCTTCCTTCACTTGGGCCCAGTCGAGGTAGTCCCGAGCTTGGCGGACATGGACCTTGTTTTCGTCGTACTGCTCACTCCGCTCATCGTACATGGATCGCACCGAGTCAAGCTGTGGTTGAGACATGGCGGCCGGTACAGCACTGCGCTGCAGCTACACGTGGACGTGGACGTGGACGTGGACTTGGTGGTGATGGGTCAAGACAAGACTAGGTGCCTGCGGTCAACTAGTAATGGACGATTCCAAGTTGACATATATCCAGCCGTGTGGAGTCTCACGGATCGAGCAAGAGATGCACATAAAAGAGTAAATTGTTGTAGAACGATAGACTCGTAAGGAGTCATATCCGTGTGTCCGTACTCCGAGCACTATTACGGAGTAAGTTTGGTCAACTTTGAAGGCCGATATGCCCACCACCTACCCACCGATCGCCGATCCTCAGCGCAACCATATGCTAGTCACGTGGTGTGGTTGCTGTTGGCTCAAACTCGTGGCATGGAGGACTGGCGCGGCATCCTTCCGAGACTCGGACCGAGACGCCGACGACGACAGTACGAAGGTATCAGGGATACCTCAGCTAGGTGCTCAGTAGTGTTGAGTCTGTTGACTCTTTGAACTGGCTTGATAAGAATCTCCTGGCCTGGAGCCTTGGCCAGCCTTGCCCGCGACAAGGCTGACGTACTCGGCAAAGTTTCCGTGATGGGCACTTGACGTTAATATTACATCACCTCTGATCTTGGTCTGCGGTCTCACTGTCTGGTGCCGGACGCATAGAGAATGTGACTCAGGCCTCTCGACGAGCAGACGGTGCAAGCTGCCTCAGTGAAACAACGACAGAAACACCGCCTAGCTCCTTGGGCTCGTCTCTACTCTACTGCGGTGTCGGCGACTGAAAGCATGAGGCCGCCTCAATCCCTCCATCATCCACCATGTTGAAGGCCGCTGTCCCGCGGTGCCCTCCGCTCCTCCAACGTCGCTGGCAAACACATCACTCGCACCAACCTTTCCCTCCAGACATCCACCAGTGGTCACATCCGCCCTCGAAAGCTACTGTCTCAGACGACGAAATCTCGCGACTCGCAGCAAAGCCTCGACGACCTCTGACGCTCGCAGACCTGGTCAAGTATGTGCTGGGCGCCGGGGACAGCGAATTCGTGATCTTCACTGACCCGTAGCAGACATGGCAAGCCTCCCTTACGCGATGCCGATCTCCTATCCTCTGCCAATTTCACTGTATCACTCCTACCGGCCCGACTCGCCCATCGAATCCAAGCCCTTCGAAACCTGCCCTTCATCGTGGTGGCCAACCCCAATGTCTCCACGATATACAACAACTATCTCCACTCCCTGTCCACCTTGGAACCGTTTTACAAGAAACCAATTGAGACGATAGAGGAGGAGATGAAGTTCACAGAGGCAATGGCGGACCTGGTACGGACTCATTCCAACACCATCCCTACTATGGCAAAAGGGTTCCTTCAATGTCGCAAGTATATCGACCCTGCCGAGGTCACCAAATTCTTGGATCAACACCTCCGTGCCAGGATAGGAACCCGGTTGGTCGCGGAGCAACATCTGGCGCTTCACATGGCTTCTACGGGCGAGGCGGCCAAGCAAAAGCCGGATCCTAATCACGTCGGCGTCATCGACCTTGGCTTACGGCCTGCCGATGTCATTCGACAATGTGAAGGGTTTGTAGGGGAGGTGTGTGAACTCAAGTACGGCGTGAGGCCTAGTCTCGTCATCGACGGTGACACAGATGCCGAATTCGCTCATATTCCGATGCATCTCGAATATATCATCACGGAACTGTTGAAAAATGCATTCCGAGCCACCATCGAGTCGGGCAATGAGCGAGAGCCCATTGAAGTCACCATCGCCTCGGCACCTGACGTGTCAACCACAAAACTGCAAGCCTTGAGAAAGTTGTCCGTCAGTGAGGAAAATGCGTACGATTTCTCGCAAGATGGCCTAGAAGAGTATTGTTCTTCGTCAGATGCAGACATCGGACCACTCAACTCGGCGGCACCCTGTATCACGTTAAGAATCCGTGACCGAGGCGGAGGCATCCCACCCGAAGCACTTGCCAATATTTGGTCGTATAGCTTCACGACATTCAATAACGAACAGGCTGCGGCCGCCGGAGGCGACAATGGCACAGATGCAGGACTGAATACTATTGCAAGTAGTGGATCGGACCAAAGCTCCATCGCTGGACTGGGGTACGGATTGCCGCTCAGCCGGGCCTACGCCGAGTATTTCGGGGGTGGAATAGCCCTGCAGTCCATGTACGGCTGGGGCACGGACGTCTACCTTACTTTGCAGGGCATTGGAAAGATGGAGGAAGCCAAACGAGCTCCCAGTGGGTATGAGATACTGCAGGGGGAGATGGCCAAGAAAGAGTAGAAGATGAAAGACGCACCCAAAGAATAAGGATCGTTCTGCCTGCGCCCAGCGGCCTAGGTGTCTCAGAGCATGTCTGTTCCCCTACTATTCGCCATGCCGAGCATGAGCACTTCTGTTGCCCATTGACGTTCAACGAACACAACGGATCAGTACGGGGTACAGTAGCACCCTCAAAGGCTACATCAAGGGGAAGGCCGACAACCAGCATGGTAGTGCGAGTAAGAGAGCCATGAAGCGCAATTCAAGGCCATACAAGGGAATGCCAAAAACACAAGCCAATATGATGGGTTTGGCCAGTTGGTTTGCGAACATACACAAACTAGACTGGGCAAAGTGAAGACGAGGCAAAACGTGATCATCTTCATCAAAAGCTTTCAAGGTCAGATCGAGATCTAGACCAGGAATGTTGAGATTGGTATTGTTGGGTCGGAGAACGTGCACATACATACCATGCCGTCCGTTACATCGGACCGTGGCCAGACGGGCCCGAAATGACTTGGGTCATTGCAACGAGGAGACGAGATGTAAACTGTCGAGCCGAAACTGAAGCATAAAGAAGATTGAAATCATACCAAGCTCACTATCTAACTATCACTTTTTCAGTGTCTCTAGAATGTTAAGCATATCGTGTCCATTCTTTCAGAGCTCGCATCAATCACAATGTACGGAGTATGGAGGATGATGAAAGTGAAAGCCGGATTGGGATCTAAGGCGGCATGACGCCAGAGACGGCGACGCCGGCGTAGCCATGAAAGGTATCCAGGTTCTCCTGCAAGATGAGCGGAATCTCATCCTGGGTCAGAGAGTCAAAGAGAGACTTTTCCCTGGGCTCCCAGCCCAAGGAGCGCAACCTGGTAGCGCGACTCCTGGAGTTGGAGCCGACAACCCAGGGGGTAAAGTGGCCGAACAGATCGTCGTAGTTCTGGACCGGGATGGGTGTCGGGACGGGCGACGGGATGCGGCCTGCGTTGTGCAGCTCCTTGCCAATGACGGCGGCGGCGTCGGCCCAGGAGAAGTCGTGACCAGACTCGCAGAAGAAGTAGGGGTTTGCTCGCAGGTCGTCGGCAGCGTCGGAGTCGTCGCGCTCCAGCCAGTGCAGCAGCACGACGTAGGCTCTGGCCAGGTCGAAGACGTGGATGTCACTCCACACGGAGGCGCCCTTGCCGACGTGGCCGGCGTAGCCGTGTTTGAGGGCGAAGCGCGTCAAGGTCGGCAGCTGGATGGACAGGCGGCCGTACTTGGGGTTGAGGCCGTAGATGAGCGGCGGGATGACGATGGCGAGTTTCGCACGAGCACCGGCGCTGGCGAGCCGGTCCCGGGCGCGCACGATGGCCAGGTCGATCTCGCGGTGCGCCGCCGTGTCCGGCAGGGCGTCGATGTCTTGGGGCCGGGCGTCGTCGAAGATCCGGTCGCCGCGGTACTCGCCGCGCGAGTCGTCGCTGAGCAGGCTGGTGCCGCTGGTGTGGATGAAGATGGTCTGCTTGCCGAGCCGGGCGCGCGCTTCCACCCCGGCTATCACCGCCTCCACCGACGCCAGGTGGTCGGCCGTCGCCGTGTGGATGACCACGTCGTGCACCACCGTCTGCGCCTGGATCGTCGAGCTGTCGTCCAGGCTTGCCACCACCGTCTGCACCTGCGCCCCGGCCGCCGCCGCGCTCTCTCGGATCTCCGCCGCGTATGACTCCCGCCGCACAAGCGTCGTCACCGAGTACTGCTCCGCGAGGAGGAGGTCGAGGATCTCGCGTCCGACCAGGCCTGGTCCGATGAGAAACACCGACTTGGACTTGCTAGATGTGGACATGGTGGCTGGGGGAAAGTAAGGTCAAGGCCGGTGTTGGTATTGGTGTCAGTAACCTGGATTACTATTATACTGCCGTAGGATGTAGGATAGGATATAGGATATGATATGAGATCTTAACGGGCATTGAGCATCTATTTATGCGATAGCAGATACATAGATATGCTCTCCTCTGATATATAATAGATGACCCTGTAGTACTGTACTCCGTAGATCCTGCAGTCAGTTAATTCAGGTATTTATAATGAAACCCCACTTTTCATTCGTTCATTCATCGAGATGCACTTACTCCGTACTGTATGTAGTCGAGGCAACAGGCAACAGCAGGCTGTCAGGCTGTCGTCGTGGTCGGTGCACAACCGCGCATAACTTAGTCAGCTTACAGAGCATTCTCTATCCACGCCATGTCCATGTTGCTTGAGGTTGAGGTTGAGGTCGGCTGTCGGAACAGTCCTGATAAGGAAATCGGGCCGTAGAACACTGATCAGGAAATCGGGCCGTAACATGAATAACGAACCCAATGAATAAACCATGAGAAGAGAAGAAGCTCAGGTATGCAGCCTGCTCCGTACACGTATACTGTACTCTGTACACTGTACACTGTACATATAGACTGGTATCATCCGCAAAAGTGGCCAGGCGACCAGAATGGAATAGACACTGCACGACATCAACCTCCTAGAGGCTGTTAATGATGATGTTAGCTCTGGTGGTTAAATGTCCATTTCGACAGCATCACGTGAAAGAGCTGACAACGCTCTCGACAGAGCAACGCAGGCGAGAGAGAAGAGGATCAGAAGAGAAGAGGTTGAGAGAGAAGAGGTTAAGGGAGAAGAGGTAGGTAGAAAAGGTCCTATGCAACATATGAACAGCCAATCGATAAGGCGTATTCTTATCGTCCAATCAAAATCGCCTTTCTTGACGAGATTTGCAGCTATATACAGGTAGGTACCTTACAGCATCACAGCCTGTGTAGTCGCTGTTCTGGTACGCATCAAACCGCCAGCAAACACAACACTTGCGAGGTTGAAAAGATTCATGCTCAATCATAAACTAGGCCCCCTTACTGGCCAATAGCTCAACCGGCCTCGCCTGGCTAGCACCACTATTGCCTGTCACATTTGCGCCGGAGTCGTCCAGCTCATCATCCCTTGTGTACACCGCCACCATACATGGCTGTGAATAGATCCCATCCACAGCCTCAGTGTCAACCGCTCTTCCTCAGCTGTCTTTGGTATCGCGTTTGCGCCCGCTCGCCTCCCGCCACCTTGGCTTCGCCCCCCTTTCCTTTGGCTATGATATCGGTGAGCTTCTCCAATGAACCTGCTCCAACAGGTACTGGTATGCTTGTCGTTCTTTTCGGCCCCGGTGTGCCGTTGACGCTACCCACGTTCAGCTTTCTCAACTTTCGCACCTTTCTGGCCGGCTTATCCTCTGCTTGGGCCGGCTCTGAGGGTTTTGGTGGTTCCTGCTGATTCTGATCGGCCTCTTTATCGCTGCTTTGTTCCAGCTTGTCCGCTTCGTCGTCAAGGGCCTCCCCGTCCCGGTCATTGTGGAATATACTTCCATCTTCGAATCGAGCGAGCGTGTCGTCCCATTTGACCTGTTTCGACACTGGCTTATTCCTGCTGACTTCTTGAGTTCCAGTATTAGGATCTGACTCTCTGGCTTTCTCCTCGGCATGCAACTGGATCAGTTTCACTTTTACCGATACCGAATCGCCCTTGTTGCGTTTGGTATTTGTTCGGGTGGTGACGGCTAGCGGTTGGGCTTCGCGTTGTGTAGCAATGAATTCGGTCCCGTTCAGGCGCTTGAGTGAAATATTGCTCGGTAGTGTTGCGGCCGGCTTCTTAGGTCGCGCAGCTTTCCCATTGAGCCGGGAGCTACGTCGGCAAGGAGAGGAAAGGTTGACATCCGCCTCCTGATCCGGCTCGACTGTTCCAATGTCAGTGTGGGAGTAGCTGGGGGTCGTTGATAAGTCGTTGCGGTCCCCCACAGGAGAAGTGGTAGATGCCTCCAGACCTCCACCCCCTGAGCCCTCCACACAAGTAGGCGTGGGTTCTTCCGATGCATGACTGGCCATTTCTATCGGACCATCGCATGACTGTGCATCTTGACGAGGATTGTCGTGTTTCGCAGCTTTCCTTGCTTGGCTTCGAGACAAAAAGTTCTGTAGAAAGGGAAAATCGTCGTGGTCTATTGGGAAGTTGATCACTTCCGCGGGGTGTGGCTCAGTCCTTGCCCCATCCAACTGTATTTGAACTTCCCCTTCTTCCTCGGAATTGAATGGCTGGGGCCTGGAAGTCAATGAATCTGATTCAGTTGAACCTGTGGCTGGAAGAAAAGATGGATTTGGAGAGCGCGCTCCCACAAGGCCTGCTAACAACAGAGGGGTTGGAGAGGGATTTCCCCCAGCTGGAGAACAACTTGCACTGTGTAAGGCAATTGGAAAGGGCACTACGTTGTTTTGAACAACTGCCACAGTGGTAGAGATGTTCTCGGCGCCCTTGGTGATGCTCGGATCTGGGTCGTTGATCTTATGCATGACGTGGCCATCCTTGTCGCTGTCACTGTTGCTGTCGCTGTTAGCCTGAGTGAGTGCCTTGCCAGGTGCATCTGGAGTCGTTTCTGCGTCTGCCGTTCCATCGTATCCAAAGGCCTTGCGTTTGGGGCTGGCTGCCATTATGCTATCCTCATCCCACTTGGAAGCGACATAAGTGATATTCTCTTTGTCGTCCGCATCCTCTCCCTCTCCGGTGATCTGGCCAACTCTCAATCTCTTCACAGATCTCCTGCCCACTGTCTGATGCCCCTTTCTCCACCTAAGGCCATCGCTCAGATCAATCGGTCCAAGTGGAATACGCTTCCATATCTTCTGTGCGTCATTTCGCGGTATGTGCGGTGTTGCAGGACGTCGTTCCCAAGCACGAGGTAAGGGTCGGACAGGTTGAGGAGTAAACGTGTAGCGTCGTGGTGATGGCGACAACCTAGGGCTTGTCCCTCGTCCATTTGGTGTGCACGAGATATTTCCCGTGCCCGGCGACTGTGTGCCGACAAGAGTGAAAGGTAGAGTGGAAGGCAGAGAGCCCGTCGACTGGTGTCGCGTGGGTGTCATGTCGTGCGCCATGCTGACAATCGCGACACCTGGAGTACTAATAGGTCACGACACTTCAGCACGCGATGATAATTATAATTTCAAAGACGAAGAAATGGAGAGCGCAAAGAGTGAAGAAACAAGGACCATGCTCTGCATGTTTGCCAAACGCACCCGAGGCAAACGCGTTGAGGTGGGAGGGAGCAAGTGTTTACACCCCGGAAACGGTTAGACCGGGATGCTCTTCCGTTGTCCCAAGGCTGCACGCTACAAGGCTGAGAATCCTAAGGCTAACACCAGACTTCTCTTCAGGCGGAAGCTCGATCTCGATCTCAAAGGTCATTGTACGGTGAAAACCAAAGTCTTGCGTGCATGTATTGCTCCATAATTGCAGACGCTGCGTCCGGCCGGCATATCGAATTCTATGCTTTCATCAATCATATACACGAACATAACCCTTGAGCCGATTCCCGGCGCATGCTTTTTTGCCTCCATCCTTTCCAATTACTCCAATTCCCAAACAGTCATAACTGTTCCATGTTGATCTCCGTCCCGATTTGAGGGCCATAAAATCACTCGCTATGCAAAAATCATCGTCTTGATATACAGGTTGTGGTGTGCGTGATTCGTCCTCCCTGCCGTGTTCGGAAATTACCATAGCCGTGATGATAGGAAAAGTAGTTCCGTTCCAACGGCACGTTGTTTCCAGGTCCAGTGTGCTAGGCACAAATAGTAAACGCTAAAGACAGTCAAGAAGGTGAAGTGGGCTTGATGGACTCGTTGAGTCGTGCCGTTAGTGCATTGTGGGGATGAACTCGGCCGTCTCCATGGTGCCACGGGGATAGGCAACCGGCGGTGCGCTCTGCGGTGCCATCGTGACGGGGCTGTCGTTGACAAAATTGGCATACTCCCACGGGGCCATGCGGGCAACTGGCGCAGTCATGGGGTGAGGCGCCATGCCCATCGTTCCTTGTGGAAGTTGAGGCATGCTCTGATAGCAGTATTGGCCGTGGAGATCATATGTAGGAACGCATTCAGGCATCTGTAGCTGCAACTCTGGAACTGGAGCAGGTGCAACTGAGACTGGCATGCGCATATGGACGGGCCCTTGCATGTAAGCCATCCCGGGATGGACTTGATATGGAGCACTGGTGCCATTGAAGTATTCCGGATGGGGTGATTGTGGATGATGGTACTCCAACATGCCCTCTCCGCGAGAATAGATCGACGCGGTGGGAGTGAGGAGAGAGGCTGCCGTCGAGGAGTAGCTGGCAGAATACTTGGAAATGATCTTCTTCAGAGCTGTCGATAAGATTTTCCAGGGGAAGACCTTGACATCCTTTTCAATATTACGAGGCTTGGGATGAGGAAAGCCCATGATGACCTTGAAGAACTCTTCACTATCCGCTTTGGCTTTGGAAATCGTCATTGGTCGGAAGCCTTCCAAGTTTCGGCGGATACGATTCTTCTCCTCCACGGTGAAACGGACTCCAACCAAGGCCTCGAGCAGGTAGATGGTGTCAACCGAGGTGACGTAGAATTCGTTCTTCTCCTTCCACCAGATGCAACTGATGCAGATGCTGCTTGGTTGGCGGTCTTGGGGGGCGACGGCGTTGAATTCGGCGGTGATGGTGCTGTTCACTTGGCTGCGTTTAAACTCCACCAGGCGTCGTCGGGCCTCTTTTTCTTCTGCAGTCCAGTTCTCTTTCATGGTGTCGATGTCTCCCTTGAGTTTGAGGGTAGCCTTCAGGGGATGCATGGCATACGGGTTAAAATTCTGAGCATGCCCCGGGACTAGATTGGAAAAGACACCGGGTGGTGGAGATGTTTGGATGGTGGAAGTCCGAACCAACTTCGGGATAGATGATTTCAGCGGCGAGCTTGTCGAAGTTGGACGTGGAACAGGCGTCATGGGAACTCCGGGACTCTGCTCACTCTTCACGGTTGTGAAGGATGGGCTGAATGCCGGTGTATGTGGTGATGGAGCAGCCAAGGAAACCTGGGACGCTGTCGATGTCGAGTAGTGATGACCTGAAGGTCTTGGAGACGTGCCACGAGGTGGACAAGCCGGAAAGCCCGTGCTGCCGGTAGGTGTGGGGACAAAAGGAGAATAGGGTGAGGTCTGGCCGCTCAGGTCATAATAGTCGCCATTTGGATCTTGGACTTGGACCTGCGCAAGTGTTGCTTTCTTTTGATCTGGGACGTTATCGAACTCGTCAACGCTGGAAGCCTTGCGTTTTCGAGAATTTATGGCGACATTGTGGAAAGATGAAGGCACTCGCTGCTGCGGCACACCAAAGGCCCTTATATCTCTGTCATAGGATTCCACATTGAGGGGCTGGCCATTCTCAAAGCTCTTCTCATGCGGATAGTCACTTCCTGGAGCATATTGAAAGTCGGGATCTTGAATATTGCCGGGCTGAAGAAGAGGGTGATGGTTGTAAGGTGTCTGCAGAAAGGGGCCATAGAACATCTGATTGGAAATGGCGGAGTGGTGGAAATCTGTGCACATTGGGTAAGAGGTTGCCAATGTCCAAGTTAGATTAGACATACCAATAAGCCCTGCTTGAGCTGCCTTATCATGGCCGGACATGGAGAACAGCTGGCCAGGTTTGGCCTCAAGGCCGTCCTGGAACTGACTGGCAAAATGTTCTCCCACAAAATCCGACGAGTGGAAAGAATCGTCGACGATGAAAGGGGTGTGGAGGTCGGGGAAAGGCTGAGGGACATGTCAGTATATGAAGAAGTCTTGATGACCGGCCATAGCGACACTGTCAACCACAGTGATGAGGCTAAGACAACGGCAGGGGAGGTGTAAATTAGACTTACCGGAAAACGATCGTAAGTTATGGAAGCCAGTTTGACGGTTTGGGGGAGTAAATTAACAGAGATATTGGCAAAAAGCACAAAGCGAGTGACTGGGTACTAAACGAATGTAGTGGGCGAGGCCAATGATGCCTCAAATCAAAGCGAGCGACTGATGCGAGTTGTTATCGTATAGTGGTCCTTTGAGATGCAAGGATGGTGGTTCTCGCAGTAAACATTCGATAATTGGTAAAACTGGCTGGAGGTTGAGTGGAAGAGGTTTCAATCTGCTGGCTCCGTCTCAGATGTGGGAGCGAATTGGTGGACTGGCTACCCAGAGCAGTGAGCAATCTAGGTTGACGTCTTCCAGGTGGCGTGGGGTAGCTGCTCGTGATGGTCCCGAAAAGGTTCGAGGTTCGGGAAGCTGAGGCAGACTTAATCTCGAAGACAAAGAATGCCGGCCGTGTGGAACGAACTATGCACACTGATCAGCCAAACTATCGCCAGGTGCGTTGAAAATCCTTCGGCAAGGACATTCGCAAAAGTCATCTACCTTTTTCTCGATTGGATATCGCCAAGATCGATGGTGCAAGTCGTGAAAGTAGAGGGGATATTGGGAGAAGTGAATCGTTTTGTGACAGGGCCTGAGACAACTGTTATTCTCGCCCGTTAGTAGGACATCCAAGTGAATTCCTCGCGGTCTGGGTATTGAGAATGATCGATAAATTAACTCCAACGTAAGGACTGAGATTTCAAGCAAGGAGAGGGGTGGGCTAACGGCTTGAGAAGGGTATGGAGGGTTCCAAATCTGGTAACGAATGACGATAGAGGACCGGTGTTATACTGACCCAAGCCTCTGGATTGCAATCTGGACCAAAAGAAGGACCCGTTCAAGCTGGAATTTCTCCTTCTTCTCTTTATCTGCCAAGTACCCAGCAGGGTGGTCCACGGACGGATAGCAGCGCAGTCGCCCTGACGAGGGTTTTGCGTAGCGTAGGCCTGGCCCTATTGATATTGAACTGGGGATATCGAATTGAACCGGAGACGAAGTGTTTCTAGCTTGTATTCGAATTTCGAGAGATCTGGATTCTAGCGAAGGTATTGCCCTACGAGGTAATTCGGACGAAGTTGGGCGCTTGGAATGCTTGGTGAATACAAAGGTCCTTTTGGGGGGCTTTTCGGCGAATGAATCGAAATCGAAGGACGTGAGCGACTGATATCCAACGACGGAGATACAGAGACTTGAAAAGCGAGCGAAAGGTGTGTCTCGAGTAAACGAAAGTATGGTCTGCGAACAGAGCCAGAAAAGAAGTCGAGTGCAGGCAGAGCGAAAGTCGTGGTGATGGAGAGGTGGAGCGGGAGTGGGAAGAGGGCGATCCGAGGAGGGGGACTAAATGGCTATATCGGCCTCGACCCAGGGACGGAGCACCTACGGCCTTCGACACCTCGACAGGGCAGTGGAAGGCGACGGGTGTTCAATCAGAGGCTCGGCGACTCGTCTGCGCGAGTTTTGAGGCAGGCTTAGTGGCAGTGAAGGGCGACTAGCCTGGAGTCGGGCTGATGGAGCAGATCCAGTGTGAAGGGGACGAGGGAGTGGATGAGCGAGGGCCAGAGAATGGGGATTGGTGCCGTTTGGTGGTGCCATGATGGCCGGCAGGAAGCGGCAGTGATCCTCTGGCGGTGCTGGGTCGGAGCCTGTCCAGTGTCTGTCCCTCTAGGGCATCTGTCCCATGGGATGCGAGGCGAGGCGACGTGAGAGGGAAAGACAGGATTAGCATCCAGTAACATGTTGGCTGTAAGCGGGGACAGCGGCCGGTGGTGGTAGAGCAAGGGAAAAATTGTGTCTTTTCCTGCGCTGCCCTTCCAATAACGGCATGCGAGTGGTGCACTTCTTTTTGCCCGAAGTACCACCATACAGCACCAGCAACCTGTCACTCCTGCAAGGCCATACGGATAGAACATGGATTGCGATTTTGGCCTGGCTCATGCTCTCCTGCCTCAGTTCCTCCTGCTGATTCCCCCAAATTTACAACTAGAAGAGCAGGGAGAGGACACGATCCTCAACCACGCAGGGGATAGATAGGCTGTGTACGGATACCAGAATGGATACACCTGCGGCAAATGCAAGTCTTGAGTGAACATTATTTTTCCGTCTGCTTCACAGAAGTGTGTGGTTACGTGTGCGATACGAGAGCGGCGACTCGTGGTAGCCCGAGCAGGGATGATGAGTGCTAAAGGCGGCCGACACGCCAGCAGTAGGAAGCGATCCACAGGGAGGAGCCAGGGCGCGGTGAAGCTGGGGGCGTGAGTTTGGATGGGCTTTTGCACAGCCGCAATCGAAGGATGGAGTATGAGCGACGTACTGGGTGGATTCGTGTACGAAGGCAAGATGGCACCGTGAAAATACCTGGTCCGCAGACAGCAGTGGTCAGGTAGGTAAGGTAGATACATGATAGTAATGATAATACAGCCTTCAAAGAGGCAAAAATACAACCATCTCGAGTTCCGCTGTTTGACCAAGTAAGAGAAAATACTCTCCTGAACATTGCAGCTGGATCGGATGCCTTAGGTTTTGCTGGATTGTGGATGGAGTCTGGTGAGGTCACCTTTGGACGGCCGGAGATCCTCACCTCTTTGGCTGCGGCCTAACTTATGCTTCCCTGCCGTCCACCTCCCCCGGGCTTTCTCTAACACGCTTCGTACTGGAGGTGACCATACTACAGAGTCTGTCACGGAAGAGCAATGTCATTTGTGACCCATTGGCTGGATTGTATCGCACGATACCGCAACTCTTGAGGTCTGCTCCTGCCCCTGCTGCACCGCCCCTTCGAACTGACGCCCCTGCAGTGGTCTGCTAGGGACCCCGCGGAAGACAGGCCACATTCTTTCTATCTTTAGTTCAACCGAAAGCCTCCTTGGCCCTAACCTGGGTTGAGCGTAGCCCGACAGACCGGCTGGGATCTTTTGCCTCCCGAGCCCCGATGCGTCGCGCTTTACTGGATTGTCGAAGGTGCCCGTGAGATGGGGCGCGGAGACCAGCCAACGTCAAAGGCCGAGACGTACCGAGAACATTCAGCTGGGAAGGAGCACGGAGAAAGAAATCTGTTTACATATATGACAGTCGCGTCCACTACTGACCGGCTCAGCGTTTGAGGTAAACATTAACGCGTGAAGGCCTCCTGGCGTCGTTTGTTTTTGCTCCGACCCCCTGGAGCCGTCAGTCATTGTATCAGGAGCATCGCCCGTTGATGCATGACCCCCCTGAGCCTGTGCATACAAAATACGAGCCGGCATGGTCGATCACGGATATCCTTCCATTGCCACTTGTCACTGCCCCATTGAGACCAGCGTCACGCGTCGATGGTAAGCCCTTGGGTGAGTAGCGGTATTGGTGAGGGCGACTCTTGAAAAGTTCTGTATCTCTCCTCTTACGCCACTATTATATTCGGCTACAACCTCCTGATTAGTAGGATGACATCTGCTTACTTCCGTAGACTCCTCCAACTAGGTAATAATGAGGGCTGCATTTGGTTCGACTGTTCGCCTATACACCTTCAGCCAGCCACCTTGGACTTGGACCTGCAGTCAAACAGATACGAAAGCGCTTGTATGACCCCGTTTGTATTGTTAAATGCTCACTAGACACTGTTCCGGTAGGAGTCTGGGGAAGTAGCCTCTAAGGCGGTTGTGGCCCGGCGCCGTTGTCTAAACCTGGACACTGTGATACACCGGCCAGGCGCGGCGGCGGCGATGACAACTCGGAAGGGTGCGGAAGGAGAAGCATCGCATTCGTTTTCGCAAATCATCCCGCCGAATCTCGATGACTTCAAGGCATCCATGGAATATACGGAGTACTCAGCATGGAGTGTTTCAGCATTATTATTACTCGTATCTGCACCGCCATCTCTCAGAGTCCAACAACGCGAGGCCCACCACTGTCTTCCACGGAGTAGAGGCCGTTTCCTTCCTTTATCCACTCGTCGCCCTTCTTCGGTTGATGCCGGATCCAAACATCCACTGTTTCCTTGATTGCATGGATATTCCATACACACACAGCAGATGTCAGCGCAGGAACAATCCTCCAGGCCCAGTCAGAAAAAGTCTAGGCTCCATTCGTATCGTCATCAATTTTTGTACGTGCTGTGCGTGCACATCTGCAACTCTACTGGCAGCAATAACAAAATCATGTCATGACCGCGTAATTGTCTTGCCACAAGGGTTTGGGACAGGCTTGCACGAGCATCCGATCCCGTCTCGCATTGTCATTCTTGCTGCTTGGGGCCTGAGGCGCAGCCCTGGACAGTAGTTCATGATGTCAGGCCGACCAAGCGCCTCACTGTGTCACCAGTGCCATCACCACAAGATGCGTGAGTCTTGGACGCGTTCTGTTGTGGGCAAGAAATGTAAGGGGAAGGAGATAATCTCCTGATGACAGCAGTCGCCCCCTATGAGGCTGTGAAGAAGCAAAAGCGTTAGCATCCCCGTGGTTGGACGCGCCCTGTTGTTTCTATATTTGCTCGACCTCCTGGCTGGTTCGGTTAACAAGCAAGGGCTTCCTTAGGCTTGGGCTATGCCGCTGAGGCTTGCAGGGGCACCCGTTTGAGAGTGAACCCTTTTCGAAAGGGCTCGGTGCCTGGCAGTGCTACTGATGCGAACGAATCAGACCAGGGGCTGCGCGCTAAAGCACGCGTCCTTGGTATCAACTCGAAGTGGAAATGCGCCAGGATACACCTGGTCACAAGGTTGGTCATTAGCCTGATTTGTGCAACGTTCCAAAAGAGCACAGAATGTTGTCTCGACCGTCATCTACCTCCCTCTCCCTTCTACTGGAGCCATGGTGTGGCCAACCAAGCTACACAGGTATCCCTGGTTCCTGAACCAGTTGCAAACACATGGTGGAGACCATGTGCAAGGAGCACAGCCCTGCAGTTTGGTCGAGCAATGCACTGGATCGGCTCGCTTCGTTTGCGAGCTCACCTCCCAGCAGCCTGGAAAGAAACATTTACACAGTTTGCGCAGCTCCAGGATCGAGGGCGGATCAAGGGTCTGTCCCGCCCTCATCCTGCTTCCAGCCCCCAATACTGTTCGCTTCTGCATAGGGATTGTACATGTATCCAGTTTCAATGTTTGTCAAAACCAGGAACAGCGATCCTTCTGCTCATTCTAGACCACTCGTTGCGCCAAGAGGAGGACGAGGGCTGCATCGAGGCTTCCCGGCCAGGCCAGACAACGAAGCTGGTGTCCTGACTAGGACGACTGGTCGTGTTCTGTGTTTCCCCATTTGGTTGTCAACCTTGACCGCCACTCGACGTGACATCAAAAAATGCTGCAAGTCGATGCCTGAGATCCTCTCTTGGGATTTTTCGCCCGCTTTCTGCCACGCGATCATGCCTGATACCGGGCTAGACCTGCAGATCTGCAAGTCGTCAAAGGGCTGGGCAGATGCACAAAGGCATGGTCTATCTCTGGGTCCCCTGAACAGCGATAGTCAATCTCTTGCGGTCAATTTTGGGGGTTCTATTACAGTTGATTGAATACGACTGGTTGGACAGTGGCATAAATAGCAACGGTGAGTGGCGATAATGCATCTCAGCCCATGCGAGTCAAACAGCTGGCGAGAGACAGCCAACAACATATCAAGTATTCATTGGCGTGATATTGCGCCGCAGCTGACCGTACAAAATGCAGGTGCTGGGATGGTCTAAGAATAACAATCACAGCTTACTCTCGGCGCCCGGTTTGGAGATTTCGATCACCAGCTTGCCGAATTGGGAGCCTTTCTTGATATCTTCGAAGAGATCATTGATCGCTTCCAGATCCAAGCCTTGGACGACCCGCGAAACGACAGGCCTTGCCTTGGTTGATCTAATGAAGTCCACCATGTCCTTGAATTCTTTCCTCGATCCCATAGTCGAGCCTTTGAGTTCGATGTTCTTCAAAACGGCCTGCATCAAAAAGGGCATCTTGGGCCCAACGGTCATGCCGTAGATTGCAATGACACCGCCCGGCTAGAAAGCTGTCAGTGGACTGGACCGAGTAGGACCGAACGACTGTAGGGAATCATCGAGAAGCTGGGAGCAAACACCCACCTTGAGCAACTTGGCGCCTTTCTCGACCACGTCGCCACCCGCGCCATCGACAATGGCATCGATTTGTTTGTTTTCTGCCGGCAGCAACGCCAACAGCTTCTTTTCCCAAGTCGCTTCCTTGTAATTAACGCCACCCTTTGCCCCCAGACCGATGGCTTTCTTGATCTTTTCTTCGCTGCCACTAGTCACCCAAACGTTGGCGCCGGAGGCTCGAGCAAACTCCAGTGCCATCAAAGCTACGCCGCCACCAATGCCCGTGACCAAGATATTCTTTCCAGGTTTGAGATTGTGCGCACCGCACTTGGTCACTACCGCGCGCCAGGCAGTTAGCCCGGTCAATGGGATTGCTGCCGCTTCTACGGCAGACAAATGTTCAGGTGCTTCCTCTAGTTCTGACTCGTCGATGGCCACGTACTCCTGCAGCGTGCCGTTGGGATTCGTCTTGGTGCCGCCGAGGATCTTGTACCCGCCCTGATCCTCGGGTCCTGCAGGGTCATCCTTCCAGCCAATTCCCGGGTTCACCACCACCCTCTTGCCCTTCCATTTGGGATCAGCGTCGCTCCCCACCGCAATCACAGTACCACTACCATCAGCAAGCAGTGGGATTCCGAATGCGGTGCCCGGATACAAGTGTTGACGGATGAAGAGGTCACGGTGGTTGAGTGCAGCTGCGTGGATCTTGATGATGACTTGTCTGCCTTCGGGCGATGGCGTCGGCACTTCATCCAGCGACAGTGGATAGTACACGTGGCCGGGCTTGCCATCGACCTTGGATATCGAGATTGCCTTGGGCATCGTGACACGGATATCTCTGCCCAGAACGGAGTACAGTGCTATCGACGATACTCTCGCGGCCCTTTAGAACAACCGAGCAAAAGCCGACAAGTGAGCAGTGGTTGTATCGCTTTGTAGTCTTTCCTATCGACACAGCTGAGATTTGCTCAAGACTGAAGGTCGAGAGTATTTCGCGGGCTTGTTGGGGTTTGGGATGATGCTGATGGCGAACAGCGAACAATGGTGCTCTTAACGTTACGCCTGCTCCTCCTTTAGGTAGGTTATTAATTCACGAGTGAGTGATGATGTTGACAACAACCTTGGATGGAGATCCCGAAGCGCAACCGAGGTTAAAAAAGTCCACCGTCTGTCAGCAGGATGATCTCATGCTGTGCATATAAGTACTAAGGCAGACGTGTGTCAGACAGGATTTAATTCTTTAGGGCTTAGGCATCCGGTCCCAGAGCAGAGCGACGCTCGAAGCGATGATGGTTTTAGGGCGACCTATTCCATGTCGCCGCTGGCAAGCAGAGAGAGACAACAACTAATAATATGTACTGCGTATGTGTATGGTATGCAATAGAGCACACTGAGGGCGATTCCCAACCCTCTGTCGGCCTTTTAAGGCGCTCACCAGTCACCCACAGTTGCAATAATGTCCTTCGTAGCCTAAGCCTCCGTGACGAACCTTAGGCCTAGGGACTTAGGGAGCCTAAAGCTTTAGGCTCTTTAGGCCTCCTAAGCCCCAAAGACGCCGGCGATTGGCGTATGCCCAAGATGCTGATAAGGGCACGAAGAGGAGGCTAAGGAGGCCTAAGCCCCTAGGCCTGCTAAGCCTGGCTGTGGATCAGCCACGTCCGCCCAGACAAGCAGACTCAGGCTCCCTATCGCTAGTAATCATCCGTATGTGTACTCCGTATCTGTACGTCGTTCAGGATCCGGCCGTAGCATCAATCTTTGTCGCGCCCTTTCAGCCCCCAACCCGAAGTGCGCCTGCCTTGAAATCAAAGGTGGACTTCAGTTCGACCAGACACCAGACCGAGTCACCACAGCCACACAACCGTAACTGTACAATAACGGTTGATCAAGTGTGCGCTCTGGCCTTGGTTCCCGCCTGTCCTGTCACTTCCGATACAGGCTGGTCGGCCTATTGATACAGCAAAGCAAAGCAGGACCGAGGGAGTCGGCCATAGCGAGATATAGCCTCGTTGAGAGTGCATCCTCCACCGTGACGACGTTCAACAAGATCCCGCTTCCTCGGACTCAACCATCCCGACAACCAGAATGGGCTCCTTTGGTGAGGTGACGGAGTTTGGACACGGCTTCAGATCGCAGTTCTTGTTCGATTCCAAATATACCAGTCTAAATCACGGTATGCCTCCAACTCCAATCCCATCTGCATGCTTCCCTCCATGCCAAGCCCTTTCGGTATCGTCTGTCTGGGAGTGTCACTGGCATGGGATGTTCAACTCCCGGCTTCAGTCGTTCTTTGCTCGAAGCTTCAGGGGGACTGGGGTGCACGTTGAACATGATTAACAATGATTCTCTCAGGATCGTTCGGTACCTACTCTTTGCCGGTGCGGAATGCCCTTCGAGGGTATCAAAAGCTAGCTGAGGCCGCGCCGGATAAGTTCTTGAGATATCAATATATCGATCTCCTCGATAAATCGCGAGAACGAATAGCGCGGCTGCTCAATGTCCCGTCTGACGAATGTGTCTTTGTACCAAATGCAACCACAGGTAAGCACACTTCTTAGCTGACTGTTTGCGGAGACTGACCGCGCAGGCATCAACATCGTGCTACGCAATCTCCAGTATCAGGAGAAAGACTGTATAATCTACTTTGATGTCGTCTATGGAGCCATTGAGAAAACGCTGGTTTCCCTGCTCGAAACAAACCCCCAACTTACACTGCGCAAAGTGGGACATGGACAGGACTTTGGCTTCTCACTTCCTTGCACGCACTCCGAAATCCTGAATGCATTATCACAGACCATTTCCCGCGTCTTATATGATGGGCTCCGACCCAAAATCTGTGTGTTCGAAACCATAGCCTCTCTGCCCGGAGTGCGGTTTCCTTTTGAGAGGATCGCAAAAATGTGCAAAGAATACGACATCATCAGTGTAGTTGATGGCGCCCATGGTGTTGGCCAGATTCCGCTCAATCTGGCCGAGCTCGATGCCGATTTCTTTGTGAGCAACTGCCACAAGTAAGTGAGACCGAGACTCTTCCAATAATTCACACTTTGCAAGACTGGTGTCTATATCGAGCGATGGGTATGTGCATGTGTTCTGACCAGGCATAGGTGGTTGTATACTCCTCGAGGTTGTGCTGTGCTGCATGTGCCCAAGCGCAACCAACATCTGATCCGGACCACCTTTCCGACGTCTCATGGATACCAACCACCAAAGTCATACGCATCCTCAATCCCAAATCCCCTCCCGCCGAGCGACAAGTCGGATTTCATAAACCTGTTCCAATTCGTCGCTACCGCCGACAACACCCCATTTTATTGTGTGCCGGCCGCACTGAATTTCCGACAGAATCTCTGTGGCGGTGAGCACGCCATCTATAACTATATTCGTGACATTGCTCAACGTGGTGCGGATCTTCTTGCTATGATTCTCGGGACCGAGGTCATGGACGACCTCGACGTCGGCTATGGCCTGAAGACAATGGGAAGCTACGAAGCCAGCGATCGACGAGATGGAGGAAGGACAGGTTGGGCTGGCAGTATCCGGGATTGTGCCATGGCCAACGTTCTACTACCAATCACGGTTGTGGGTGCATCTTCTCGGGGAAGCATCAGCATGGGGCCTGGTGGAGCGGGAAGTGCAGGCGGCCTCTCGCCTGCTCTACGACAATCCTCCTATGGCTTCCCCAGTACCGGAGCAACAACACACAGTCTTCGAGCCAGTGCCACAGGCGGCACGTTGGGCGAGCCTAGAATGTCCACGTCTCCACTCAACTCGCCGAGTGCGCAGTCAGCAGGGCCCGTCGTTGTCCAGGAAGCTGACGTTTCAACACACATTGCATGGATGGAAAAGACGCTGGTGGACAAGTACAACACCTTCGTGGCCATCTTCCTGTACGACGGAAAGCTGTGGACGCGAGTCTCAGGCCAGATCTATCTCGAACTCAAGGATTTTGAGTGGCTGGGTGGCGTCCTGAAAGCCCTGTGTGAAGGGGTGCGATCCGGGGAAAGTCTGCGGAGAAAAGACCAAAATTCGGCCCCCGACAAGGAATTCGAAGGCTTCACATTGCAGTCGCCGACCCCGTCGAGACAAGGGACAGGAACGTCGGTGAGAAGGTTCGATGTTACGAAGGGTGGATGGGTTGACACATAGAATCCGGGGTTGATCTGGCTTTGTACGGAGTATGAGGAGGTCCGCATCATGGGGCCATGTATGCGACAGGTGTACCGGACCTGTTGGGCCGTGGTGGTGGACCAAGGGCGCGTGTTTGAATACAGGGCAAAGGGGATTCTCAGTATAAATGCGGAGACGTGACAGGAGTTGTCCAATTTGACGTTGTACATGTGAGTCATGGAAGCAGCAGAAGGCACCTCAGCATCGCAATGCCGGCCATGCCGTCAATGCCGTGTGGTATTGCCTCAGCCTCGATCGCAGGCTGGAGGGAGCCATGACTAAGAAGATCTGATCGTTGGGTGGAAGTGAGCTTCTTCTACTGCGGTGCCTGTCGGTGCCTGTCAGTGCCAACCTGAACTCGAACAGGAAAACTCTGAACCAGCACGTGAATGGTCACAGGCCAAGCGCCAAGCGCGTCACGAGGCGGCCAAGTTCCCCGGATTTTTTTGCAGCTGCAATTTTCAGATTCCCGCTACGTAATTCCAACCGTGCTTTGACACCACAATATTCACTCACCTGCACACGTTTCTCCTGGTGGCCTGAAGCCTCTGTTGTCATTCTTCGTCGAGATGATGAGCAGCGGATGGGCCACGACGTCCCGGATTCCTCGGGGCAAGTATCGCCTACGCCTGAGAGCCTGGCCTGCCAGCAACAGCCTGTCAATGCAAGGAAGAATGCACTTGCGAGATATGTCCGTTGCTAGCCACACAGACCACATGCACGGGAGACGGTGGCACTCAGCCACTGCTTCCGGAAGCCTAGCCGCCCGGCCCTTGGAAATGGAAAAATTGGATCAGAAAATCTGGGGAGTATGAATCATAGCCTGCCGTTAACTGCTTAGTTGACAAGCCTTGTCCGTGGTACGCGTTATGTGATGGCAATGTTGCCATCTGCGCCAAATACGCAAACAATGACACAGATTCTGTCTCTTCCACCCTTTCCGCTGTTTCCATTACCCCCATCTTTCCTCGACAAGACCTGTACCCTTGCATTTGGCATTTATACGGTGTGGAGGCTGTCTGACCTTGCTCCTTGCACCTGACACCCGCGAGAAGCACATAAGCCTGCATCAGACCAAGCCATGGCTCCGACATCGCCAACAGACTCTGGGCAGAACCAGAACGCTTTGACTAGAAAGACTCAACCTCATCGACCTGACACTGAAGCCCCATTCAAAAGCCTAGAGGAATTGGCCTCTCTTCATCACAAACTCGATCGTCGCCACCTCCTCCAGCCTCCAGAAGACATGAGTCAAACCAGGAAGTTCTCCTATGCTTCCGTCAAGGAAGAGCTAGGTATGTCATAGTCTCAGCCCCAGTCCTACCGCGTTGCATACTGACACGGGTTGTAGGTGATGGCCTACCTCAGTCGTTCGAGTCCTCCCTATCGAGCAAAGACCTAGAAGAGGTCGAATGGATTGCATGGCCCTGCAGCCAGTGGTGCAAGTCCAAGGGGCTGTGTTCGTTTCATTGGGGTGGCTCGCATGAAGACCATGTTCGGAATCGACTCGAAGGCTACGCTCGTAGCAACCCCCGAGCACTCGAAAAGATCCTCGACGAACTAGACAAGAGAAGGGCTGCACAGAAACTCTTCAACCTTCCTTTCGCCGAAGAAATCACTCGAGTCCATCCTCGGCCCGCCGATTTCAGCCTCGAAATCTGGAGGGAGAAGGTCAGAGACTCACTAGGCCCAAGAGAGGCGTTGAATGAAACAGCCATCGATGATTTCGATGATGCTGTTTCGGAATGTCCAGAATGCCCTCAAAGTCCTGGGCCATCGTACTTGGAGTCCATGCCGGAGGAGATTCTCGAGTTGATCTTCTCCCACGTCACCGTCGACCATACCGCGGACCCTTATGCACGGCCTCATGTCGACTTGGTTTCCTGCTCGTTGGCCTCCAAGACCCTCTACCCTGCTGCCCTGCGAGTCATGTATCGACACGTCTCTATCCCCCAATCACGGGCGTTCTCCAAGTTTATGCGCAGCCTCAGGGAGAACGACAATGTGGGAGAAATGGTGCAGTGGCTAGATTTCTCCCATTACTCCAACATGGGATTCGGCAAGGATCGCACCACGACAAATCAGACCCCGTTTCTAAAACCAGAAACTCTCAATGCATGCCTGGATATGTTGCCAAACCTCCAAGCTTTCCTGGTCCACGAACATGTGGACGACGAGCTCGACATCAATGTCATCTCCAAGGTTTTTGGCCTGCCATTGATACAAGCGCTGGATTTCTGTGCCTGCTCCTCTCGGTCTTTTGCTGAAGCATTCACTGCTGTCACCAGCCGGCTGTCTGGGACTGGACCTTTGCACAGCCTTAAACGACTCTCACTCCACGAATGCACTACTCTTCAGGAACCTGTCTTTGAGGCTCTCCTCCCACGCTTGGTGAACCTCACTCACCTCGACGTGGCCCACACACTCATCAACGATACTGCGTTACTCTCAATCCCACCCACCGCGAAGATTACACACCTTAATCTCGAACGTTGCACGCACCTAACAGGTCCTGCGGTGGTGAATTTCCTGACCACCCACCCTGCGGTCAAGGAGAGTATTGTCTATCTCAATCTCGCATCTGACTCATCCCGCCACCGACTCTTGACCGAAGAGGATGTGAGGCAGGTGTTGAACTCACTCCCACCAACACTGCGATCACTCAATCTCGGTGGGGCAAGAGTGAACGCAACCCACATCCCCTCACTGAAGAGACTTGCCACGCATGTGGAGGAACTTGGCCTGCGCGGTGCCAGCCTCAGCCTCGGCTCAGACATCAAACGACTCTTCAAGTCCGAGGATGACACCGAATCGGCTTCCTCGTCTGGCAACTCCGAGTCGGCTTCCTCGTCCTCTGGCAACTCCGAATTAAGCAACGGTAGCACCGCCACCGCCATTCGCTACCTCGACCTCAGCGATATATCATCCGTCACACAGATGTCTCTCAGCTACTCACCCAGCTCGCTGGTTGGCACGGACACGCTGCCACTTGAGGTCGTGGAACTAGGCCCCGATGTGCTGCAGGAGATCAAGCGTCGCAATGCACACATCAAACGCCCCGACTGGGTGGTCAAGGAGCTCGGCCGTAGAGGCTGGTTTGTTCGACAGCCTATCGAGGGTGGCGTCGAAGCCATCGACGACGGTTGGCGTCCCTGGAAGATGGGCGCCAGATGGTGGGGCATGCGCAAAGTCCCTATGGTCGACCAGGACGTCGGCGGCATGTATGGGTACTTTATGTTCAAGCGATCATAGAGTGGTTGGACGTGGGCTTTGATTGAGTGGTCTGGTCGCGCAAATATCTGTGTGTCTGTTTCACCGGCGAACAAGCACGACTTCTGTTCGATGCATTGCGTTTGCATTGCCTTGACCTTATTGCATGGCACATGGCACATGGCGAGCACGACTTCTGTTCGATGCATTGCATTGCGTTTGCGTTTGTAATTGCTATGGCAATTACCTTGACCTTATTGCATGGTACATGGCGATGGATGGGGTCTCTGCAATTGCTCCTGACCTTATTGCATTGCATGGCACATGGCGATGGACGGGGTTTCTTTCCACTTGGTTTCATGTTATATTCTGGTGTCAAGGATCGGACACAAAAAAACGAGGGTTTCTTTCGGAATCTAATGATTAGGGCGAAACTGGGCATCGGTATGGGCATTCTTGGGATTTCGAGTAGGATTTCATGCATTGCAATGGAATGGATTGGCATGGCATGAATGAAATGAAACGGACTTCCACGAGGAATGAGATTATGGGATATCATTATAATATACCTAGGTATTAAGACATTGCTTTCATAGCGTATGGTCTTACATCCAGACCATACTCCTCAGCCAGCTGAAATACCCTTTGGGTCAGCCCACAATCCCGTCCTGTCCTGTCCCATGATCATGGCAGGCAGGGCCGTCATCGACATGTTCGGCAGCGATTCTTGCTTGGCGTTGGATGTCGAGAAGTCGTCTCCTTCCGACCACGGCCACGGACCGCATTGTATCCGAATTCAAGTCCATCTAACTAATCCTCCCAGGCCCAGCGAGTAGAGTGCCGGGTGTTCGAGAGACCACAACCCTGTGCAGACGAATGTATCTGTATCTGTATCTCTATCCTGTACAATTTCTGATGTGATGTGATATGTTATAGCCTTAACCGATCATTCGATAGGAGTCCCAGGTATCCCTAACCTCTCATTCAATAGCAATCCCGGTATCTTGTAGCGGTTGAGCAATGGCTTTTTCTGTGCCGCACCGGGTATTGATGCAAGCTGGCTCGGCAGCCCTTGTCGCCGCATATTGAATTGCATCCACCTGTGCAAAATCCTACTGGAGAAGCCCAGCACCACGTCAAGACCTTGTAGATATAATTCGACCAAGGGTCGCAGAAGACGCCCTGGCGCGTCGGACGGCGCGGTGCGGTTCTACGTCGTCTTCTTCGGCCCAGAAATGTTCGGGTACAGCCGGCTTAAATGGTAATTGATTGTGGATTTCGCTTTTGGCGGAGGTTTCTAGATGCGCCGAGTCGGAGGGTCAGTGACGGACATTCAAGGAATGAGTACTCGGACAAGACGGAAATGGAGACACAGGGAGTTGATGGAATCACTGCTGCAAAAATTGTACGAAAAGAAAGCGTAAACGTACAGGTGCGTCCATACACTCGCGTAGAGCTTTCTCTAGATGGCCGCAGCCTCCTGAGGCGGCGCCTGCTGCCCAGCAATCTGTCAAGGAGAAATGTTAGTATCTTCATGTGAGGGATCGGACAGTTGAAAGTCTCGGGGAAATCATGCATGAGGAACAGAGACGCGGCATATGGGGCTGTGAATTAGGAAACCCTGGAAGGATCGCGCCCGAGAACAGAGGATCGGAGATCTTGCGCATTCCTCCCAACTACACAGATACGCCTCCCTGGATGGAATCCGTCGAGCGCCAAATCTGGCAAGGTACACAGGGTTGGTGCAAGGGCGTGAAGGAGAGGACGTACTCAACATGGCACTCATCGGCCCGAGGCAAGGGTTGGGTTCATGTTTATCCGGGTTTCTGATCTTTAATCGTGTGACCGTCTGTAGTCTGATCGGGTTGACGGCTGTCGAGGCGCCTTTGGGAGGCATTTTGGGAGGTGTCTCTCCCAGCAAAGGATCCGGCGAGGACGAGAGATTCGAGTCTGGGTTCGGAGCGAGGGTCGTGGATAGGTTCTAGTGAGATGTTCTGGTGGCTGCAATTGACCGGGCACGACGGAAACTCTTATGTCGCACCCAAGCGGCCAGTCTATTTCATCGAGGAGAGCTTCAAGAAGGCTGCGGGCAGGTTCCGTTGGAGATGGAGCTGCGCCGTCGACTTTTTGAAGCACAGCACCATTCAAGTAAGTTTGGCGGAGACTACGCCAAGAGTACGGCACAGCGTTGTATTGCGGTATGCAAATTGTACCTGTACATGTGCTACGTATTACTACTATGGCACTATAGTTTGATATACGTGATGATTAGACTGTTCAGTGTATTCGTATGTAGCACCATCTGGTGCGAGACTGCACGAGATATGCACCTTGACACACTCGCTTACCATGGTCCACCAAATCCCTCGAATGTACTTCGTAGACGAACCTGCGGAGGCCGGTTACGACCATCACCAGCCGGTGATGTCGTTTGGGTACCATAGGCGCCGCCATGGTTGTCATCCAAGGTCGGTGCAATATACCCTTCGGTCAGCATGAGTCGATCAGGATCATTACAAAAGGCTTCGAAGGTGGAGTCATCCGCAAAGCCGAAATCTCGGAGGCCCTGTGTCCGATCCATCGTCCATTGAGTAGTGTCGAGTTGGGCCATTTCATGGAACAAAGCATCGATCTCATCTCCATCAAAGCCGGGGGCCGTCGCAGTCATTCTTGCGAGGCTACTTTCGTCCACCAGAACAGAGTCAAAGGCGTGTTGGGTCACGTTCCTATCTATCGCACCGTAGTCAATCGATGTCGATGCCATCTGTGATGCCTGTTCGGCTGAACCGGTAAACAGTGGTATGTTTGGGTATTGGAAATCCTTGGATTGAATCGTGTCTGGTGCCGTTTCATTACGATCAATCTGGCTGGTTTGGTAGTTGACGGAGTCTCTTTGCCATGCGCCTGACGACGTGAAGGCGAAGGCTCCAGGATGCTGGAGCATTTCTTGGGAAGCTGAAGGCACCGAAATAGCAGAATGTCCGGCAATATTTTCGGATGAGAGCACCTCGGGTCCAGGCCGTCCTATATGGTGGGTGAAATTCGGCCAGGTTAACGCTAACCTCGATTTAATCTGATTGACTGGGTCAGAAACCAAGTGTCCATGAGGTTGTAGGTCGATCAAATGGCAAAGCACTGTCATTATGGAGGGAACACCGCATCTGTCAGGACGGTTCCAGGCATGTTCGAACAGTTCCAAGATGTTGAAAAATCTCCTTCCAGCTTCCTTTTGAACAGTGTCGGATAGCGGCGAGGTTATTGCCATTATAACAACATGGCATGCTTGCAGCAGCATCTGGTGAGGCGGCCGTGGTTCAACCTGCATGATTTGGAATGGATACTTTCCTGCCAATTCTGCCAATGTTGATATGCTAGAATAATCTTGCGTCGGTAAAGGCTCCGTGGTACTTTGGCAAAGCTCACTCTTGAGCAAGCCATTAGCAAGCATGCAGAGTTCCGTCAGGTGGTTGAAACAACTGATCACAAATGCTGGTGGCCGAGGTCCGTTCGTGTCCCTCTCGGCCACTTCCCATGGCTCCCATTCCTCATGCCCGTCTTCGTCGAGGAGTCGTATATGCGTCAGATGCTCGGTCCGTAGATGCGGTGGCTTTCTCAATCGAATTGAGATGAGGGTATCTAGGATGAAACAGCCTTGTAACGCTGCCGTCCATCTTGGGTGTTGGTCTCCAGTCGAATCAATCCCATCGAGCAAGGCTCGCACCGCGAACCCTACTAGTATCCAAGCCGAAGACGGGTTCGTGCTCCCAAGATCAAGGATGGCAAGTAGAAGTAGAGCTTGCACATGACCGAGAAAGAAAGGACCAGATTCTGTTGGGATTAGACTTCGAGCTATTGACCGCATCTCAGTAACCGTTGGATCTTCACCCGCTGTGCTTGGGAGCCTCGATTGCAGTGTTTGTTGTTTTGTGTATGCACACATAGCCCATATATAGGCGAGATCTGAGCTCTGTGGCTGGAGAGGACTAGATGATCGGGTGTATTCGTAGTATCTCTTGAGGGTGTAAGGTCTGTCCAAGATGGGAAACCAGCAATGTGTATACTTGAAGTAATGGTCCATTAAACTTGATGTTGAGCGTGGCAAGGCTATCGATACTTGGGCTGAGGACAATGGTATCCTGTGAGGCAGAGAAGTGGCCTCGTTTTGGTCAATGTCGGTCTCTGTATGTGAAGTCGGAATTTGCGCGACTGTGAAAACAGGGGGCATTGTATAGACACCGGCGGAAGTGCCTTGCAACGAAGTCAACGGTTCGCCGTCGTCCTCCCTTTCTCGCTTTCGTTTCGGATTCGGCTGAGAATGCTGCTCAAGTCGTGACAATAGCTTGTCTAACTCAGACAGCACACTGGATTCTTTCCAGGCTGTATGGAGGTCATCCCCGTACTTGTGGTGGTTCCAGACCCGAAGAAGTTCTTCCTCGTTCTCTTCCATCACTCGACGAACGGTATCGTCCAGTCCGTGTATCTTTTGTACCATCACCGCCCAAAGTTTCTCCAGGCCCCGAACATATCCCTCTGGAAGCCCTCTCTTCTTGGTTCCGGCGACGTATAGACAAGGCTGGGAAGCGTTGAAGCAGTTCGAGCATTGCGGTTGGGTTCCATCACAGCGGTCTTTCTGCGAAACATGAAAATGACCATTAGTTCTATGCTTCCTGCTCTAACACAGGGACTCCATATGGATGGCCTACTCTTGTCCGACACCGAGCACAGGCTTGCGCTACCCGGGCCCGGGCTGGTCTCAAAACATCGTCATCGTGTTCACTCGTTTGAGGTGCTCTTTTGTTCGCGTTTGCGCCGGTCGTAGCCATTATGAGAAGGCTGAAACATACCAGCCATATTCGAAGAATCTGTAGCTCAAGGGAGGTGAGCGGGAAGACGGAGTTTTGGCGAAGGCAATCCACATGTTTGCTCCCTCACAGAAAGAGCAGGAAATGCCAGGTGCCGCCCACATCTAACGTGTGGTTTGTAGCGTGCAAAAGTTGGAGGTTGAGAGTGAGGGTATTCAGAATGCGCGCCTGCGGAGTTTTGCAGCCAAAGAGCGTGACCCCGAGACCATGGAGGCTTATTCAACCCCGGCTTCGACCATTGGCCTCTCTCATTATTCCCTCATCGGGCTGGAGGACTCCAGAGTATTTTACAGTGTCCCAAGGACCACAGCAGGCCTTGCAGTCTCTCCTTGAACCCGTGGCGCAGGCCGAGATGCTTGAGCTCAACATCGACGGTCTGCCTTGATTATTTCCACGAGGCAATGGCGTTCACCAGGCACCTCGCTTGACAGTTGATCATGGACAGTGGAAGCAGAATCGACCACGCCGAACAGAATGGGGCCAATCCGGGGTCCCAACATGAGCCGTCAGGGATTCCAGGGTCTGGCAGAAGTTCTCCTCGTCACCTGGGCCAGCGGTTGTTCAACACCATCCACGATGGTCCTACTCGACAAACAACTCCGAGCGGCCTCCCAGGGGCGTCCTCCTCCGACATGCCCGCTGGAGGACGGCTCTTCCATCCCGACGCGTCTCTTGTCTTGATTGGAATTCGCGCATCCGGGAAGAGGTCTCTAGGTCTCATTGCTGCCACTGCTCTTGGGAGGAGATTCATTACCGAGGATCATTACTTCCAAAGCGTCAATGGACTTTCCAGACAAGACTATTTGAAAGCCCACGGAGCCGGCAAATTCCACGCGCAAGACATTGAGACTTCCAAGCGGATGCTGGAGGACAACAAGTATAGATGCGTTATTGAATGTGGGCTGGTGAGCCTCACCGGCAGCTTTCAAGACTACCTGAGGCGGTATTGCGAAACAAATCCCGTTGTATTCGTGCTTAGGGACATGGAGCAGATCAAGACGCTTTTGAATCTGGATGAGCGAACTACAAGACTGCTCGAACAAGGGAACCTGACACATCGGACCTGTTCCAATTTCGAGTTCTACAACCTTGAAGATCAGTCGGTCAAGGGACCTCTGGAGTCGGATCTGGCAGATCGGGCCTCGCCCAACTATTCGTTCAAGCTCAGGAATGCCCAAGCCGACTTCTCCTCCTTTGCACGATTCATTACTGGAGCCCACCCAGTGCAACCCAACTCCGATTCCCCGTTCTCCCTGGACATTCCTGTGGAGCTGCGAGCATATACTCACGCTCTTTTCGTGAGGCTCTCTGACTTTGGTGCTGAGAAAATCGATTTTGCTGCATTGGAATCCGCGGGTGATTTACTAGAAATACATGTCGATCATTGGAATTCCAGCACATCCAGAATGTTGAGCAAGATGATCGCTGTCGCCAGGCGAGCACTCAGGATTCCAATCCTACTCTCGGCAAGTCGGCAGCTCTCTGAGCCGTCAACGAGAGAAAACCACTTCCCAGTCATGATGCAAGGGCTACGGCTCGGTGTCGAGTATATGTCAGTGGATCTGGACTCCGAGGACAGCGCCATTGCAGCCGTCAGAGCTGGGAAGGGATACACAAAGCTCGTCGGCAATTATATCAACGAGGTCGCGGATGATGTTGGTTGGAGAGATGCTAAATGGAAGAACATGTACAACAGAGCCATCGCTTTGAGGTTCGATATGGTTCGGCTCCTAAACAATCCAACGTCACGCCATGACAACGAGGCCTGGAGCTGGTTTGTGGAGGAGCTGAAGAGTCTTCCCGAACCTAGACTGATCGCAATCACATTCAACACCGGCGGCCTTGAAGGCCGAACGTCGCAGATCATGAACCCTATACTCACTTCTGTGACCCATCCAGCTCTCCCTACAGCACGCGAAACATTCGACCGCCTCGGACCATTGCTCTCATCCAGAGAGGTCATTAATTCACTCTTCGACTGCTTCGTCTTCGATTCGCTCGATTTCTTCATTGTCGGAGCGAATGTGTCTGGGTCACTGTCGCCCGCCATGCACAATGCAGCATATGCTCTCCTTGGGTTGAAGCACCATTACAGCACCAGGAACATCAAGTCATGGGCAGACATTGAAGAACTTGCTCGAGACAATACCTTGGGCGGCTTGAGCATCGTACAACCATACAAGGTGAAGGTTGTCCCGAGGTTAGAATCACTCAGTGGCCATGCAAAGGCGATAGGAGCAGTCAACACGCTGATCCCCCTCCGAGCAAACTCGGCTGGTGTCGTGCCCTCATTGGAAGTGCAGGCGCAGGAACGGAATCGTGCAGGGCGCATTGTGGGATGGTTTGGAGAAAACACCGACTTCATTGGGATAATGAACTGTGTCCAGGGAAACCTTTCGCCCCGAAATGCCATTCAACCAAGGACTACAGCCCTGGTGATCGGCGCTGGTGGCATGGCGAGAGCCGCAGTATATGCCATGTTGCAGCTGGGTTGCAAACATATATTTGTGTACAACAGAACGGTCGAGAATACGAGAGCTATCGTCGGACACTTCAACCATTGGGCCAAGTCTCAGTCGAACGGGAACGCCGGTACATTTACTCCAGAACCGGTCGAGGTGCTGGAATCTACAACCGAACCGTGGGGTGCCGGTTTCCTTCTTCCAACTATCGTCGTGTCCTGTGTCACTCACGAGCTTCTCGACGGAAATCCAGGAGCGAGCTTTGAAATGCCAGAGTCCTGGATACAGTCACCGAGCGGAGGGGTCGTTGTCGAGATGGCTTACATGACGAGAGAAACGCCGTTGGTGAAGCAGATGAAGCGTTTCCGTGAGGCCACTGGGAGACCCTGGGTGATCGTTGACGGCATTGAAACACTGATAGAGCAGGCAGTTGCTCAATTTGAGTCGATGACAGGCAGAAAAGCACCAAAGTATTGCATGGCGGATGCTGTTCACGCCGCACTTGGTGAAAATATGTCGTATCTGGCGGACGGGGAGGAATTCTTCACATGACCACACCCCAGGGTGGATAAAGGTATCTTATGCATAAGGGTGGGAGCCAGAATAAAAGGCGGTTTCTCCAACACCTACTTCGATGGGCTTCCGGAGATCCAGCTCTCTACCGGGTATGGGATCTCATCTATGCCTTCCAACCCCGAATTGAGCACAAGATCAGTGTGCCGAGACCATTGCTTCTTGCACCGCCTTCCTCGCCACATCTCTCAACCTGTCGTCGATATCTCTTCCGGTCCATAGGCTGGCCTGAGCCAACCCTTGGCCGATCATGGCTTCAATCCCACCGATCACTTGCCAACCACACGCTGTAGCAAGCCTGGATATTTCAGTGTCAGGAGAAGGATGGTAACACATTTCCAACAGGGCGCCTTTGTCTCCTGATTCTAACAAAGCCGCCAGCACGTCTCGCGCCGTCTTCTCATCTTCGGTGACGGGTAAAAAGTCCGGCACAGCACTGACGATTGCGCGCGGAGGTGGCAGCTGTTCCGCTTGTTCTCTTGTTGAGACGTAATAAACCAGGTCGTCGTCCATTCCCTGAGCATGACATTCTCGCAGTACGGCTTCAACTTCCCCGACGTCCCGGTTGACTATATATACTGGCGAACAACCCATGAATTTCTGGAGTGTGTAGATGGCTGCTCTGCAGGTGCCACCTCCCCCTACCACCAGTCCAGGCTTTCCTCGATAGGACGAGCCCTTGACATTGGTGAAGAAGGCGTCACGGATGCCTACACAGTCAGTGTTCGTCCCGCAGTATATTCTTGACCCGTCTGCTGCAGTCTTGAAGAAGATGGTGTTGACGGCTCCGATGGCTTTGCTTTCGTTGGTGAGTTGGTCAAGATGAGGAATCACCGCGACTTTGAAGGGCATGGTGACACCACTGCCCATGCATTTCGGATCACTTTTGAGATATGCTAGAAAGCCCTCTAGGTCAGTTGTCTCGCAAAGACACTGGCCCCATGACTGGCCCATGGCCGAATATATTGCGTGGTGTAGCGACGGAGACTTGGAGTGGGCGATTGGATAGCCCACGAGATAAGCTGCACGCTCGAGGGAAGAAGTGTCTGGCGGCGAGAAGGCCATGGTCATGGTGATGAATGCCAAATCTCCAGAGTTGGTTGGTGTTGCGGTGGGCGTTGGGTCATGGATTGATACATACCTCTGGGTCGACTTCTAACCTTCTCTACAATCTGAGTTTGCCCAACCCCTCAATCCTCAGACTCGTGCCGATGCACCGGCAACGGATCGAACCAGCATTCCCGGTCCGACACTTCACAGTGGAATATTACTCTCCAGCTCCAGCTCAGCCCTTGGTGGCGCGAGTGGGAAAGTCCTCTTCCGCCGAGATCACGAGCACAGAAAGCTCTTTCATTCCTTACTGGTTCTCGGTGGAGATCTGACAAGGATCATGCGGTCGCCACGCTGCCACCTCCTCCCGGCAATTGATGAATAGCCGACACCCTCGACTCATGCATCATGCCTGAGGTTTGTGGGGAACCGGGGAAGTTCTTCGGCTTGGTAGCAGAGATCTGGGCCCAGGTCCGGGGTATTGTATAGCTCCCGCATCTCAACATGCAGTCTCTTGGTTGGACTACTTAAAGCTCTAAAGCTCTGTTCATCCCTCTCTTTTCCTTACAGGCTCCTATCACGATATCGGTGTCTCGACTCCATTCCAGATCTTCAAGATGGGACTCCTCCATCTCGTTGAAGATCGTCCCACGCCGAAATGTGTTTATAATTGGCGAGTTTACTTTTCGGCCGCAGTTGCTGGCTCTGCCGCCATGATGATCGGCTACGACAGTGCATTTATCGGCGGCACTTTGGCATTGAAGTCATTTCGGGACGAATTCAAGTTCGACGACCTGTCCAAGTCCCAGGTCAACCTTCTGAGCGCCAACATCGTCTCCTGCTACCAAGCAGGTGCCTTCTTCGGAGCCTTCTTCGCCTACCCCGCCGGTCATTACCTGGGTCGGCGATGGGGTCTGGTCATTTTCAGTGCCCTCTTCACTCTCGGTGCTGGCTTGATGTTGGGAGCCACTGGGGCTCGTGGTCTCGGCTTCATCTATGCCGGCCGGGTCCTGGCCGGTATTGGGGTTGGAGCTGCTTCCAACTTGTCTCCTATTTACTGCTCCGAGATTGCGCCTCCAGCCATCAGAGGCCGTCTCGTTGGGCTTTACGAAATGGTATGTGCTATGGTCCACGCTTACGCCCCAGATCGAGACTGAGACTCCAAGACTAACTCCTCCATTTGTTGCAGTCATGGCAAATCGGTGGCCTCGTCGGATTCTGGATCAACTACGGTGTTTCCGAGACAATGACTCCTTCTCACAGGCAATGGCTCATCCCGTTTTCCATTCAACTGATCCCAGCTGGTCTTCTTTTCGCCGGAGCTCTAATAATCAAGGAATCCCCCCGATGGCTCTTCTCCCGAGGTCGTCGTGAACAAGGGATAGCGAATCTCTGCTGGCTCCGCCAACTTCCCGTCGATCACATCTACATGCAAGAGGAAGTCTATGCTATTGACCGCGCCATTGAACATCAACAATCCACCATCGGCCTCGGGTTTTGGCAACCTTTCCGAGCGGTGTATCGGGATCGCAAGGTCACCTACCGCTTCCTCCTCGGCGGCTCTCTCTTTCTGTGGCAGAATGCAACGGGGATCAACGCCATCAACTACTACAGCCCGACAGTGTTCAAGAGTATCGGCGTCACCGGCACAAACACGTCCCTGTTGACGACGGGCATCTTCGGCGTGATCAAGACCGTCGTCACCCTGTTCTGGCTTTTCATCCTGATTGACAAGCTGGGTCGGCGCGCCTTGCTCATGTACGGCGCGGTGGCGGGATCGTTGTGCATGTGGTATATTGGCGGGTACATTGCCGTGGCTCGGCCGGCCGACCATCCTAGTGACACGTTGTCGTCGGGAGGCATCAGCGCGATGGCATTCTTTTATCTCTGGACTGCGGCATATACGCCGTCATGGAACGGAACTCCCTGGGTGCTCAACTCGGAAATGTTTGACCAGAACGTGCGGACACTAGCTCAAGCGTTTGCCGCGGCCAACAACTGGTTCTGGGTAAGTTTTGTCCACTGTTTACTCTGCTGCTTTCCACTGTTTACTCTGTTGGTCTTATCCTGTCGTCGGTTGTGTTTACTCTGTTGGTCTTGACCATCCTGTCGTCGGTTGTGTTTCCACTCTGTTCGTCTTGACCATCCTGTCGTCGGTTGTGTTTCCACTCTTCGTCTTCACCATTGCTGACGGATTTCTCGTGTACTTCACAATTGCTGATTGCTGACGGACTTCTCGTGTAGAACTTCATCATCGCCCGTTTCACACCCCAAATGTTCGCCGCCATGTCATACGGAGTTTACTTCTTCTTCGCCTCGCTCATGCTCTGCGCCGCCGTCTACGTCTTCTTCCTGGTGCCTGAGACCAAAGGGATCCCCTTGGAAGCGATGGATCGGCTCTTCAGCCGGGACGTAGCGGCCAGACGCGCACACAAGGTCGTGCTGGCCGATCTTCGATTCGAGGACCGAGAGTTTCGCCGCCAGTCGGTGGATGAGAAGGGCGCCGTTGTGGAGACGGGGGTGGTGACCAGTGTGGGGTCTGCTATGCATCTCGAGAGGGTTTGAGCATTCGGCTGCACAGCACTGGCGATTGCCCGCGGAGGTGGCAGCTGTTCAGCTTATTCTCTTGTTGAGACGTAATAAACCAGGTCGTCGTCTATTCCCTAGGCATGACATTAGTATGGTGGCATGAATATTGGTGCTTCTTGGATATGGTGGCATGAATATCGGTGGCATCTTGGATATGGAAGGATAGTTATTCTTGTTAGATGGAAGAGTGTATCGGGCTCGACATTGACATTGATGTTACAAGCCGGTAGGGCAGGTATATATACCTACCTTGTATATACCTACCTTGTATATACCTACCTTGTATATACCTACCTTGTATATACCTACCTTGTATATACCTACCTTGTATATACCTACCTTGTATATACCTACCTTGTATATACCTACCTTGTATATCCTACCTTGTATATACCTACCTGGTCAAACCCAGGCACTAACTTCAGGCCTAAAGTGCATTCCCAGCCTTGCCCATTAACCAGAAGGCTGGTATAGGCAGTGGGCATAGTCTGGGCTCCCCCCTACCATACCCCTTTGATAGCGAAGGATGGAACATTTCAACCTTGACATACCTAAGGTATAAGCTACATATCCCACGCCAAACGAAGGGTGTTCCAGGTCCAGTTCCAGGTCCAGTTCCAGATCCGTTTCATTTCCCATTACAATTCCCATTCTTTGCCATTGCATTGCCATTCGAAGTTCAATTTCAAATTTTTGAGATCAGATGCGATGCGATAAAATGAGATTCTATAGTACCATGACCATGATCAATCATTTATAGGCCATCCCCCCCCTCCCCCTCCTCATCCCACTTTTGGACACAAAACTGCAATGCCGCCTGATACCCAAAGACACCCAGACCGACGACCACGCCGACCGCCTTGTCGCTGAAATAGCTGTGGTGGCGCCAGGGTTCGCGGGCGTGCACGTTGGAAATATGGACTTCGACGAAAGGGAAATTCGTGCCCAACAGGGCGTCGCGGATGGCTACGGAGGTGTGTGTGTAGGCGGCGGGGTTGATGATGACGGCGATTTTGGGTTTGGAATTGGCTGTGGAGGGGGAGTTGGTTGTGGTAGGGGAATTGGTCGTGGAAGTAGAATCGCCCGTGGAAGTGGAATTGGTCGTGGAAGACTTTGGGTGCGTTGGGTCAGTTGGTATTGTTGTTGATGTTGCAGTTGGTATTGCTGTTGGTATTGATGTTGCTGCTGGGATTGATGTTGGTGTTGGGATTGATGTTGATGTTGGTATTGCTGTTGATGTTGGTATTGATGTTGCTATCGCTGTTGGTATTGCCGTTGATGTTGGTATTGTTGTTGCTGTTGATATCCCCCCCACGAAATGCTCATGCAAAAAATCCACAATCGCCCCCTCGTGGTTCGACTGGAACGGCACGACCGTGACGCCGAGCTCGTTCCCCCGCTGCACCGTCTTGTCGACCACCTGCGCCAGCGTCGTCGAGCCGTAGAGATGTGGTTCGCGGTGGCCGAGGAGATTGAGGTTCGGTCCGTTGATTAAGAGGATTTTGCGGGGGGTCTTGGGATTGCGAGGTTGAGGCTGAGAGTCGGACGACATGACTACGAGGAAGAGTAGATCGTAGATAGAAGATAGTAGATCGTAGCTGGTTACTAGTTACTCGGTTGGGTACTAGAGTCTCTCGTCTCCTGTCTCTCGCCGATTCACTGCAGTTCAAGGATCAAGAATCAAGAACAGGTCACAGCCCAGCCCGACTCGATTAAGATCGAAGTTAGATCGTGACACGAGGATAGTGAGTAGTGAGTAGTGAGTAGTGAGTAGTGAGTGAGGGTAGTGGTAGTAAGTGGTAGGAAGTACAGTATCTATCTGGACGAAGTTCTGTACTGTCTGCTGTCTGTCCAGTGTCGCTCTCACTCACTCTCACTGTCGCAGGCCAAACCTATACAGACTCAGATCCGTCCCTAATGGAGTACTTACTGTATGGATACTAGTATCTATGGTGGTGGCCGACCTGCTGACTACGTACCTAATTAGTATGCTATGCATATGCATATACATATACATATATCCTAGGATATGATTTGCCAGCCGAGTTGCCGACAGTCAAAGTATGTACTCGGTAGTGTAGTGTAGTGTAATGTAGTAATAACTACGGATTGTCGGATCCTGGTGGTGGCGATGGTTTAGGCTTCATCTCCATCTCCATCCATCTCCACCATCGGATAAAGACTCTGCCGCCACGTCAAGTATGAACCCTGACCCTAACCCTAACTCCACCGAAGGTAGGTAGGATGGGATCAAACTTCAGCTACAGTTACAGTTACAGTTACTGTCGTCGAACTCAACCACTGCCGGATACTAATCTACTGTAATTACTACAATCTACTGCTCTACGTACAGTGTACAGTGTACAGTGCGGATACTCTGGATGTGGATGTGGATGTGTATGCAGTGCTACTGAGGCTGTATCCATCCACCATACCAGACACCAGACACCAGACACCAGACACCAGACACCAGACACCACACCACACCACACCACACCACACCACACTACACCACACCACTGCACACCACTGTACAGTCCTGCACGGCGCGGCATCACATCACGGAAATACAGCACGGCACTACACAAACAGCACGGCACGGCCCTACACCGGATATACACTATACACTACACTACACACACTACACTACAGTATCCGTACAGTAGACAATGCCGCCTCCGCCTCCACCTCCACCTCCGCCTCACCCACGTCGGGAAGACCTAAGGCTGGATAAGGAGGAGGAGAAGAAGAAGAAGGAAGAGGAGATTCCAGACGCCGAATTCGATCTAGATCTCGCCGACATCTACTCGTTCGCCATTCAACTGGGCCGAGACGCCGGAGCCCTTCTGCTCGACAGCCTGCATAGGCGACGACGAGATGGGAGTGAAGATGAAGCGGACGGCGATGGCGACGGCGAGCTGGACTTGGAGGAGAAGATGAATGCTGTCGATATTGTCACCGAGACGGATCGCGGTAGGGGTTCCCCAAACCATCCATTTCATTGCCATTCATTTCATTGCCAGCATCGGTTAATCCTGCCTTATCTTGCTCTTGCTCTTCATCATGATCTCCTGCCTGCTATTGCTCATCATAATCTCCTGCCTGATCTTGCTCTTGCTCTTGCTCTTGCTTTTAATCATCAGACCAGACCAGACCAGATACAGATACATAGGTATTTATGAACCCCCACTAACTCCCCCCAGAAGTCGAAGACTTCATCCACTCGGCCATCGCCAACCGCTACCCCTCGCACGCCTTCATCGGCGAAGAGACCTACTCCAAAGGCTCGTCGAAAGATTACCTCGTCAGCAACGCGCCCACCTGGATCGTCGACCCTCTCGACGGCACCGTCAACTTCACTCACTCGTTTGTCATGTTCTGCGTCAGCATCGCCCTTGTCGTCAACCAGAAACCCGTGATCGGGGTCATCTACGCCCCACTACTGAACCAGCTGTTCTCCGCCTGCAAGGGCAAGGGCGCCTGGTTGAACGAGACCACGAGGCTGCCGTTGCTGGGCAAGGTCGGTGTGGGGCCCATCCCGCGAAATGCCCCCTCGAAATGTGTCTTCGCCTGCGAGTGGGGGAAAGACAGGAAAGATCGGCCCGACGGGAACCTGAGCCGGAAAGTAGACAGCTTTGTCAACATGGCCGCCGAAATTGGCGCCAGAGACGGCAAGGGAGGTATGGTCCACGGCGTCAGGAGTCTGGGCAGCGCCACCATGGACCTGGCCTACACTGCCATGGGCGCCTTCGATATCTGGTGGGAAGGTGGCTGTTGGGAATGGGACGTCGCCGCCGGGATCTGTCTGGTGCAGGAGGCTGGTGGCTTGGTCACGACGGCGAACCCGCCCGACGATTGGGAAAGTGCTGCGATTGAGGATGCCAAGTTAGGTGGCCGCTTGTATCTCGCTGTTCGACCCGCTTGTGGTGGCCCGGGAGAAACGGCCAGAGAAGGGCAAGAGAGACTGATCAGAGAGGTCTGGAGAAGAGTGCGGCGTTTGGATTATCCTAGACCTGGAGCTTAGGGGTTGTTTATCTCTATCCAGTCCGTCCAACAGATCTGGGTTGTTCTTGAATTTGATCGCGGGAGCGTGGCCGTAACCGGACCAGAGCGAGCAGAGAGAATCTCAAGAAGCCCTCGCCAGCGCGTAGCTTGGTCAGAGCCGTGGGCCGGAATCTTCTAATGAACCGGGGGCGTCGCAAGACAGGGCATGTAAACTAGAGTGAATGGTCAATGAGTTGCTCTTCATCTTCACAGTAGGGATGTGAAGAATCGAGGGGATCAGGCTTACCGATGGCCATCCTCCGCGGTTTGTTCGCTCGCCTCAAACTCGGACGTTCCATTCCATCCCATGTGCTCTTCTAATTTCTTCCATGCCACAGCCCCGCGTTGCGCATGCTTGTCGGGCACTTCCCTGCCCGCCTCATTGGCTGTCCGCGAGAATAGTTCGAACGAAATATACCCTGAATATCCAGCCTTACAGACCACCTTCAGGATCTCCAACACCGGTAGATAGCCTGTCTTCTCAAAAGGAAATAGTCGCGCATTCCTGGACCAAGACATACGCACCGGCTGTTCGGGATCGTACCATTCGTGTCCCGGTAGAAGTGGCTTATCAAGTCTCTCACCGTCGCAGACTTCGACGTAGAAGACTTTGCCTATGGCACGGGGCAGCTCTGCCCGCAGCTTGGAAATCGATCGTTGCAAGTCATCCCAGGCATGTGGCACCAGGCCCGAAGGCGAGGAGGGGTCAGCGAACACCCGTCCAGCAAGATTGAATGTGTCGATACAAGTGCCAAAGTTGGGTCGGCCGACTTCCAAAACAATTGACCATGCAGCATCCCAAGTGTCAATATGCGTTCCCCAGCAAAGCGCTTCGTATGCGAATCGTATGGGAGGACTCGCATCAAGACCAATGTCGGCAACCTGTCTCAGATCCGCCACGATCCTGGTGCGGTCCCCCGTGCAATAGGAGGACGGCAGGAAGTTGGAGGGGATTTGTATGAGATCGGTTCCCAGGCGATGGGCGAGTCGGATCCAAAAGTGAAGGTTCTGAATGGCGGTTTGGTGTGATACAGGGTCAAGGCGACCTTCATAGTGCATAAACGGTTGAAGACATAAGATTGCCAGTTTGTGGTCGGCGCACAATCCATGGATGTAGTCAGCAGCGGCCAACTGTCGTTCTTGCTCATCCGTGGAGCCAGGAAAGGATGTTCCTGACGGCGAAGGAGGACAAGAAACAGGGAGAGCGTTGGCGATGGCCTCGAGGTCTTCGAAAAACAACTCTATCGCTTTGAACCCGTATTTCTCGCATAAGTCGAGCCTGTGTTCAAGGCTCTGGTGCCAGGCTCGGCCTAGGGACTGAGACGCAATGGCTGGGATAAATCTAGGAGACATGACGGAAAAGGTCAATCTGAAAACGATCGAAGTTATGATCACAATCACCGATTGACCATTCTTTTCTGCCAAACTGTAGGCAGAGTAAGATGACAGTCGAGGCATATAACACCGTCAGTGCCCCATTCTGTGTGTATTTGCCGACTTATCTTTAGGCCTGTTCTTCTAGTGAAACCAGATCAACTGCAATCTATTACAGTGAAGCGCGGGTTGTCCGCCCCATCATAGTGCTGTACCATGCATGGCACGGCACAGGGCGGACGAAGTGTTCCAGGAGGATGGTCGAGACTGGACCCTGCAGCACCCCGAGTATGCCAGTTGACGTGTTGACGTGCCAGGCATGTGCAAGCGAAAGGTCTCGACTCCAACCTCGCCGGAATAATCTTTCGCCGTCGAGAACGGGAGAAGCCCACTCAAGAAGCCTGAGGAGCCTAAGCCATCCTGATGGCCTGGATGGCTGCTGTTACCGATGAGGTTGCCGGGCTCCATAGACGACGGAGGACTTCACGATGCAGAAACTGGAACGTAATCCCAATGAAAGGCCGTCATATTCCCATATTTCCTGGGGCCTGGGAACTCGCTGTAGTGGTCTTGAACCGCCCGTCCGCCTCTGCCTCTGCCGCGTTCGAATCCTGCCATTCCACCCATCGTGGACGCACGGCTTTCCGAGTAGGGAGCAGCAGCCTTCAGGAAAGTCCCCGATACTCTACTGTGCGTCCAGAGTGTATTGACATGATACTGCTGCGCCGTGGCTGTCGCCAGGTAGACGGAAGAAGGAAGAATCAAGCAGGCTGTTGGGGGACGGACTTAAGGACGACGCCTGCGGAGACAAGCTGCTTTGGCTGGTACTGTACTCCGAACTCGACTCATTTTCATCGGTGCGAACCCTTTGCTGCGTAGTTGTGCCATTTCCCCTTCTCTTCTAGTCGATTTCCTTTGTCTCTGTATTCGATGCCCTGTTTGCCGCTGTGATGCGAAATGAGCAGCTCTGGCGCCCAACTATGGACATGCACGCGCTGTCTTCGAGCCCAGCGGCTGCGGGGTGTCGCCACGCTCCCTCCCTCAAGAGCCACTGAACCTCGTCGCCCACTCAGCACCACACCACTCGTTCAGGAGGAGGAGAAGAAGCCGTCGGAGTCGAAGGCCGGGCAAGAAGATGGACAAGAGCAGGGAGCCATGTCTCGCAGGCTGGCCGAGATGGCGGAGGAGACAATCGATACAGGCAGCAGGAGTGATCACAAGTTAATGCAAGACGTCGGCTTCTCAGACGAATTGAAGAAGCAGCTGGAAGAGAGGATTGCCCAAACAAGGTTTGCTGCAGAAAACCAGAGAGCCGCGAGCGTGGTCAACCTTCCGGTACGAGAGCCCTAGACCTAGATTTGCTCGGTGGGATGGATTGATTGATGGCAAACACTTGTGCAATTTGTTCCATGTTGCTGACTGACCAGACAGAGTTCGGCCGGGAGAGGTACCCAGGATATAGCAGGCGCAGAGCCGTGGAAGGGATCCGAATCCCTCCACGACTCGGCTCTACGGATGCTGGACGATAGCCACAAGAGACTGCGGTCGCCATACCGAATCCCATCGATCACGCAGAAAGTCGACCTGCGACCAGCACTCAAAAAGAACATCTCTGCTGCAGACCGGCTGGCCAACGCGCGAGACAAGACGTCCATCTATGCGCTCAGCCAACAGCAAGAGCACGCCATGAGTGACGAAGAGCGGGAGAAGTGGCGCAAAGAACTCAAGGAACGGTTCTCGCCGGGGGCCCGACCCATGCCCACCACAATGCAAGGGCTGGCGAGCCTGGCCAACGAGCGGATTGAAGACGCCATTGCGAGAGGCCAATTCAAGAACATCCCTCGAGGCAAAGGTACGAATGTCGAACGGGACTACAACGCCAACAGCCCGTTCCTGGACACCACCGAGTATTTCATGAACAAGATCATCCAGAGGCAGGAGATTGTGCCTCCGTGGATCGAGAAACAGCAGGACCTGGTCAAGGCGGCGGCGAATTTCCGAGGTAGACTGCGCAACGATTGGCGCCGGCATGCCGCCAGGATGATTGCAAGTACCGGCGGCAGCGTGGAGGATCAGGTGCGTCGAGCGAAAGGGTATGCGCTGGCCGAAGAAAGAGTCAACCCGCGAGCCCGCAAGGTGGAGAGTCTGAGTTCCATTTCCAGCGACGGTCGCATCACGAGCATCACACTCGAGGAGCGCATCGCTGCAGGCGTACCTGCCGAGCGGCAGGAGACGGTGGAGATCGATGTGACCGAAACTTCTGCCGAAAGCACAACATCTCTTGCGGACAGGAGTAGTAATGCTGCAGTGGCGGCGGCGACACCGACTCCATCGCCCATCAACGAAGCATTTACGATCACAACAACCGCTGAAGAGACATCTACGAACACAGCCACGACGGCACCCACGGCTGTAGAGGATTTTCCGTCCACAGTTCCTTCTATAGAGACATCGATGGCTGATCCTCCGTCATCTTCATCTTCATCTGCATCTACCTCCTCACCACCAACATCACCATCATCCCAAGAACGCCAAACGCAACCGCCGCCACCACCGCCAGTATTGCCCATGGCCCACCCGTTCCGCGACCCAGCTTGGGAAAAGACCGAACTGGCATACCAGACGCTGGCGGTACAAGAACTCAACGCCCTGACCCGGTCGTACAACTTGATGGCGCCCAAGCTCGCGCAGAAGCCGTACTTCACGCTGCAGCGCGAGCTGGACCGGTGTTTCGCCGACGTGGCGCCCACGCTAGCCGACGAGATTCTAGAGCGCAGCCGCAAACCCGCGGGCAAACCGGCCGTCCTGCCGCATCACGAAGGCGGCGTCTTGGAGCGCTTCGGCCAAGGCATCGGCGCACAGAAATACAGGGGCCACGAAGGCCGGATCAAAGACGAGGTCGAAGGCAAGGGCTACGGCTTTCGGGAGTTCTGGCGGGATTTGTTTGGCTCAACCACCAGTTCCAGTTCTAGCTCCCGTTCTCGTTCCAGCTCTAACCCGGGAGACCGAAGGGGCCGCGAGAAGGGTGTTGCATGAGCCGACGCGCAAACCGAACCTAGAGGCTGCTGCCCAGCCCTATCCATGTTTCGCTCGCTCTCTTGAGCTTCTTGCGCCCGGCAGTGTCATGCAGTGTCATGGGTGGATGTGAAGGCCTAATGCCTCCTGAGCCTAAGCTTGCCTTGCTTGAGACACAGCTGAGATGGCGCGATGGCAAGCAAAATTGTATAAATATCTATATCTATAATGAACTAGAACGACATACGTGACACGAAGCATCGGGGATTGTAAAATATATAGAAAGGGTTTAGTTTACTCCGTACATAGACTTAAAAAGGGTTTAGTTTACATCTTACAGACTTGGACAAGGTAACAAACGAGACACAGACACAGACACACATGGTATTCAGGCTCTATCACTATCATAATGCATCTAAGCTGATGAACGTGCTAATCCGGACTGTTCCACCCACCCAGGAGACTTGACTACCTTGATCAATTCTTTTTCTTCTCAGATACTGATGATGCCGACTGCTGTCAAGGCGCAATCGCATTCGCAATCGCAATCGCAATCCTCCTCCCTCGATGCTGTGTCCCGCATGTACCTTGACACAAGCTGCTTGACATGTTCAGCACTCGCACACGCACACGCCCAAAGTCCTCGACTCGACAATGGATATTTGCTTCTTCTCGCCTCTCGAGTTGTGACAGTCGGTTCCGATTCTGTCCACCGTCCACAGCCCACCGCCCACCGCCCCTCGCTCGCCGCCGAGCCAAGTCACTCAAACGTCATGAAACCTATCTGCTTCATGGGACGGAACAACAGCATAGCATCATCTGCGCAAGAGAGCCGAGGACTCATCCAGTCTGTGCTCACACGACATTCTGTTCTCCGACAACTTGCAACCGTCGCAGACACACGAGTCATAATCATTCAGCGTTGACTGGGCGCTGGCGTCTTGAGGACTAAGGGTGTTGCTGGACACGTCGGAGATCGGTCGAGCAGTCCCTGCCCTTTCCAGATCATCGTGGCGTTTTGCCATCTTCCACACCAGCCTCAGATGTATCATGATGATGCACAGGACGATGACAATGAACAGGCCTATGGCGGCACCCTTGAAGCCATCGGGAATATCGAACCTGGACGACTTCGCAAGACTCTCGGTGGGAAGAGGGGAGGCTTCATGGCTTTCGAACCTGCGGTTGATCAATGTCGGAGTTGGTGTCAGGGTTGGTGCCGCGGTTGGTGCCATGGTTGCTGGAAGACCAGTTTCGCGAACGCTGTGCCGGTGAGAGCTCAAGTCGGTCGGAAGGGCCGTGGTAGGGCGAACAACGCGGGGCATCTTGGAATATGGTCAAGTTGGATGTCGTGGCTTGTGTGGGTGTGTTTGATAAGGTGAAATTTGGAAAGTAAAGATAGGTGTGGAGGAGGTTGGCCCTTCAGGCAAAGTAGTAGTAGTGCAATGATCGATGTCGGGCAACTGGGCAGTGGTCTGAAGCCGAGTTGCTCCCTCAGAAGAAACAGAGTGACACGAGAGATAGAGATAGACGCAGAGCATCCTTTTGAAGGATTTCTGATGAGGACCTTGGTGGAGAGTGTGGGACATTTTAATGGCAAGACGAAAAGTATGCACTCATTCATGAAGCCAGTTCAGATGAGGACCATCCGAATTATGGTTCAGAGACGGCACTAACCTCGGGCAAAGCCATGTGCTCTCGGAGACTACTGGCTCTGAAGCGCTGAACGTGGGTCGTATGGATCAGATGTCCGGAGGCAGCGTTATGGGAGAGTGCTTAAAGTGGACAGTGGCATGGTTCTTTGCAGCGGCTTCTGGGCCAGGCAGACATTTTCAGGTAGAGCCGAAATGTAACTGGATCTGCATCTGGATCTGGTGCCCGGCGCAGATCCTCACCAAGACTGACTGGTTCTGCGGCGTTGGAGCACCTGCCCTTCAGGGATTGCCAGTCCGTCTAACAGATCTGGGTTGTTCTTAAATTCTGGGCTGTTGATGACATCCTGAGCTTTGGACATGTTTCGTTCTATAATGATTTCAGGAACCTTGTCGTTGTATATGGCATCTGGTGCGAGCCCCGGCAAGCCTACCCCCGGACTGCCAAAGACTTTGGCAAGGTATCTCATCAGGCTGGTGAGTGCTCTCTGTTTGCTCGTGTCGTCGGAATCTTTGGTGTTCTCCAAGGTCGTAGAGATGATGGCAGGCATGTAATAAGGAAGAACGGCAGTTTCATCGACATTCCCATCTACATTCAGACCGGCGACGAGCTGTTCCTTGTTCCGCTTGTCCAGCGCTTGAAAGGCTTTGGAAAACAGTTCGGCTTGCTCAAGGTCGGCAGTGCGGCCCATGGTGAGTAACCTCAGCAGTGCGCGGTCTTCCTTGTCGCTGACACTAAGCCGCCGGAAGCCTTTAATGGAAAGCATATTTCCGCGCTTCGTCAACACTTTATCATAGCCTTCCCGCAGGTTCGATCGGCCGGCTATGATGTCGAGGGAAACTTCGTGGACGGTTTTGAACGCTTGGAAAACAGGCTCGATCATGTTTCTGGCGCCGGTGGAATCAATATGTCCAGCTGCGCCGGAAACATCGAGAATCTGCTCCATGAATTTCAGCTCGAACGCATGTTCGTGACCTCTCATGTCCAGAAGCCCTTCTAGGTTGACCGGGACACTTTCGGCTTGTGCTAGTTGGCCGGCGTTGAGATCCGAACCGAGGTCCAGTCCCAACATCACCTCCTCTCGCTTCTCGGGACTAAGATAGTCCAGGGCAGGAATCATGCCAGCTTTGGCGGCCTCCAGCAGCAGACTGTCATGATTCTTGCTCCGTAACCGATGGCGGGTTGTATGAAAATAGTCCTCCTCCAAATTGGGATCTTTCCCCAGGTCGTTGATGACCATGGACAGGACCAGAGCGAACAAGTCCTCTTGACACTGGAGACCGTCTGTGAATAATTGGCGCAGCCATTCGAATGATTCTTTGGTCAGCCGATACTCGGCCTGCTGGCCAGAAGTGAATCGTTCATAGTCGTCATTGTGAATCCAGCGGAGCGCCAGAATACCCACCAGCGTTCGGTTAATTTCGTCGTAGTTGATCCCGTAGAGAATCTGTGAGGGCGTCGGTCTGTCCGCCGTGCCATTGGCCTCACGTTGCCGGGTGGTGCCTTCAACTGCTCCTGCAGACTTCAGACGATCCAGCTCTGGTTGGAAAGCTTCTCTGATCTGGACGAGGCACTCGGTCTCATCCAAGGTGTAGAATTGGTCGAGACGGATGGTCTCCTGCAGAGAGCACCAAGGCTGAGGATTAGGCGTCATCTGGAGTTTCGATCGAATATCATAACGCGGGTAATCTTCCTTTCGCAACCATATTTTCCGATTAAAAGCATGATCAAGGTGACGGTTTGCTGGCAAGGTGACACAATGATGACTCCTCCAAACAGAGTCAGAGGTACAAACGCGCCTTTAGTTTGAAGCAGGATTTGCTATGGCGGTGAAAACCGACGTTTCATGCACTGTGGCTGTGCAGAATGCAGTGAAGCTGCAGCGGATTCCCTCACTTCCTCAACCCAGCATTGCACGCTTTCAATGCGCGGCAGCGAGGATGAAGAAGGTTGAAGAGCGGAAAGCTCCCCGCCAGAAGAGTGAGGGGAGTCAGGCTGACTCGAGGCTTCTTCTCACAGAAGCAAGGCGCAGTTCTTTCTGCGCGGTTGGAAGGAGGACAATGAGACGGCCAAGCTGGATGTAAGATGCAGCTAGCAACTAGCAATGCCCCATCACGTGACCTATGGGCTCTGGTCTGTTCACGTGATAGGCTCCGTGGTACGGAGATTGCAGGTGGGTGCGGCGCAGCTAGCAGAACCGCCTAACCGCCACCAACTTGACTTCATCCTTCAAATTCACGTCTCACTCCTCTAAAACTGGGATCCTTCCTTTCCTTTTGCATCACGAATCTGCCCTTCACGCAGCTCTGGACAACTAACCTCAAATACTGGGTAATCACAATCATTCTGGTGAATACAAATGCTTTCTTTTTGACCAGGTCTGGCCACCACCTCTCACAGCTACGTCCATCCTCTGCATTCCGGCTTCCACCAAGTACCTAACAGTTACCTATGTAAGAGGATGAAGATGGATATTCATAGCGATGCGTAGGCGGGATAGGATCTTAGAGCTCTCATGAAGGGGCGACCGTTGCAACAGTACTAACACCTCAATCCTGGGCGGTCACCCACCACCCATACACACTCTTTTGAAGGTGAAGAACATGCAGCAAAGTGAGCTCTATGAATAGAAGAACATGCAGCAAAGCGACCTCTATGAATAAATCTTCATTATGGATGGGCTCACCATACCTAAGCGTACTTGTTAAAAGGCTTCAAGATATGCTACAGTTATGGCCTCCGGGACAACTTCCATCATCATGGTGGCCACCTGTGAATGTTGAGCAGTGAATTTCTGGTGAGTGAATGGTAATGCACACTATTCCATGCTGCTGCAGTGAATGAGTTGCTTGGCTCAGCAGCTGTCGCACATATAAAAATGCACATCGACTGCGCGATGTTTTCGCGACGCTTTTCATCTTCGCACTTTGCTTGTTTCGTCGCGTTTCCATACCATCTTTCATCATCACGCCGGCGCCATGTCGACCACTGGAAACAATCAGCCTGCACGACAGGGCGCCCGTCGTTCCTTGGCAAGCCTTTTTTCTCAAGTTGGCTCGGCGTCTACGTCTAGTTCACGACGCCCAACTACTACCAATCTTGACAATCCCATCAACCCTGCCCCCCGTGTCCGAGGCCAAGAGACATACAACCGTACATCCACCGGTCCTCGGGATCGTGGTCTGGGCTTCTCAACCTTCAACAGACCAACTTCAGGTCCTACAGCGCCGTCTGTGCCCAGCTGGATTAGGGAGCGCGATAGGAGAATGGCCGAAGACCCGTCCGCTTTCCCGAAAGGGTTCCCTTTTGCGAGGAAGCGCAAGGGCCGTGTAGATGAGAGCGAGAGCGAGAGCGGGAGTGAGAGCGAGAGCGAGAGTGACGACGACGGCGACAACGAGAGCGACGACGACAATGTCGGTGATGATGTGTAAGTGCTTTTCGTTTGCTCTACAGTCGATCTGCTAACACCGATCTAGCGGTCCAAGTTCCAGCCAGGGCAAGCCTCGGAGAAAGGCAACCCACTATGGCGCTCCGCCATTGCCGTCGGCCAGCAAGAAGAGGAAGCGCAACAAGGCTGCTTCTCCGGAGGAGGAAAAATTCACCGACAGAGCCTTCCCAGAGGCTCCAGATCAGGCCGACGAGGCTGATCAGATGCTGTACAAAATGGGAGGCAGGCTGGAGAGGAACTGGGACGAGATCGAGAAAAAGTGGGAGGAGATGACTGGAGAAGCACCCGGAACGGGAACCAACGTGAACCTCACGGCACGGTTCTTGTGGACAATCAAGCTCTACGCTTATAATGGCGTCCTCGACGTGAGTATCCGCGATGACTTTGCGTTATCAACCTACTGACTGTGTGCAAGCTCCCAGACGAAATCATCCTGAGCTACCCGCCGTATTTCCACGAATTGATCGACATCAACAAAATAGCCAAACAGGACAAGTTGATCGCACGCCTCAAAGAAGAGGTTGAGAAGGAGCGGGAGGTCTCTCTGTGGAGGGAAATCGCCCGACGATACCAAGCTGCGACCCAAGATGGACTCTCTGCAGCTACCCTGCGTAGGTACTGGTATGAGGCCCAAGACAAGGATGTTCCTCTGGAAAAACGGGCTCCAGCACAAGCCGGCGAGGATGACGAGGAGACCGACCAGAGCGGCCTGGTGGACATAGATCCGAAGGAGCTAGAGGAGGCACGCAGAAAGGTAGCCGAGGCCGTGCAGGCGCAAGAGAAGGGACCGTTGGTTTCTTACGAGAGCGACAGCGACTAGATGAGTCAGCTGCATAGCGTGGGTACCGCGAGTCGGACACGATGAGTTGAGAGCCGCTGGCCTCTCCCCAATGAATGTCGGTTGTATCAGGATTCAGGCCGTTTGACGGCAGTTTCTTTTGCGTGCTTTTGTTCATGAACGCCGTGCGGAATGTCACTAAAGTGCCAGACACCAGTTGATGAAGCCATCATCTTGCCTCTTCCACGCCAATATACTTCGTTCTTCCACAGTCGAGTCTTGACCGTAGGACCAAACAACTGCCATTGCCACGATAAATCCCTATACGGCCTCCGCAATGGCTCGGACGGTGTCCCTTGCCCTCATTTCAAGATGAAGGGCGTATTCATGCTCGTTGGCGTCAGGGTGATCCGTCGCGTTACCCGCCGCAAGAAAGCCTTCCACGATGTTGGTATAGCGCTTCCCCATGGTGGCCTCCAGGGAGACCATGATGCCCCTTCCACTGGCGCCTGCAGCCAACGAGAATTCCTGAGTGGCCATGTTCACGTTCACATTTTTGGGGTGATCCGGTAGGTGAGAGCACAAGAGCTCGTGCTTGAGCTCCATAAGATCCAGCGATGGCTCGGATTTATTGGCAGGGTGCTGTCTCTCATTCTCGAGGACTTCACCGCTCGCGTCCGGCAAGTTGCCGTTAACCAGGGTCTGGTCTGACGCTCGCTCTGGTATCGATGGTGACCGTCTCTCTTGCGGTTCGGGACGGGCAGCCACTGAGTGAGCCTCGAGAATTCGACGGAGAGGTAGCCAAAGTCCGATTTCGAGCAGTGTGCATCCGACGCTGAAAATGTCAAAGCTTTTCCGATACGGCTGGCGAACGTCGCTCAGCAAGGCCGGATGGCGGTACAGGTCTGCTTCGAGTTCGGATTTCAGAGGCTCCGTCATTTCGTCGGGCCTATCGAGCCGCGAGGACACGTAACCTGCTATATAGGCCGAGTAGGTCGACAGGTCGTCCTTGGCGGCGCCATGATAAAGGAGGTTGTTGTTGTTGGTGGTGGTGGTGTTGTTGTCTGCTTTTCGGATCAGGTAGATGTTGTCACTGCGGAATTCTTTGTGAAGCCATCCGGCAGTGTGCAGATCCAGCAGAGTCTCCAACAGCGTGACTGCGAGGGATAACTTCGTATTCAAAGACACCATGCCAGGCTGATCAAGCATTTCCCGTAGTGGCCTGTACTGCGGCGTGGAGTGCGGGAGCGACGGTACTCCCGACTTCCGGACATCGACATTGATATGGACCGCTTCCTGCGAATGGTATGACGGTGAGGGCGAGGGTGAGCTATGAAGCTCGTCGGGCAGGTCAAATATGTACCCATATCTGTTTGAAACGCGGTCCGTCACGAATCCCCGGCATTGCAGGCTGTGGAGCGTCGGTCCGAGAGCCTGAAGGAACGCGGCGACTTGGTTGACCCTCGTGGAGATGGTCGAATCGTCCAGACATGTCACGTACTTCCATTCCACGAGGACGGTTCGGCCATCATAAGGCGCCAACGTCCGATGAGGCTGCGCCCTTGCTGCCCGGTCCAAAGTCAAAAGCCTCATCCGCAGTTGCATGCCTTTCGAATTGCTGGTGATGGGGCCACTGCCACTACCAGTGGACATCGTGATAGAACTATTCCTCGAAGCGGTCGCAACAGCGGTCGAAGACTCCTGGAGTGTGGTCATGGGAACTTCTCGTGTCTGATCGAAGATGCCCAAGTCCAGCCTGATTTGTTTCAATTTGGCGGCGGAAGAGATGGCATGGTTGGGAACTGGCCTCTGATATTCCTTCCCAATGATACCTAGTCGAAGCTGATCTTCTGCCTTCACAATAGCGTGGCGAACACAGAACTCCAGGTACTTTTCCATCCGTTCCTGCCTCGCCTGCTCGAGAAACCTTCCCAGCTCCCTGACATAGCCGTTGGCCTTGTCCAACAGTCGATCAAACTTCTGATCATCAAGGGTAACCCACCTCAGCCTTTTCCAGGGTTGCTTTCTCTTACGAAACACAGTAACGTCGATCCTCTCGGTCCGCTCCCCCTCCTGGACGTCTGCGTCTAGCAGCGATGCAGCAACGTCGTCATCAACCACGTCGACATCCTCATCGGTGCGCTGCAGATTGATTCCGTATCGGCGCTTCAGCTCGTTGATATCCGAGAAGAGCCTCTTTAGCTGGCCCAGGATTTCAGGAACACGGGGAGCATGATTTGCGCTCACCTCCAACGTCGGAGGCTCTTGCGTCAAACCTGCCTCTTTCGCCCATGTCATTAGTGAGTGAAGGATGAGCTGTGTCTGGAATTGAACGGCTGAAACGTCCTCATTGTAGTGTTTGGCCTTACTGAGGATGACGAGACCTTTAACGCAGCCCTGAAAGCAGGTAATACTGAAAGAAACGATGCTTACAACATCGGCCGGCATTTCGATTGACTTTGGTGGACAAGTGGGTTTGCCTCGGGAGGCCTGGACATTGAAGAGAGATATTGAAGAGAGATCTTGCAAGGAGAAACGAGTATTAAGCGCCCTGCCCAATAAATTCAGAAAGATGTCTGACACGGCGTACAGTGAGCGCAGGCATGCCGCACTGCTGCCTGCGGCACAAATCGAGGGGCTTAGGAGGCTTAGGCTGGATGGGAGTTGTTGCCTTAGACTCGTCCCACGTCCAACGAGGCGAGAGAGCACCACGGGGGTTCAGCTTGCACACTCTCTACCATATTCGCCCGAGGAAAAGAAGACAGTTTGAACATCGACCCTTGCAACATGGCGTCTAAAACCATATCCATCATCGGAGGCTTGGATTACGATCTGATCATGATCGCCAACCGCATTCCCGCCGGAGGAGAAAGTCTGCTGGCCAACGAGTACCTTGAGGCGCTGGGTGGAAAGGGTGCCAATTCCGCCATTGCTACATACAGAACGTGCCACAAACAGCCCAAGGATACCCACGAAGCGGCGGAAACAGACATGTTGGAGGGGACGGGCAAAGAGGAAACCGCCGCAGAACATTTGGAAGGTGCCGCCGGCGCCAGTACCCAGACCCATACCCTTACATCGAGCGACGAGTTCAGAATCAACGTGAAAATGGTCGGCGCAGTCGGGGATGACAAGTATGGGGAAAGATTCTACGCCGAACTGAACAAGAACGGCGTCGACTCGTCGGGCATTATCACGGTGCCCAACACTCAATCGAGTATCTGTTTTGTCATGGTGGAAAATTACACACGCGAGAATCGGTGCCTGTTCACCCTTGGTGCAACGGCGACCTGGAAGAGAGAGCATTTCCTGAAGGTCGAGGACCTGGGCCACGGCGTCCGGCCCGACCTCTGCATTGCCCAGATGGAGATCCATAAAGAGGTGGTGGAGCAGATGCTGGAAACCGCAGGACGAGCCGGCATCGACTTTGTCCTCAATGCGGCGCCGGCCAATCCCATCACGAAGCGCACGTATCAATGGATCACTCACCTGCTCGTGAACGAGTCTGAAGCTGCCATCATGTCAGGCCGTGACTTGGACGAGGTCAACCCAGATTCCTGGCCCGTCATCTGCCAGGAGTTCTTGAACCGAGGCGTCAAGAATGTGGTCATCACCCTCGGGGCCAAAGGAGCATACTACGCCACCGCCGAGGAGCGCGGCCACTGTCCCGCGTACAAGGTCAAAGTGGTGGACACGACCGGTGCAGGGTGAGTTCTGAGTTCTATTCTACCTTTTTCGACTGATACCCGTGTCTTCCCGTTTCGATGAGAGTACCTAGTACATACATGATACGACAGATAGCTGATCTCCAAGCGCGGTTCAGAGATACCTTCACAGGTGCCTACTCTTCCGACTATCTACGGCAGAAGGAAGCTGGCCAGTGGGACATCAAGCAGGCCGTCGTGCGCGCCAACAAAGCCGCTGCCATTACCATCACGAAGCTAGGCGCCCAGCTGGGTATCCCTTGGTCTGACGAGATTGATCGTTTCCACGCCCCCTACAATGAGCCAGATATGTCCACGCTCACAATCTCTGACGAAGACGCCGACGTGCGGTGGGACACTCAGTGGCGGTGATTAGTAGTAGAAAGCAAGAAGCTGGAACTACAGACAATTCTCGGAAACATCGTGATATGATTGTTTTAGTCGGCCGCGATAGACGTCGGATCACAGTGCTAGGGACAGATTTGTCAAATAAAGGTTGAAATGTTCCATGTTCTCTATCAACGGGTCCTAGGGGGAGCGAGTGCTATATAGTAGAGTGTAGCCTAAACCAGCCTCTCTGGTGAAAGCACAAGGCTTGAGAATGCCTAAGTTTGACAAGATTGAATGGCTGGCTTTTCAACAGTAACTCCATGGGAATCATGATGAGATGGTCTAGTCTCGTCGATCATAAGAGTCTCGTAGATTATATAACTCACTGGCCCCGATCCGACTCCTAGCTAAAGATACAGACGCTTACCTGTGACATGAATTCATGGAGAGCATCAAGGATTGATCCTGATGCGCAAAATGGCGTCACAATGTGCATATACAGAGAAATCCCCCCCAAAAGACATGGTATCTCCACCAAGAGGCCCCCTCCCGTCCAGCGAGTGTCAAGCTCCAGCTTCAGAAGCACGAATTGCAGAAGACATCCTCACCTTCAGGCCGGAGACTTCGCTTGACGTCTTTTGCCTCGCTCCTTCTGTCAGGATTGCGCTGCAGCATGAGAAAGGTCTGCTCTTTCAGTAGTTTTCCCACCGAGTCTGCCGCAGGGACTATCCAATTTATCCACTCCTTGACTTTGGGCAGGCTCTCGCGGAAAGCATAAGGATAGTCCCCATGTGTGAGACATCGATGGGCACGAAATTCTTCCAGAGTATGTTTATATTTGACGGTCAGCATTTCCGTGAAGACACAGCCCAGGGAAAAGACATCGGCCCTGCGTCCGCGTGGCTTGCTCTCCGGGGCGGAATAAACGGGGGTTCCAAAGGTGATAGTGTCGATGGAGTTTGAATTGTCCAGGCCTTCAAAGTCCTTTGCGCAGCCAAAATCGGCCAGATAGACCTGGTGGTCTTTGATCAGAATGTTGCTCGGCTTAATGTCCTCGTGCTTGACGTGCTTCGAGTGGGCAAAGTCCAGCGCGCCGACTAGGCAGCCGAACCAGCTGGTCAGGTGCATCAGTTCGGTCTTGGGGAAGCCTTGCTGGGCACAATCATGGAGGAAGCGGCGGAGGTCGCATTCGGCCACGGGCAGCATGATCAGATTGTATGTGTTCTTCTCGGCGTCGAAGTAGTGGAATTGCACGGACGCGATGTGGTGATGGCGTAGCTTCTGCATGATCGACACCTCGTTGTGAACCTCCTTCTCCACCTGCGCTTTGGATCGCATGGGCGGTTCGCTGATGCGGATGACCTTCTGCGCATAGAAGGTGCCGGTGGAGGGTTCGCGCACCTTGTGCACTTGGCCGTACGTGCCGGCCCCCAAACTTTCCTGGAATTCAAACAACACCCTGGCGGTGTACGGATAGTACGGTCCGTCGGTCGCGTTGTAGTAGCTGACCTGGGTGTTGGTGTTTCTGGCTGCGGCCTGTTCTTCTATTGCCTGCTTCACCGAGTCTTCCCATTCTTCCTTGAGTGCTTGTATTGCCGTCGTGGCAGATTTGGTCCGTGCAAGGAAAGCCTCTTCATCCACTGCCTTAGGGAATCAGCCTGCCTAGCTTGGAGCAAGAGAAACCCACTCGGGCCAGGGCCGGGCCGGGACCACTCACCGTCGGGTTGCTGCGGATCAAGGAGCTGAAGAACCATGTCATAGCACCCCATGTACTGCGCAAAGATGTTCTGCAGCGGCTTCTGCACTGTTTCGTTGTCTGGGAATAACGGGAGCTGGGCGCCGAACGCTGGGATAACGTCTTGCAGTTTGGGAAGATGGTCGCGGAAGAACTTGTCTTTCTGTCTGGTCTTCAATGCTTTCTATCCACCCTTGAACGTTAGAGAGGATTCTCCCTGGCGACAACCGACACCGACACCGACCCCGTCTGGGATCGGGGGTCTGGGCGACATACCTCGACCGTTTCAAACGCCTTGGACCAGAACACCGAGCTCAGACAGTGAGGCACATTGTCGAGGCTCGCTGATTCGTCTATAGCGCTGACGAACGCTATGATTTGGTCATGATGTCGGAGGAATCTGGCGAGCAGTCGCTCTGGATCCTTTTCGCGGATCCTGCCGCACGCTGCCTTGAATTCGCGGTGGAACCGGCCTTCGTCCGGTATGTTCGTGGACCCGTCAGACGATGCCAGGTCGGATAGCACGGTGGGCCAGGTGGATGCGCTCGACATGCTTCGGCCATCAGATACAGTGCACTCAGCACCACCACGCTGGACACGATGCGCGCGAACGTGTTCGTGTTGGATGCCACTGGCCAACACTTCGCATAGCAGAGTCACTGCTCGTGCGCTGTCGAGCGTCTCGCAGCTTTCCGAAAGGTCGCCTGCCTGAGGCTGCGTTCATGCTTAGGCTGCAAGTTCAAGTACGGAGGGGAGTACTAAGGTAGTACATACTATCGTACTGTAGATGCCAAGGGGAGCTAGAGCCGCATGCCTGCCTAGGCCCATACGCCAGTGGCATACGGAAAGTACGGATACTCCATGTATGTAGGAAAGCAGCGGCTTCAAGTTTCTGGTAGTTCGTTAATTCGATGGTAATAGTCGATGGTCGTATTATGTCTTACTTCAGTTCTGTTGCCAGTGAACGTTGGACTACCCTGCGTACATAGGTCGCATCGTATCACTAAAATCAGAGATTGAAAACAATGATCATGATAATGCTCCTTATTCTTCTCTTCTGTTACAGCAACTTGGACGGCTCAGAACACTGTGCCATCACTTTCGATGAGGATGGGACTGGATTTGGTGTCTGGACGGCGTCGTGCCGCGATCTCCCGACCAGATTTCCAGGTACCCGCCTCCAGGAGCTGCGCCAAGGTCAAATGCACTCGGTCCATTCGAGAGAGGACCATGCTGTATAGTTTATCAATCAAGACCAGCGTCATGGCGCGCCACTCGATGATCACATCGTCCCCTGCCTCGAAGAGAGGGAGTGGCCCACCAGACGCTTTCAGGCCTCGATCAAGCGCTTCTTTCTTGAGAGAGAGCGCTCCCAAGTCAACGAAGAGACCGCCATTACGATACTCGGCCAAAGCGGTGAGTGACTCGGCGTTCGTCCATTGCACGCCCAAGATGCGCTGGAATGGCACCATCAGTGAGTAGGTGAGCCATTGGGTGAGTTTGTGGAATGGTTGGATATCTTCCGCGTTGCTTTCGTCGTCGATATCAACGTCGACGTCGTCGAGCTTTGTAGATGCGTTTCTCAAATGTTTCTGCAAAACCCTCAGTGGCCACGCGTCGCCAATTGGTTGTCCATGAACCGTGGTCCGATCATGTGGCCAGATGGGGATGAGCAGAGCCTGGAGGACGTCCCAGAACACCAAGATGTCCAATCTTGCGGGATCGGCTGTCGACTTGGTCATGTAATCTGATTCACATTCATACAGTGAGTAAGTTATTAGACTGCTTCGGTATGATAGGAAGAGCCGACATCGAAGGATCAAAAAGCAACGTCGCCATAGATGCTCTTACCGACAATGTTCCCGGGACGGCCTTCTTCACCGAAGACGTCGGACTGACCAAGTAACGACTTCCCTAGCCTTCTTAGTAGGTCAGTACGAGACCCAACTCCCAGCATTGGGTTGGTTTCTGAGGTTTGAAATCCTTCCACCAGGACGTCAACCGGCAGCTGTTCCAACGCTTTCCCTATAAACCAAGGGAATCAGCGGCAGCGGCAGAAGCAGAAGCAAAAAGCAAACAACGGAAGGGAGGGGTTCAAGTGGTTGGCGATTAGATTGCTTACCATCAACCAGAGGTGTTTTTCCGTCCTTCTTCACGGTAAAGTCCAACTTTTGAAACATGTACAAACTGGCCACGGCAATGCCTTCACTGCGTTCATATGTTCGGCCCGTTCCAGGTTCGATCCAGCGCCAGCCATCCCCGGCACCGGCATCGAGGAGGACGGAGACGAAAAACAAATCGACCAAGCGACGAGCAATCTCCATGTCATCACACGCTTCTCTTCTCCAACCATCAATCATGTCTGCAATGCGAGGCACCTTGCCGGCCTCGAAATGCTGCCAGCGCCCATGCGGAGGAATGGTATCGAACCTGTCGGGACCGAAATCGCGCTTTTGGATCAGAGTAAGCTTATGTAGCATGGTTCTACACCAGGCGCCGTGCCGTGCCGTGCGTTTTGTGTGCTGAGACCGACCTTGATTACAGAGGTCACAAAATCTGCAACCTCGTCCATTCGAGTCTCGTCGAGGTCAAAGTGGTTGAGTTGGCCAGCCTGGGCAGCATCTCCAACTACTTTGGCACGTTGCCGAACCGCAGTCAGCGACAGGAGATATTTGACTTTAGGGTCCTGGCCCATTATGTCCTAGGGGAGACTGCTGAAGGTTGCGGTGGGACTGGTGGGCTTAGAAGGCTTAGGAGTGAGCGGGGAGAGTCGCTGTCGCTGTCACCGTCGCGGCAGTGAATAGATGATCGGGCGGGACTGACGGGTGTGTAGTATTAGTAGGTATCCGTATGGAGTACGGATAGAGGTGCTCCAGAGTCCAGACTAGAATTACTCTGTAGATGCTGGAGTGAAGGTGATGGCGCAGGCCGACTTTGACGGCTACGGGGCCACTAGTCCTAAGGCTAAGGCTTAGTACCCAGCGGAAGGGAAGTACCGTGCCAAGCTAACTTTTAGTTGGCGTCCGGTTCAGATTGACATCCAAGTTCTATGATCTAATGCGAGCGAGGGGATGGAAGAACAAGAACAAGAACCGCCTTCAAGAATCATAGTCATAAGAATTGGTACTATCTATTTCCGCGCTATTTCCGATCATCCCAGTGCCTCGTCTCTGGATATCAGGCACTGGTGGCTGGTGGCTAGCTGATGTGTCGAAGTGTGTGCACGGAGAGGCTCCCGTTCCCAACTGACTACCGAATAGCGGAAAAGTCGGTCAACGTTCGACGTTTCGTTCTCTCATCGTGTCCCTCCACATCCTCCCAAATCTCAACTCCAACCATACCAGACCTAAGCAACCCAGAGACACGCCTCCGAACAGCGTAAATGTCCACTGGACGCCTATAGAATCTATAAAGACCTGTACGAGGGCAAGACCTCCTCCAGCAAGAAGACAGCGAACGATGCTGTTTGCTGCCGATGCAGTTGATGGCGATTTCGGATGCACGTCTGTCAAAAGTGTTCCGATCGTCTGTCTCTCTGTCAGTGGGAGGTAGTTGACAAATATGGGGAGGTCCGAATTGAGATGACCAGGCTTACGTTGAACACCACAGCCGTTGAAAGGCCTATGATGAATTGGAGTATCAGTGGGATAGCCATATGCTGTACCGGGAACGTATTAGCTGTTAGTTTGACTCGTCTCTGCCATCAAAACCACTCACTGTTCTGTATCTCAAGGCCCATCCATAACCTATCGTACTTAGTCCTGCCGTACTGATTGTATATCGGACGCTTCTAAGTCGCGCTTCTTCAATAGGAAATATAGTCAGGTCGTCCCCACCTTCTACATTGATGGTTATGCCATGCCTACTAGCTGTGACGCGATAGTCATACTTGAGTATGTATCCTGCTCCAGTCTTCAAGTCAGCCAAAGGCACATCGTTCGAAAGAAGTGCAATGGACAGACGTCATGTTAGTGTGGCAAGAGCACAAGGACGGCCCGGAAGAAGACTTGAGAAGCCAAAAAGTCTTACCGGCACCGTAAGCTCCGATGATCGATCCAATACCAGACGGTAAGTATATGAGTCCTGATTTCAGTTCCGAGATCCCGTACAGGTGAATGAACAGCGTGGACGTGGAAGCTTGCACACAGCTGAGGTTCATGTAGAAGATGGCAAAAATCAGAACAATTGAGAAGCAATCCTTGGCCAAGAGTAGTTTCAGGCTCGCCATAGGGTTTGGCATGTGGAAACCCTTTCGATCAGGGACTTCTGGAGACGGTGTCGACTCAATCTTGGTGTTATTGGACTCTGGTATGGGTCCCGGCGGTGGCACAGATACAAAGTATGAGAAAGGAGTGCGACGAAGGCCGGACACCGCACCGGAGCCATTGCCAACCACCGACCGTGCCGTTTCCGGGAGAAGTAGAGCAATCAAGAGGAGACAGGTCCCTGAGAGGATGCTTAAGAAGCGAAAAATCCAACGCCATCCAGTTGACTGGGCCAATACGCCCCCCAGGATAGGTCCGACGGCTGTTGCGATGTTCGGGCTGCAAACAGGAGTCAGCTTTGGGACTGCTTTAGCAAATTGGTGAGGAGTGCATAGCACCAAGCATGGAAGAATGTGTCCAAGAATGAAGAAAAAATCCAAACTCACCCAAGGACCATCCCAGAGACGAATTCGCCCCGTTCAGCTGGTGCGGCGAGATCTGACACAACACCGTATCCAACAGCTATGGTAGCTATCACTCGTTATTACCTCTGCTGTATGATGCAAGGGAAAAAAGCGAGGGTGTTCACTTACACGCGCTGCCAGCACTCTGCACCATTCTAAGAACAAAAAGTGCAGCCCAATCAGTCTGCAATGCCAATCCAACGTTTGCAAGACAATAAATGCTCATCATCAATAGATACACCACTCGTCTTCCCACCGTATCGGCCAGATCGCCCAACAGAGCTGGCGCGATACCGGCGACTATCATGTAAGAAGTTATAGTGAGGTTGATTCTGGCAGTGGATACGTTGAGAGAATCAGACAAGGCTGTAATGGCAGGAAAGAAGATAAAGGACGACAAAGGTGAGAACGAGGCTGCGAACGTGCTCAGAACGACAATGAGCCATTTCTGTCTCTTGGTGAAGACGGAATACGGCGGTGAGGCAGGGCTGGGGACACATCCATGAGGAATCGAGACCCTTGGATTGTGGTCGTGAGGCGATGGCGAGGCTGAAGTGACTGCTCTCTCCTTTGCTGGCGGAGGAGTTGAGCAGTCAATGGGAGCAGAGCTCATCTTTATTTCAACTTCAATTGTTATCGAAGCATGTGTGTTCGTATGACGCTTTGGCCCTAGATCTTATATCAGATTAAATTGATCGCTGAAAAAGGTTGGTGCAGGTGGTGGTGGTGGTGGTGGTGGTGGAAGGATCAAGTCCCAGATTCAAAACGATCAGGCAACGCTGACAAGGCGTGGCCGGGCTTATGTACAGAGTACAGTAAGGTGGAAGGCTCAGGCTCAGGCTGGTCAAGGAGCCTTAACATGTACGGTACTTTATGTCTGTACTTTACATACCTATGTACCTAGTACCTGATTCCTTAAGACTTACAGGCACTTACAGGTACTCCGTACTGTAAGCCTTAACCACATGAGACGCCTAAGGCTTAGGGGCTAAGGGGTTAGGGTTAGGCGCTTAGGGGCTACAGTACCTATAAGGAGGCGGTTCGGCTTCGGACTGCCAATGCCAGTGACTGCTTACTGTAAGGGTCCCTTACTGTAGCACTGTTTATGTACGTGTATGTATCCGTACATACATGTACCTCATGTAATTCGCCTCCTCGTACCGATATCTAAGTAGACTATCTGGTAAGGTACCTGGTACTAGACTACAAGTCATGCGGGCAACTTGAAAACCTTTACTGAGATAGAGTCCAACCACACACTATAGTAGTAGTAGTAGTAGTAGTAGTAGTAGTAGTAGTAGTAGTAGTAGTAGTAGTAGTAGTAGTAGTAGTAGTAGTAGTAGTAGTAGTAGTAGTAG